TCGAAGCAAACCAGAGTCTTGAAGGTCTTGAAAGTCAGGGGCGAGCTGTTTCTGAATGATCCGCGAGAAGATCAAATCAATACTTATGCCGGAGTATTCAAATTTGATAATAGGCACAAATGCATCAGTTACTGCGGCCAAATCCGTAATGGCGCCCTTGGGGGCCATAGCCTCCAACAAATCGGGGAAGTACTTGAAATAGTCCTCCCGCGTGACGTATTTAGGAGCGACGATGAGTGTATCTATATCGGAACCGGGCCCGAACACGCCGAGACGGAAGCTGCCATATGTAAATACTTTGCCACGGGCGTTCTTTATAAGGACATCGTTCTTGGGCTCTTTCTCTCGAGCGACGCGCTTGACAAATTCATCGCAGATAGCTTGCAGTGATTCGAGAACTTTGTACCTACAAGCACGGAAGAGTTAGGGGCACGTTGGACTGAATATTCAGATATCTCGATAGGGGCAAAGGGGGCCCTTGAGGGCTGGTTCAGGTTGTCCCGATGTAGCGCACCTTTTTTGGGTATCGGAAGGACTTTCGAACGTCTTTTGCCGCCGTAATTCCTCGATGAGGGCATCGCTTGCACGCTTTTCAGCCTCGGTAGGCAGCCCTACGGAAATGGGCGGTGTCACGCCGAAAACCTGATCGCTCGACATTGATACAAGCCTTTAATTGTAGCGTCGAATACTGTTGAGCACACGTTGAAGATATTCCTAACTCTTGGTAATGGCCGCCGCGACTACGCCGTCCGAGCAATCTAAACGGTGCAGGGTGCCAGGCGGTAGGAATTGGCGATATCTTGGAGCGTAAAGAATGCTAAATGCCCCAATAGTCTGCCGTGGTGCGCAGCAGATGCCGCAGAATGTATTAAGAAGAGTTAGGGGAGGGAGACGGGAATGAAGAGAGACAGAGAGAGAGAAAGAGGGAAATGGACGTGCCATGTATGGAATGGTAGGAAGGCTGAAGCTAGACCAGTGCGCCTGGTCAGGCTGGTAGAGGACAATGCCAAGGTGATTGGAGCATGTGGCCCGGGGGACAATGATTTTCCCTTCCAGGGGTTATTCCCCCATTGACAGTAGTGGACCTGACTTCACACTGAGGCCCAGGTGAAAGGATCCCCCTCCAAATTTCTCATGGGTTGTTCTGTACGCCGCGCAGCGCACCTCCTTGTACGTGACCGAAGAATTTCTGCGTAATTCGCTGATTCATGAAACTGGTTGAATAGATGGGTGATGAAGACACACAATGCTGATGCAAGTCAGTGATTGATTATATCGATGGAGCCCGAGAGAAACCACTGCGAACTCAAGTACAGAGTAAGTATAAGTACTTGGTTTTTTGTAATAGTTGTACAGTACGTCCTCTCAGATCTCTAATAGATGTACCTCTAGGTAGTCGAGTACTTAGGTAGGCACCAAGCAGGCCTGAGTACTGCCCTGCTACTTGATCTGTCAAACAAAGGTAGCGCGTACCCTACTTAAGTACTTAGAGGTACTTACTCCGTAAATAGTATTGAAATGCCATGCCAAAACTCTCATCGGGCGCGATAACTCACCGCCCCTGGTTGAGGCGAGGGCAATGGAGTTACTCCACCTGCGAATGAACTCTAATTCGCTGACTGACAGCCACCCAAGTTCCTTGAGATGGCCGATTGTCGACCATCCCTGGAGGCCAAAACGCGAACGCGGTTGTTGCCCGCGTGGAAGGTTAGCCGACACTTTAATTGATTGACCGAAGCAGAACGAAGCTCGCCATTCTTCGCACCTTTCGCTCTTCACTCTTGCGCCTGACGAGTACTTCCTTCGTGGACTGATACTACGTTCCTTGTTCCCCGTCTCAGTTTTTACTGGGACTAACACGGACCTCCTCTCGAAAATCCCGATTGAACAAACCAGACTCCAGCTTGTCCTTTGGCTGTCCAACCTCTGCATCGCCCGCCACCTTGCGTCTGCATCCGCCCTCTTCGTCTGGCCACGAGCTTGCGCAACCACTCATTCCACGACAAGCTAAACCTCACGATTTCGCTGCTCACTCATTCAGCGCCATGCCGCCGTCGGCGAAGAGAGCCCAGCGCGGCCGCCGCGACTTGCGCAGAGACAAGGACGTAGCCAACCCTGTTGATGTCGAGGATTCCTCTCCCAGCCGCCCAGCCAAGCGTCGCAAGCATACTCGATCCTCAGACCCGGCAGACTCGAGCCTCCTGTCCGGAAACGCATCAAATTCTCAGGCTCATGATGCTGAAGACTCTGCAGGCACGGATGATGACCACATTGTCTCACAAGTCACCCAGCAACTCAAAACCCAGCCTGTCCAAGCAAGCAAAGATCATGCTAATGCGATCCACGAGGCCAATCGCAATGGTGTCAAAGCCTATGCCAAAGTGGCGGCTCAAGATTGGACTTTCTACATAACGAAGCTCGCAGTCAACATCGGTCGTGCACCCGAAATATCCCATGCCGATGAGGAGGAGGAAGACGAAGCCCATGTTCATATCGACCTGGGCCCGAGCAAGATGGTGTCACGCGAACATGCCTCCATCTGCTTCGACTCTAAAGATGAAAAGTGGATTCTTCAAATAAAGGGTCGTAATGGCGCAAAAATCGACGGGCAACCCCTCAAACCTCGGGCTTCTCATGCCCTCACGTCTGGCGAGGTCATTGAAATCGGCACTGTTGAGATGATGTTTGTGCTCCCATCGGAAATATCGCCTCTACATGTCCACCCCTTGTTTTTGCAACGATGTGGGCTAGGCCCGGACGTGGCAAAAGCCCCTACATCTCGGCGACAGCCGCTTATTGCTCCAGCTCCCGCCGATTATAAACGGCCAGGGACGCCCCCATCTACTCAGAGAAGAGGAGCCTCGATGGCCAAATCCCCAGGAGTCAGTACTCCGGCAGTATTGATTGGCGCGCATGGCGTAGACCTGAGCCATGATCACAACCAGCATATTAAACCACAATATAGTTACGCCCAGATGATCACACAAGCGATATTGAATGCCCCTGACGGGAAGCTCAACTTGAACGGCATCTACACCTTCATTATGAATAGCTACTCGTATTATCGACATCAACAGGCCGCTGGCTGGCAGGTGAGTACCATTTTGGCACGTCACAGGGGCTTGAAAATTTACCTGGCGTGTAAAGGAATCTTTCAAGCTAACTGCACTGGTATTTTTTGTCTTAGAATTCTATTCGGCACAATCTCTCCCTGAACAAATCATTTGATAAGGTCGCCAGATCTACTGATGAACCTGGGAAGGGCATGAAATGGCAAATAGTCCCAGAAGCAAGAGAAGAAATGACCAGAAATGCCTTCAAGATCGGCCGTGGCGGTCACCGGGGTTCTTCTGCACCATCGTCGCCGAATCAACTCAATTATATCACCCAAGGACCAAAAGATATGGCATCTAGAGACCCAGGGTCTGTTCGAAAACGACGAGCGTCACCTATAGCTTCGCCGCCGCCGCGATCATCTCTGCGCGCGTCACGATCAACCCCCCAACAAAGTTCGGAACGGGGTATCGGACGGAATGCCAACTTAACAGAAGATGGCAGTCCACTGCCACGGCATCGCAAGTCAACAAATATCGCACCTGATTCGTCCATCTCGACCTTCAATCCTCAATCTCCCACTTTGACCTCGTCGTATCTACAAGATGAAGGCGCTTCTTTTGTAACACCTGCACCGCCGCGTATTCATCCGAAGCTTGCGCCCCCAAGCACCGCCCAACGACCCAGCCAGCACATGCCCACGAGCTCGCCAGCACCCTTCTGGAAGTATGCCGATATCGGCAGCACGCCGCTACGACCATCTGCTCCATACGAATTCAGTCCTTCAAAACTTGCCGGGGGATTATTGCCTCAGAGCAGCAGCCCACCTCGTGCTAGCAAGTCGCCACCAAGCAGCCCCTCTAAACCCCAAAGGCTTCCAGCCCTGGAAGGTACCATGCGGGAAAGTGAGGGATCTGAAGACGTGGAAGAGGACCAGGGATTTGATTTAACAAAGTATGTTATATTCCCTTCCGCTCCTCCTCTACCTACCCTTCGGTACTGCTGGGCCTCATTCGGAATGAACCATATCGACACAGAATCTTGTGTCCTTGTGCTAACGAGATAAACTTTGACTCAGGGGCTTTCAAAGTATCGGCTCATACCATGCACCAGTTGGGAGAGGAATACCTGTTGCTAATGCGTTGCCTGGCAATACATGACCTCGGCAAATGATCGTTTCGTTTTCGATAAAAATACAGCATTCCCGAGCATGGCATCACCAAGATGCCTCCGCTACTTGCCACGATCTAACCAAGCCCGGACGTCTGAAGACAAGAATCTGAGCCAACGTATAAGAACTAGATCTAGCCCGTGACCACGTGCCACCCGTTCGGAATGAAGTGTGACGGGACTACAGGTTTAACGCATCGGCACAATTCTTGGTTTCTGGGATTTCTACCAAGAAAGTGGAACATCACTTTTGTTTAAAACAAAAGGATCATGTTGTTCAGCCAATGACGTCCTAAACCGACACCTTCATAGCACTTGGCCATAGCGGGCAAATAGCAGTAGAGACAGTATGGCGCAGGACCGCGCATTTGGACGAGGCTGAAGGCGTGATGTTGAGTTGAGATCTTATTATGGCACCCTACGAAATGATGTAGAAGTAAGATGCTGCAAAAAATAGAATGCTCTTGGCGAATCTTCACCGTCGGGCGTACATGGAAGGGTTTGATGATTCCTGGTTCCACTAGTGAATCCATTTGCCCAATGTGTTAGTACCAGATCAACCTTGCCGAAGCATGCCTCCCATGATTTCCACGCTATTGCGCTACTTCACAAAGTTTTCCCCCAAACCCCTCAATGATGCATGATTTGCTACAGTTAGTTTAACATAGATATACAAGCTCCATACTTTCTTGGCTACTTCCCTTCCCCTAAGTTGATCGCTTGTGGCCTTCTGTCCGTTGCAATGGAACGCCAATTTCATCGCATAGTAAGGGGACTTATGCCGATGTTGACTGTCCCCGGCGCTTCGGGTTTCCTCGACCCGGTCGCTTCTTTGAGGCCTTGGACTTTTGATCCCCCCCTTCGATGAACTTGATTAACTCATCAATGCTTCGTGCATCAATCTGTGACGGCTGGGTCATGCGCTGCGACCGAGCGCCAGGTTGTTGTTCCGGCGGAACAGTTGCTGGAAAGCGAATGCCCGAACGAATGCGGCGAGATTCGACATCCTTGGCATGTTTGGCAATTGACACGGCATTCTGTGTCAACTGTTCCAGCCAGCTTTCGGCTTCTTTCGTGTTCTTATCGTCCGGTCCGAGTTCACTGAGGAATATGTTGTACGATTCACGCATGCGGTTCACGGCTCCCTTTGAATCGTGGTCCAAAGCGAGAGCTTGCGCCAGCTGGAACAGCAATGTTGCCGAGTTGATGGATTGTTTGCCAAACACAGATTCACACACGCGGAGTGATTCTTCAAACCACAACCTCGACTCATGATACTGCTTCAGGTGTTGCAACATGACGGCTGCGTTATTGATCGTTGTAATAGAGTCAGGATGGCCTGGTCCGTAGATGATTTTCCAAAGCACCAACGCATGCTTTGAATATGCCAAGGCCCCTCTGCTATCTCCTACTTGATGCAGAAACAAGCTCAAGTTGAGGTAGTTAAGTAATGTCTCGGCAGAGTCAATACCAACAGTGCGCTCAGCGACGACAATAGCCTTTCTGGCCAATTCAACAGCCGCTTCCTTGTCATCCAGTTGGTAGTATAGCATTGACAAGCTGTTGTATACTCTAGCTACCTCCGGATGCAGAATTCCGTAAATCTGCTCGTGCAGTGATAGGGATTCGAGAAGAAGTTCCTGCCCCAGCTTCTTCTGATTTTGGATTATTGAAAGACGTCCGGCCTCGAGGGCTTCCTCTGCTAGAGAACTTCGTGGCGCAGAGTGTTTGATAACGGGGACTACGTCAACCACGTCCTCAGGGGAAAAGACCGTGTTCACAGTGCTCAATGTAGCTGCGACAGTTGACGTTTCCTGGCCCTTCTTCTTTTTCTTTTTGTCCTTTGACTCTCCATTTTGCTGCCCGTTCGATTGCTTAGAAACGGTTTCAGTAGATTGATAAGAAGGCTTTGTCCTTTCGTCGAAGCTGTAGTCTTTTGCTTGGATTTGGATACCAATTTTCAGGCAAATCTCACGTAATAGCTGGAACTTGCGAATGGTATTAAGCCAGCCATCCTCCAGTTTGTATCTGAAGCGTTTGAGAACCTGTTCCTCGATGCTGACCCTAAGCTCTCCAGGAGTGACCAGCTCAAAGGACAAATCGGAGTCAGAATATAGAGACTTGAGCGAGGTATCAACTTCAGCCTTGGGCTTGGCGTTCATCTCATAGCCAAGCAAACAGTTGAGGAGATGTGATATACAGGAGGCCGTGAAAGGAACTGGGAGGTCCCTCAAATAGACAGCGGCCGCATGCTTGAATGAACGAGCAACCATGTCCTGTATGCAGATCTCCTGGAGGCAACGCAACCTTCCATCGGTAGCCCGAGAAGCGACCGCTCCGAGATATCGAACATTGATACCTCGTTTGTGCAATAGGCGGCTTAGAGACTGGCCATCCATTGGGAAGCTGATATCAGAGTCAGAGAGCTCCCGCAACAGGTCTGGAATCACCTGGTTACGCAAATAATTCCCGGCTTCCCGCACCTCCTTTTCATCCTCCTCAAGTTGCACCTTTTCCTCATCCGATTGAGGGACTTGGCCGCTAAAGGCATCGGGATTCAGCGAGAATTTGAAATCGGAGAGGTCAAGTTGTGTTTTTGACTTCCCTTCGTCGGATGCTTCCTTGGACTCGTTATTAACATCTTCGTCCGCTTTTGTCCGGTCACGGAGTGCAAGTTCAGCGTCAACCCACTGCTTCATCTTGAAGCGAGCGAACGAGTCAACGAGCTCCGGTCTTAGGACGGTCATACGATGGGGATATGCCTTGGAATGTCCCTTCTCGGCCTGAAGCTTCGTTTCCTCAAGCCAATTGATATCGTAAGGTGTGATCCGGTAAAGATCTAGAACATATTTTCGCCCATCAGTTCCCATAAGGCCTTTTGTCTCAACACTAGCCTCCAAGTCAAATCGCTTTCCGTCCTTGTCCCAGACTGGATGTTTCTTTACTTTGAGGGCCTTTGACAACTGCGCGAATGACGCGGCAAAACGCTCATCATCTGCAACAATATCCTTGCCATCGACAGCACCATAGTCAATCTGGTTTTCTCCCGGCTCGCGTTGTTTGAAAATACCAGGCACGATGCTCTGACCAACAATTCGTTTACCAAGATAGTCGACAACAACAGTAGCAGGAGCAAACAAGCCCTCAATGTCCAGCTGATTAACCAGTCTTACCCCAGCAACATCTTTCCCGGTCGCAACTCTGGCGGCTTCGTCACCGCCCTCAGATGTAAAAGTACCGACGCCGTCGGCACCAAAGGAAAAGAAAATGTTGTTGTACACAAATATCTGAGCGTCTCTACCCTCCGTGGGATTCAGAGGTGCAATCTCCCCACGTGCGACCATCACTGCGCCCTTGGTAGCAGCGTCATTGTAGTCTGCGAATAGCTTCGATATCAATCTCTCGCGGAACACTCGATCTTGCACAGTTTCTTTCGGCAATTCTTTGGCTGATTGGAACTCTTCATTCCAGTCACGCAAGGTATCTGTGTTCTCGACTCCGGAGAGCAACAAAGTTTCTTGGGGACGTGTAGGGTCAGCGACATGAGCACACAAAGCTGACGTTGGCGAAGGCACCGCCCATGGTGCTGATGGAACGGTATTGGTTATTTGAAATGTTGCTAAAGGATCTCTTTGATTATTATACTCCAGCAGCTGTTGAAATGTATCCGAGAAAGAAGGTGAGATGAGAGTAATGAGCTCCAGCAGAGAGTGAGCGGAGTATCCTTTAGGTGACGCTCGAGGATACGGGTCAAACTTAGCGTTTGATGACTTGTTCACAAAGAAGCCCGATACATGAGAGGTGATTTGGAACTGTTCCCCCTCATTGGTGCTGACTACAATGTAGAGCAGGTGGCCGCGTTGTCTCAAGTGGCATGGCGGAGGATTCCACGAAGAAAGAGCAACAGATTTGACCGTTTTTGGCCCGGGTTCAAAGAAGTCGGGGACAAGATTATTTAAGGACGGAGCAGACTGGAAGTCGTAGTCTTTCAGGGGTGATGCGTCTTGAGCAGCACCAGAAATTTTCTGGGTCTGCCGAGCGACGCTTTCAAAGAGCGAGAGCCCAGGGAGAACACCTTGATAAACGTCTACGCGATCACCGGCAGCACCAATGAGCTCGCGAATCCTCACAAGATGGATTCGTGCCTCCTTCTCCGTATACGGGTCTTCTATCAAACGGAACTCGGGCTCGGGTTCGAGATTGGGAATCTCGGCGATCGAAATAAAGTCGTTGACCTTGTTGCCTTGATACTCGAGATGAAAACAGGTATAGCGAAATGCTGCAGGCAAGTCGATAATGGATTGGCGGACCTCGTGGACTTGCTCCTGAGACGAGACCTAAAGCGAACATGTTACTAATGAGGCTGGTGCTTTATCCGCAGAATGTCAACTCACCATTATTTGCATCCTTGTCGCATTCGAATCAGGCAGGACAATTGACAGGTTTATCAAAGCTGAGGAATTCCACCAATTAGTAAAAATGCTGGGGATCCAGACTGCAACGCAACGATACCATACCTTCAGCACCGTTCTCTGCTTCAGCGTCCAAATCGGACTCGGTACCGACAGCCATGGGATTGGCAGACTTTTGGGCAGCCTCTGTGACATCGGAAAAGTTGCATTGTTAGAGAATTGGAACTAACATATCCTGGAATGGCCATAGTCACACGATGGGAGAATAACATACCTGCACCCGCGGCCGTGGGATTTGGAACCTGTTCTGGGGCGGCCATAATTGAACACGAATGAAGAGACGGAAGCAGGGGGAAATAGAATACAAAAGTCGTACAAAATTCAGAAAAATCTAGTCATGGAGTATGCACCAACATCAACTCAACAGATGGGAGACAGAGTTGCAAAGGGCTGATAGCTCAAGGAGGTTTTGCACGGGCTGCATCGGACCTTGAGAAGAAAAAAAAATTGGACAAGCTACTTGGACCGCAAAGTCCCGGCCAGCCGGAGCAGAAAGGCTACCCGCGGGATACATGTGGCCCCGGGCTAATGGGCGGGCAGCGACTAAGTATCAGGTGAGTTACTTCAATGCATTTTCTGTTGTACTCACGACCCGGACCCCGGCAAACTGCCCCAAACACTAATCCAGAAAGGGAAGAAGTCAACGTGCAAGTCAAAACCTGGCTGTTCTGTCACAACCGCTCTCCTGCTCACTATCGCTGGGGCAGGATGGGAAGAGAACGCTGCTTGCGCGATAACCAGCGCCATAGTGGCTGTCGACGAGCGGCAAGTTCTTGGGCAATCAGTGGGGATATTGACAAAAAGGGGAGCAGAGCAAACATTGGACCGGAACCAGAAGTACCTTTCGACACACTTCACCAAAGAAGTAAATAGACAATGGAATTACATACGGCATCTTGCAAGAAGTCAGGCCATCGTTGATTATTGAAGCCTAAGTAGCCTTGCATCAGGTTTCTACTGACATTTTTACTAGTGTTGTCGCTGTGTCAAGTGCTTGCAATACATCGACATTATCTACCAGGTACCTACTACGCTCGCGGTCTCTGCTGGTTCTAGAGATGGCACGGCTATGAAAAGACGCCTGAGGTCCTAAAGTATCATACTACTTAAGTAAGCTGTTCAAAGTCTAATGTTTTGAATTAAAATTCTCATGACCTGTCTTATTATAGTTGATGAGGTTAGTGATAGTGATGGTCATCAAAAGACCCCTTGCGCTACCCGGGCACCTGGTAGGCAGATTCGCGCGATCCCAGTCCCAGAACTTCCCAATGGAAAACCAAACAGTCAGCATGCATCCACATCTTTACAGTAAGTTCGGTGGATGCAGCCGAAGTCGGGACGGAGCCTTAATGATGTTGTAAGCAAGCTTTGTTCGATCGAACACTTAATAGGTTATCTAGCACAACCCCTACTACCTGGTCGTTTTGTAGCGGCTGCGCCAAGGAGTTAGGACAGTACTTGTCGTGCTCACACAATGTCTGTTCCGAAGTTGGGCCATCTGACCCCAGAGCAGAAGTGTGCAGAGTCACTGGTAATAACGTCCGGTGTCAATACAAAGGTCCTAGAGGTACCTCGGCAGGTACCAGACCGATCGCTTGACCGAATGTGACCGGCACAAGCGGCCCCATGGCCTTATGTACCTACCTACTTTACTTAGTAGGTAAGTACTTAAGCATCTAGATGCCCATTAAGAAAACTCTACAACTTTTGCACTCTGCTTCGTACTGCAAATCGAGTCATTTACCAGCCTGTTCCCGTGATAGTGTGTCTGGTCAATAGTTCAAGCCCGCATGCTGATTGGCGCGCAGGTCAAGGCGTTAGCGTCTGAGGGTACCACGCGGCTACGTCTCGTGCGCTGACCCCGGAGTCGAGGCACAATCCATGTCTGACGTTGGTTTGTTACTACGATTACAATCCATCATCGAAGCCGACCAACGCCAGTGTTATTACTGGCCGGAACGTCACTCCTCTAATCTTCTTGTCTGTCCTCCAATTCGAGCTTGCTCATTTTACTCCCGCCCATTGCTTCCAGATTACGGGGTGCGTACAACTCGTTGCCCGCCAGACTTCCGGCCGCGGTAGATAAGAACAACCATGGCTTCCCGCGCCGCAGTACCCTTTCTTGTGACGATGATGCTCGTCACAGGAGTGTGCAACACACTTCTCACGAAATACCAGGTGAGTGTTTTGTCGTTTTTCATTCAAAGTCCCCATGTCACCCTCTTACATTGACTTGACAATCGCTGATTTGATGTGGAGGATAACCAATGCGTTCGGGATTGTCATGGCAAACGACCTCAACTCTTTGAGCAGCCGGTGCTCCAAACGGCGCAGATGTTCGTAGGCGAGATGGGGTGCTGGCTCGTTATTGCACTGATGGCTGCGTATCGGCGCATCGTCTCTCGACCGTCTCCCGAGGAACGCGGCTACGAAACTGTCAACACCACTGAGAATGCAGAACATGAAGAACACAGAAACAGACCAAAGCCAGATGGCGATTGTCCGTCCGTCCTCCGAGGGTTTCGCGTCGTTCTCCTGGCGCTTCCCGCCATTTGCGATATTTGCGGTACTACGCTCATGAATGCAGGACTACTCCTCGTTGCTGCATCCATCTACCAAATGACCAGAGGTGCCCTAGTATTATTCGTCGGTCTGTTCAGCGTCATGTTCCTCCGTAGGCATCTTCATCTATTCCAATGGCTCTCTCTCGTTGGCGTTGTTTTAGGTGTCGCTGTCGTGGGCTTAGCTGGGGCTATCTGGCCTGATGAGAAACAAATATCACAGAACGGTGGCAGCTCTCTCGTTGATGACGGTTCCAGTGGAGGACTTTCAGACGCCGCAAGAGCTGTCATCGGGGTACTCCTCATTGCTGGGGCTCAGATATTTACAGCAACACAATTTGTGCTAGAGGAATGGATGCTAGAGAACTCAACCATCGCGCCGATCAAGGTCGTCGGCTGGGAAGGGATCTTTGGTTTCTCGGTCACACTCTTGGTTATGGTTGTCATGCACTTCTTGGTTGGGCGTACAGAAGCTGGGCGCTATGGCCCATTTGACATGGCCGAGGGCATTCGACAAATTTCCCAACCGAAGATTTGGACCTCTAGCGTTCTGATTATGATTAGTATTGGGTGAGCCTTCTCTCAAGACATATACCAAATGATTTGATTTGTTGGCTAACAACTTATTCTTTCTACAGTGGTTTCAACTTTTTTGGCCTGTCCGTCACACGTAGTGTCAGTGCGACCTCTCGATCAACCATTGATACCTGCCGAACGCTCTTCATTTGGATCGTCTCACTGGGACTTGGCTGGGAGTCATTCAAGTTACTTCAGATCGTTGGGTTTGCGCTGTTGGTATATTCGACTTTTGTATTCAACGGGATTGTACAACCTCCACTGGAAAGTTTGCGCATCAATGAGGAGGTGGAGGAACTACTTCCTGAGGAACCCATCGAACACCAGTAACTTGACGTCTTAATGCACTGTTGCTTGGGAGGCATTGAGCGCAAGTGTCTGGTTTGGTAGCTGGACTACTGTATAGATTTCAGAGAATCTATTTATCGTGCCATGTAATTCATCACTCCTCCGCACAAATTCTGACTTATAAGTCCTCAGGTCAAAATGTACCATGGGCACTATCCATCCTTGCAGCTCTGGACGCGTGACGTCTCGAGTGTCCTGTAAACCAAACTTGAATATCGCCAATTTCAACCATGTAAAGAATATGATTATTTCACAGCGGTGGTTAGATTTTTTGACAACATACAATTACTAATGTCGCAGTCGCTACTCAAGCACAGTGCATGGTTGCTACTAGTCTCCCCTCCCCCCAAACACTCTCGCTAGACATGAAACGAAATGCAGTCTTCTCAAGTTACATTACAGAGAAGCTCTGCTTCGAGAATAAACTTCCCCTCTTTGTACTTTTCGGAGGCTTCGTAAGCTTTGTCATATTTCCAGCCCACTGTTTCCTTGCACTGACGACAAGTAATATCGCGGACTATATGCCTACCCGTCGTCATGTTGCGCTCACTAGGCTCGCCAGCCTCAATGTTCACAACAGTATGGAACAGATAGGCCTTGCCATGCTGGCCGCGGAAATTCTATCGTCACATCTCGGTTAGCACATTCAGCCTGCAGCATGTCTTTGACGCAAAAGGAGTCTTTCATTCTGCAATGTTCGCAGGCCTTACTTGGCTCTTGCTCGTGGTGGAATCAGGTGCTTTTCGCTCTGGAAGTAGGCAGGACTGTAGGAATCCACATACCCGACTTATGATATCCTCATGATTTGCCAGATGGGTCTTGCAGGTCTTGCAGCCGTATATCTTGTTGCTATTTAGATATGTGTTGTATGAAAGACCCATATCGCCAGATCTTTGTATATCTAGGGGTACGGCGTGGAGATGGAGGTGGTTTGAGAGCGAAGGAGGTTAATAAAAGTCTGGTGGTTGGGGGGTTGATGGATCTGTGTAACACTGTGGGTTGTGGCAGGTTGTTTCAGTGAACTTGGGACGTTTGATTCCTCCAGGCAACTACGTCAGCAGTCCACAAACCGAGGGCAGGTGACCACTGACGAGGACGGCTTGCTGAACCACGGAGTTTGAATGAAATGCGCGGCAGTGAAAAATGCTGCAGACTGCGAGGGCAGCGAAAAGCGTAAGAACTCTCAAGTGCTAGAAAAAAGACGAAAAGGAAGTGCCTCTATCCTGCCCGATTCGATCGATATGTGGGATGAATGTGGTGATTGTGTTGGATTGGACTCCTCGTTCTATAGGCAGACCCTCCATGTCACGTCAGGCGGAACGCCGTACTGGGGTAAGTGGCGGGCCTAATGGCCAATATCCTGTTTAATAAGGTGACGGAGGCGATTGGCCATCTGCTTAGATGCCCGCAATTGGGATAGGTCGCAATTGAGTCACTAAGCCTGCACTTTGTTTTAGAGACATCTAGGCCAACCGAATTCTACTTAAGTCAAGTATTGCGGTGAGGTCTCGAGCATTCTGTAATCAAAACATAGTCTTGTCATTCGAGGCGGCAAAACTACCAAGGTACCTATGTAGAGGTACCCAAGGGCGATGTCTGGTGGACCGTTGGCATCTACACCTACTTACCTAGCGTACCTACTTAAGTATGAGTACTTAAGGTATGTACCTAAGTAGGCATGTAGACAGCTATGGTCACCCAAGTACGGAAGCATAAAGTAGGAATGCAGCGGCATGGTTCACGAGTTGAGACGAAGAGTATTGGAAATAATTATAGCATTATCCAACCATACTTGAGTCATATATTTCAGTAGGTATTCTTCTAGCAATCAATATACCAAGCCACCCAAGAACGCCGGCCAGCCAACAGCCCGAAGTGATCGGCAAGATACCACTCTCTTGAACGGTTACACTTATTCTTTGCCGCCTTTCCTCCTGAAGTCGAGATTCTTATCTTTAATGTTGTTAAAGTGCCAGATACCTTGTTCTCTGTCGCGCTCTAAGCGTTCCGTATCTGCCTGGCTAACTGGCACCCCTTCTATACTCTTAACAGTTTTCCCTTCTAGGAACATAATATATCCTCCAATACCAGCAACCCCGCAGCCAAGAGCAACAAATAAACCGGTAGCCCAGCTTGGGCGGTTATACCGGTTCATACCCCACATGAACCCTGAGAGAACGCATTGTAGAAACGTGTTAGCTACCATAAGCCAGATAACCAAATCTAACTTCCAAACTAATGTTGGCCGGGCTCGGACTCCGGTTAGGGGGGCCTCGGGAATCTTTGTTTCGGGGAATGGTATTGCAGAGCGCGAGACCGACTGAAACTCATCTCTGGTAATAGTTCCAGGTCCAGCGGCTGGCGGTAATTCGTTTGAACCTCTCAACCGAAACCACCCCCGGTGAATGCCAGCCAATCGCCGAAGGGCCTCGGTTTTTTTCGCTAGTCGGTATTGTAACAGGAAATATAGATCTCTAAACCGCCAGGGGGCAAGTCCGAATCCGGTGACACAGAATAGGGCGTTGAGGATCTGCGAGTCGACCTCGATCCACTTGCGCCGTGGTGAATTGATGTCGTTGCAAGAAGGGTAGCACATGGCAGGTGCTGCAGAGCTTGATTAGTACATGCTAAATGGAAACCGATATTAAAAGTGCTCTTACAGGCATTACAAAGGAGCAGGAACAGCATTCCGCCCCATGCAACCACATTCAAGCCATAGATAGTCACGGCAAACCCTACAGGTGTAAGAAAATAGTTCCAGAACGCAAGGAGACCGAGCCTTGTCGACTCGCCAAACGAGTGCTTCGGGGGGAAATGATAGCCGTTTGGAAACGGCGCTGCAGAAGGGGGCTCGCCCTTGCATTTGGCTTCTGCCTGGATAGCTGAGCTACCATCGTTCTTGCTCTCCGCGCGACCTTCCTCGGAGACGGGATGAACTGGGGTGGGTTGCAAGGCATTGTCACCGCGAACAGCTGGCTGGGCCTTAGCCGAACCAATCGAACTAGAAACAGGTCGAGGGCCAGCCTGACGTGAGAGGATAGACGAGGCTATTCCACCTGTTGCTGCAAAGAAGCCTTCTGGCAGCTCAGATTGCTCAAAGCTTTGGGATACGCGTCGCAGGCGCCCACTCAGAGATGATGATGCAGCAGGACGATTTTTCCCTATGTTCTTAGATCCGTCGGCACTTGAAGATTGCGCAAGTTCTATCGGCGAGCCTTGCTCAATTGGGGGGAACGGTTCAATGTCCGCGTTACTCTTTCTCGCGCCGGACATGGTCGTCCGTTCGAAGGCAACAGCCGATGGCAAAATGATGGGTATCAGAACCCTCTCGTGACTGGGAACCCAAGACTGTGGAGGAAATTTCGCGTCAAAGTGATTTATGCCGGCGATGCTAGGGTCGTTATATCGCCAACCCTTAAAGAATAGAGTCGAAGGCGACTGCCGGTGAGGGGATGCCAGGAAACAAAAGAGAGATGGATGACACCAGACCAGACCAGGACAAAGGGATACCCAAGAAGTACGGAGGACATGTAGGAGGTAGGAACGTTAGTACCCTGGGCTTCGATGAAAATGGCAAACGCGGACCACTTAAGTACCCAGTAACATATGGGGGGAGTACTGCTACCATCTGCAAGCGCCAGCAACATTGCAGCCGTGGGACCAGTCTGGAACGAGCCAATGCATGATAGCGGGCAACTGTGAGTAAAAAACAAACGCCGTCAATGGGTACCTTGCGTAACCAAAAATTTGACCATTACACAACTTCAAGTTCAGCAATTTTACCAGCGAAACCGTCAGATTAGTCACCATTGCATTTGCAACAACTCCCTAGGTAGCCACAGAGTACAGTATCGAAGCCATTACTACCTTGGCTTGGCTTGTTTTCGTCCGACCGGTGGCTGTGCTGAGGAATCATGGCCGAACAAGAGGAGCACCATTCAGCTGCGGTGAAGGATGTTTGCGACACAGTCCTTCATAACCTAGCAGACCAGCATGACTGGACTTGCCTGGAGCTCCGCGACGGACCGGAGCTGCCTCGATCTCTAATAAGAGGCCTGCCGCCCAAGCGGCTGTATTTGCACCCTGACGACCAGATTGCTGCTCTCGCCCACGAAGAAGCCACTGGGGAAAAGCTGTTCCAAAACCCAGAGTACGAATTAGTTTTGCCAGTGCATATTACGGAGACATGGTCCCTATCCAGATTCGCGGCTGTTTTCAATTCGGTATCTAATAACGGCACACGGCCAAAGAGGATTTTGTTGGCTACTCTTCACAATGATTCTACCGTGGTTTACTACCTAATGCATGAAGGGATGGTGAAGCCTCGTCAAAACTAATTTTTTTGAAGGCTTCCAAATCGCGTTCCACGACTGCTCACTAGCTATCACTTACTATGGGCGAAAAATGACCTTCTGGACCTTCATCTTGTCAAAAAGCTCGTATCCTTCTACAGCATCCCTCAGTGGCATGACATGGTCGAACATGAATCTGCGGTGGCAAGTGCATTGGTCAGTCTCATCCTCGAACAACGGGCCTATCCCGATGTAGGCAAGGGTGATGAAAGCATTGCTGATAGGCTTGACTTATTGACGACTTACCCGAGTTGGTGCTGCTTCTGCTCCAAGACTTTCAATGCCTCTGGGAAAACATGACGTACCGGGCATCTCCCCATCTGGAGACGAACATTTTTTCTGCAAAATTGTTAGCTTTCCTCTTCTCCATTGCTCTCTTCCACTCGACACTCAGAACACAAGAAGGTCCTGTTCCTACCCGTAACCTTCATTTCCGGTCCACGGGATCTAAAGAAACGGTCAGGCACCGGCTAAGAGATATTTGTCGAGCGTCACATACCTCTGCGTTGTGGACTCCTATACTACTGATTACCCCAAATGGCCGGACAAGATCAAACGCAGTCCTCAGCGCTGGGCTCAGACCCACGACTTCCACAATCATATCTGCCCCACGACCGTCAGTTGCTGTCATGACGTGCTGGCGCATCCCTTCTGGATCAGTTGCGAAGTTGAGAGGTGTTGCACCAAGATCTTGAGCAATTTTCAGTCGACTTTCTACCCCATCGACTGCAAAGAGATGGCGAGGCTGGAGGCCGGACGCACAGGCTATCGCGCAAAGGCCAACAGGACCACAGCCCACAACGACGATGGTGGACTGAGTGATGTCTACGGTTGGAGACAGCTCTATTGCATTCTTTACTCCAAAATAGCCAGTGGGGAAAATATCGGCCATTAGAAGCAAAGCACGATCAGAAATAGTCTCCGGTGCCTTGAAAACAGTGCTGTCGGCAAATGGTACTCGCACATATTCGGCTTGCCCGCCATCGAGTCCGGCAGACCCAAAGAGCAGGCTTTGGTCACAGCGAGCTGTGAAGCCCCTCTTACAATAGAAACAGTTTCCACTATGGATTTTCATGTTAGCGGGATTTTTAAGTATTCCTTACTTTTGGGCGACATATTTCCAATTGAGTCATCGTGGGATCAGGCATAGCGTACCAGGATACAGTGAAAGGAGACACGACCTTGTCCCCTACGTGTAAGGTATGCACATCAGACCCAACCTCGCTCACGATGCCTGTGAACTCGTGACCCATGATGAAGCCACAGCCAGACTTTTGGTGCCCACGATATACATGCAACTCGCTGGCAAGTGGTGGCGTCAGTCTTCAGATCTGAAACTTGGTCCTGCTCAGAGGAAAATTGGGAAAGCATAACGACTTACGAGCCGCAAAGGGCAGTCGCTTGCACTTTGATAATGATATCTTTGCTGTCTTGCACTATGCCCATGTTAGGCATTTCCTCGCCTAGGCAACATGAAACGCACCCAATTCCAAATTTGCAGAATACGTACATTGAGGTACGGGGCAATCCCGAACAGCTACCTGACGTGGACCCTCGAATACGACGGCTTTCATGGTCATTGGGAGACTCATGATCAGGGATTTTTGCCTTGAGTAAGCACCGTCCAGATAGATTTTCCAGGTCTCGGTAATGAGTGAGGTTAAATTTCAATGTGATCCAGGACCGATACATGCTTTTGCTGCTTCCGAGGCTGAAGCATGAGGGGGTCCCGGTTGCGGCCACCACCTCAATGTGTGGGGTCTTGCAGCCAGATTCAAAACCTACCTCCTACTTAAGTAGGTACTTAGAAGTACTAGTACTTCAGACTCCTGTTCGTCTGGAACGTTCCAATAACACTGAAAGCACACTCGGTATCGCTTGTGTTGGCATAGCCTTTGGCGGAGGGGGCCTTTGTGTAGTAGTGAGCCCTTCGATCTACAGGTCGCGAGCCATTCACAATGGCCGCCCATGGTATGTCTCGCCAGTCCGTGGATGAAGGACACAGCCAACTTTAGAAGCTAACCCATGGACTCCGCCCAAGTGTTCTGGTACTAAAAAGGAGCGGACTAAGTCTCAGGCTCAGGGACGGCGACTCCTTCAGGTCTCCTACTTAAGTACTTACTTTAAGTACGCAGAATGAACACAGCCCGACGTGTTACTGCAACAAGAGTTAGCGCAGGTCTGGTAGAGGAGGCGGAAAATCTACCTCGCTGCACGTAGGAGGAAGAATTACATTACAATTTGATCATTCCTCCAGTGTTACGAACTAGCGTGGTGAAATGGTTTCTTCTGTGGCGGCTCAAACAAGCACAAATGGGTTTCGCTTGATATGCGCATAGAGGCGGAGTAGTCGGGAGTCTGGGGTCTCTTCTTTTGCAGAGGTCGGGCAACTCCTTACTTTAGGTACCTAATAAGTACCTAAGTACTTACCTAGTAGTTTGACACAAGCACGGATTTGCCGAGACTCGCATATCTATGGAGTTCTGCATGTATGTAATGTACAAAGCAGCTGTGTCAGTCGGTACTTCCCGATAATTGATGCTGTACACACATTCGCTTACTTACCAAGCAATCAGTAGTGCTTGGCAACGAGAAATTTACATGTTCGAACTCACATGCAGCTTGTTTCTTGTCTGAGATGGGCTTCGTAGCCGTTTGGTAGGTGCCTTACGGCTTCCCTGAGCTGGGGAAAGTCTGGTCCATGTCAAGGCCAACCGGACTTCTGAAGCCAATTATTCGTTACGCTCGGGCATCCTCCGCCCAGCCGCGCCCCCCCTCCCGGGGTTGCTCCAGCACGGGTGGACCCAGGTATGTACACAGGCGGGGCGCGCCCGGCGGGGTGCGGCTGATGAAGCTCGCGCGAGCCCATGCCACCTAAATTGCTCTGTGCTGCCATGGAATTGGGCTTACTATAACATGTAACCACAAAATGGGACAAGTTGTAAAGCGGGTGATACGCAGTGGGAAGAAAACTGAGTCAACAGATCTAACTAAGCTGGAGGAGCGTAAACTGGCAGGGTCTACTTACCACGTGTGTTGTATGCATTACCGGACCGATAGACTATGAAACTATTTTCATATCTAGGGATTGCAGGTTTCTGGAAGACGAAAGCGTTGCCAACAATCCATAACCGACCCAGGCTACATTCAATTCCTGTACTCCCTCGGCGCTACCCGAAGTACCGGTACATGACAGAATAACAATGTCAAAGGCAGTATTTGGTAGGCAGGTAGAAGAAATGAAAAAAAGGGGGTGTTGGTTGGGTTTTGGAACAGGTCAGATATGAGAAACTCAGTATCTAATAATGTACGCGCACCGAGGTCGTGATCAAATAAGCGCAAGAAGTACCAATGGGCGCCTCCAGTTAGCGAAAAGTAACAGCTCACAGCCATTTGTTAATCCCTCAAGAGCGTCCCATGCATTTGCAGCCAAGCTCACGGTAAAGCAAAACATCGGACGCCAAGCCCAGATAGCCTCGTACAGTAGGCATCCACATTCCGTTACTTTTTTTCCTGAACGGACTACGGTGTGTGATCTTGACCTCATGATAAGTCCGTGATACAGGAAGGCCGAGCTGGTCAAGATGACAATGCCATGGGCCAGCTATCAGTCAAACTACCTAACGACCCAGGCAGGTTATTATAATCTACACTCTGGTATGAATATTGCTAGGCTGTTAACTTATATCGACGAAAAGCCGCATCCTAATGGTCTCGAGGTTTGTTGCATCGTCTATCGGACCCCGAAGCTTTACACGGATGCTTGGTTGCGGATCGATTGATTTCAGCTTTCATGGCACTTGTCGGCGAAGTGCTTCATCTGGTTTTGTCGTGGCTTTGTAATTACGACTTTGCTGTCAACAACCCGCTGACCAACCCGATCACTGGGGTCTGCTCGCAAGACATGCTACGGAGTACAAGCTATGGAAACACGAGTATGTTTCAAGGACAACCCAATAATTTCCAGGCCCCTTGAAAGCACCTTCATGAGCCAGTTGAAGGAAGTATACATATGCCTCGTCGGTTTCCGAACATTGTGTCAGTGTAATAGAAGAGAGTAACGCCGGAACTGACATCTTTGGAGACCTCCCGCTATCCCTTTTACGAAAATTTGCTGCGTCCGAGTGAATTTTTGGCCGAATTCCCCCATTCTACCGTGAGTTTGAATGAAAACACGAAAAACTTTGTTTGCAAACGACGATTTCCCGCGCAGGTTATACCATATACCATTTACCGCTTCCCTAGGTAGTCAGTTTACTTTGCGTCCTATATAACGTACTTACATAACTAAGGAGCTGGGGCAGCGTGGTATATATTACTAGAATCCGATATAAACAAGTTCTGCTGCGGAATCATCTGCGGTTGAGCAATATTTGATGTGACGTTTCGCGAGACCTGACTTATTACCGAACTGCTCCCGCAAAAGGTGGGTAGATGTCAATTCGCCTACAGTAAGAAATAAGCTCCATGGTACTCAGACCTACTCAGCCTCAGCCGCTCAAGCGGTGGAAAACATCACCTCGCGCACCCAGAGAGACGCAGCCTCCTCGACAAGAAAATCGGTCCACTTCTGGACCATTCCCGCACCCTGGTCACAGAGGTCATCTCCCGCGTTTTCATCGCCGACGAAGGGGATGGAGGGTGGCAGCGGGCCCATGAGCCCGGCAGCATAATCCCGTACCGGCAGATTGAGGCTTATGTACGTGCCCTAGGCCTAACAGGAGAGCAAAGACTGCAGTATTCCTCATCAAGTACTCCGTGCAGTACCAACTTAATAGCCAACAGGTCCCGCTTACCGAATCCCCCGTCTGTGCCAACGGAGTTGGGGAGGACATCGACGATTTGGGTAAGACTGCCCTCTGTGGAGCGCTATCCGAGGCTGCATGGCGAACGGTTATGAGAACCAGACACCATTATTACCTTGGACGAGGCGTGCGAGTCCAGACGGCGTGTTGCGCACCAGTGAAGTCAACACCAACCAATTGAATGCTCCACATCGACCACTAGGCCAGAGGCACCTGTTGTACCCCCCTTTGCCCTCCCTTCTGGGTTGGATTTCTGTTGTTGTCCAGCACTCGTAATGATCTAGGCGGTTGTCACAACAGCCCAAGTCGAAGACATCTACGGATCCATGGTGTAATTGGACGCGCTTTTATTTCCTCTAGTTTAGTCTGATCGGAGCGGCGGTCGTCGCATGCGGGCTGTGAAGCCTCCTATGAGCAAGCGAGCGATGGGTGAGGGTGAGTGAGTCCCGAGCGGGAGTGGGTGGTGGATGTGGATGTCAAGGTGCACATGTGGTGTGCCGGCTGGGCTCTCCTGCCGAAACAGCGGCTAACTAATAGGCCACCAACCCAAGGTAAATAAGCACTTGCTCTGTGTCCGGTGATTGATACTCCAACAACGTCCAGATGAGTTAATTTGGCCGGCAAATGGTGAAGTAAATGATGTCAGGGTTGCCAGTCCACCGCCCTGTGGATGTCCTAGCCAGAGTAGAGACTGAATGTGGGATATCCCTCAGCGTTCCCAGGAAATGGCTTTGACGACATACATATTGTTGAGGCAGGAGCTCGACATCTTGGTGCCTGCCTGTACATAGCTGGCTCACCAGGTGACTGACTGGCTTTGATTGGCTCAAAGCGGCTGCAAGCATGATGAAGCAGGTTAAGCAGGTTGGGTCGCCGAGCTGTCATGATTAACCTGTCATCGCAGTGCCAGGGTCCCCTGGTCGAGTGCACGAGGCTGTACCGACCGGAAGTCCGAACCACTTTGGCGGGGGTGTGTTAACCTTGCCGTTGGTGGCGGGTAGTGGGTACCTAGTAGGTACCTGATATCCAGACATCTGGTTGCTCAGGTACTTGCAAGTCGGCACAGGGGAAGGAAGGCCTGGCACAGCGAGTAATATCAATCGAAGTTAGCAGCTTGCTTGCTCTTCAAACGTTCCAGAGGATGCTGCTTGGTGTGACAGCATACTCAGTACCTAAGTACTAATTAGTACTTAAGTAAGTAAAGTAGGTACAGGATCACCCTCTCTAATACTACTTGACATTTCAGCTCCAAGATTACCAAGCAGTAAGGAGCATGTTCACGATACAACTTCAAAGTGCCGGCTGGTATCCACGATGAGGTGAAGAAGATTCGGATGCAGCCAGGCATAATAACCCCCCCCCAACCTCACGGTGAATTGCAGGTCCCAGCTTCAAATTGAAGTTTCTGTTCCTTCGATGCCCAGGTCAGCACTCCAGGCCAGTGGGCCCTAGCGTCTCTCGCCCATCATGATAATTGACGAGTCCTTACCCAAGTATTTAAGTCCTTAGTTACTGGACGCACTGGCGGAGAATATCAAAACAGTCCTGTGGCTTTAGACACTGTACTTTACTTAGTATACATCAATGTCACTCAACACTGCTCACTGCACGTGGAGTCTGGTCTCTGTGGTCAACTCGTGCCGGTCACTGTACTCCGTACAAGTTGCCTGTACTTGGCCGAGGCGGTCGACCAGCAGACTCCTCATGTTGGCTACCGGTACCTACCGGTAGGTAGTGTGGACTTTTGCAACATTATGCAGAAGTACATACTCACAGCACCGTGTTTCCATTCATTTGATGTTTTGGTCTACGCTGCTCACCTCTCTGTTAGACTTTGCTTTGCAGTAAAAAGCTTCACAAACATTTGACCACAGCTTCGCGACAACAACAACACCCGTTTTGAGTTCCATTTGATCGCATCGACCATAAACACCTGCTCCGCTCGGCTGACGAATTACTTACCTGTACTTTTTAGCAAGTAAAGGAGCCCTCACCATCCCTACTTACTTAAGTACCTAGGTAGGCACTGCCACAGGCCGGATAGTGCCGTCGTAGAAAGCTTCAGGCTAAACCGCTCATGGCACCTGGGTCGGAAAAATGTCGATATGTAGAGGCGGGATCCGACTGCGACTTGGACGAAGGTAATGTGAGGCAGGTTGACCTTTTTTAATATTGCCCAGAGCTGTTCCTGTTCCTGTCTCGTCCATCCTATCCCATCCAGCCCTGCCCGTCCCTCCACTCGCGAACCCGCCAGTCCGCCCTCATCGCCCGCCCGCGCCCCCGCTCTCTCCTCGAGGGTCGAAAGGGTCGAAAGGGTCGAGAGGGATGACAACCGCCCGGCCATAAGCTCTTGCTTGTTCGCTCGCACCCTGTCTTCTGCAAGCCCTCAATGACCCTGTTCCTTCCTGTCTTCACCACCTCCCAACTCACACGCGCTGGTCATTCCATTCTTTCGTTCCTCCCCCACTCTGGAGATGTTTGTTCTCTCCTTGAATTTTTGGTATCTTTCAACCCGCGCTTGATCTTGTTGTCATCGTCCCTTCTAAGGTTGGCTGCCGCCTGTTACCCGCCGCCAGCGCCTTTACACAACCCAAGCCTTACCTACCTCAACCGCAGCGACCAGAAGGCGGGCTATTTCACTGCCCAAACCGCAACAACCCTCGGACAAAGACCAATAACCAGTACCTCTGTAGACCCATTTTGGAGGGGGAGGGTTCTTTTTTTCAATCCTCAGCAAAGCTATCTCGGTTCGCCTACCCTCTCTTTCAAACAGCATTCAAGAATTGCAACACACTCGTCCAATAAGTCCTAATCGCCCTTGAGTTCCAATCTGACCCTCAAAGTCACTTTGGTCGGGCTTTCTCCTACGAGCGAGTCTGTGTGCTGTAGCCATTTTCTTTTGCGTTAACCTTCTCGCTGATTGGTCATTTCGTCAATAGGAAGGCTCTCATATACTGACATCGTTTGCTTGGCTATTGAGAACCTGCAACTTGAAGCGGTGGTGTACTTGTCTGTACCAAATCAACAAAAGGCTTGCCTCGGGTACCAAAAGAAAAAAGACATATCCCATCACTGCTTCTGTTGTCAGGTTTGTCAGATTCGCGAAATTTTCTGCGCCGTGTACCGTGCTATACAAAAAAGAAGACCATTTCTCATCGTCAAAAAAGCAAAGGGGCTCTTCTTGTTACCAGTGCTAGCATCGGTATTTGGGCTGGGTCTCTTGATCGTTCGGAGAGTCATTGTGCCACTCTTGCAGGGCCGGCTTCTCAGTCAATCACACCTCTTGCTCCCCATAGTGCCTGGATTTATTCACCCTCCCTAATTCTTCTTCGTCCTCCTCCTCCTCTTCTTCTTCTTCGTTTTTTTTGTGCCGTACTCGTCTTTCACCTCTGGCATTGGAGCTGTGGTTTGCTTGATGCCCTTGTTGCCCTTTCATTCGAGGGCCATGGCCAATTGAGCTGCTGACAGCAGAGCTCAGAAGTATGACTACGGCTGCCCAGCAGCACCAGCAGCTACAGAATCAACAGGCTGCCGAGACTTTCGATCCTGATGAAGTTCTTCTACGAGGCAGTCCTCTCATGAAAGCGCTGCACCCGAAGCTCGAGCTCTCCCCCAGTCCGCCCCCGGACATTCCTCCCGCACAAGTCAGTCTTAGTCCTCCTCCCATCGACGGCTTTCCAAGGTCTAATCGCCCAAAGATTCGCCCCAGCTCCGGGGATGCCGTTCTCGTGGCATATCTCGATAACGGTCGTCGCCCAGAGATTGCTCGTGCCGCTGGCTATCGAGCGCTTCCTGGCGCCGACGAGGAGGAAGAAGACGGCCTCCTTGGAGACCCTTCTTCCCCGAGACGAGTTGGAGAATCGCCAGTATATGCTCGAGCTAGCGGTAGCGTACCGCAGTCTCTGGGTGCCATGACAAGTCCCAGACTCCAGCATCTTGCGGCCGATGCTCTTCAGGCCGTCACAACAGATCCCGTGCGTGCCTCCGTCCCAAGGGAAACTCCAGATATCGCATTTTCAACCCGACACTTATCAATAAGTGATGACCGACCACACAACACCACATATCATTTGGCCTCTAGGGATGCATCGAAACAAAACGCAACAACTAACAACGCAAACAAATCTCCCATCACCATGCTCACACCAGCTAGCGGCGGCTTGCCACCTCTACAGATGGATTCCCCAAAATCCGAATGCAATGGTCATATTCTCCCATCCATACGGTCTACACTTGGCGATATCAATCGCATCCCCTCCGAGCCGCCAACCCCAGCCGACAAGGATATGCCGACTCTGCACGGATCTAGCGCTCACTTCTCCCGATCCCCCCCAGGGACTATGCGACGCCTGCCCCCGATGTCCGCACCACACGTTTCTCCTCCCATCTCTCCGAATGAGCCTTACCAACTCAGCCTGCCGTCACCAAGGTCTTTGCCTGCATCCAGTCCGTACAGTGGTTACACTTCCAACGGCCTTAACCATCGACCAAATACAGAGTATGTGCCAAGTGCTTGTGGTGAAACACCTAGCACCGACCAATCTGCCCTTACGCCATCCACGACTACTTCCGTGGTGGATCGAATGAGCATTGACGGTATAACCAATCCACCTGTTGGATTATATGCTTGCAACTTTGCGGGATGCACCGCGCAGCCATTTCAAACTCAATATTTGCTCAACTCTCATGCTAATGTACATTCATCGGCTCGCCCACATTATTGCCCTGTCCAAGGATGTCCTCGGAGTGAGGGCGGCAAAGGGTTTAAGCGAAAAAACGAAATGATACGGCACGGCTTAGTCCACGATTCACCGGGCTATGTCTGCCCGTTCTGTCCCGAACGGGAACATAAGTACCCGCGACCTGATAATTTACAACGGTACGGTACTTTCAACTTACCAAAGTATGAGGAGACAATACTAATGTAGTCTACATTGTAGACATGTGCGGGTCCACCATGTTGACAAGGACAAAGATGATCCAATGCTTCGAGAGGTGTTATCTCAGCGGCCTGACGGGCCAAACCGTGGTAGGAGAAGGCGGGGGACTGCGTCTTAGTGTTGGCTTGCGGTCAAACCGAGGCTTCGGACCGTGGTGCAATGCAGCAGAGCCAGCCGCCAAAATTTATTTGTTTATGAGTACACCTGACGATACCACCGGAAACCAGGTTTCATTTCACGAGATCCACGAACGTCATTGAGCAATTTGTTTTTCTGACCTTAACTTGCCTTTCTTCTTTTCTCGGCTGGTGAACGAGCTCCCAGGCTTGCGCTCAAGACTTGTAGTCCAGCTTTAGGCCACAGGGACGGCATTGCATTTGATAAGCTATGCTCCGAAACGCATCACCTCGTTCTGACGGGGAAATCATTTGTTCCTCACGGTTTTGACTCTATCTTTTCCGTTCTTCATTTTAATTTCCTCGAAGACATGCTCGGCGTTGAGGCTTTATATATACCAGGCTAAACATACCATTTGTCTTTATTCATGACGATTCTGTCCCACATATCCTGTGGGAGTCCACAATTATTCTTTAGGGGTCCACAAGCGTCTGAGCTGCTTCATATATATAATGCATATATATGCATGCATGTATTTATTAATTTGGATTTTCGGGTCTTCTTTCTTTTGAGAACTCGCAATGTTACCAACAGAAACAACTGGCATCAAAGGATTCAGGCGTTAGAAAGGGTATGGCGAGCACTCCCTTGGTTACAGTGCCGTGGGACGGTTAGAGGATTTACAAAACGGATTTCCCTTCAGCTACATCTTTTATGGTATATACGCCACGGCATGTGAGAATGCGCCAGTCTATTCAACTGAACAGCACCATTCACACTGATTCCCAGCTGCCAATCCGTACAGGCGAGTCACTAAGAATCTCTCCATCGATTGCCAGCGCTGCGCCATGGGACCCCATACTTTCGATTAGTATCCACAGCCCGTCTTTTCGTATGCGCTTAGGCTCCATGTCAAACTGGGGGGTGCGTACCGTACTCCCGGGATCTTGGAATTCGTTGTCACCAGAGACTGCTATTGTGACTTGTTCTGGTCCCCAGCCGTGAACGACTGACACACGAACCACCTGGGACGATGGTGGCTGCATCTTGCTACCAAGTTGTGACGTAGCACTACTGTGTAGAGACACGCTTGCGCTGGTTAACCAAGACACGTCAACTGGTATACGAAATCGCTCATCTCCTTCCGCTAAGTGAACATGTGGTAACTTCGTCAGGAGCCTACCCGCACCGTCCGCCGGTACAGGAGCAATAGTGGTCGGTACCATTGACGAGACTCGCACAGAAAAGTTGCCCAGCTGGGCCGCCTCAAAAGTAGAACACACAAGAGTATAAACTCCTGGCTCGAGCATCGCAATATCTGCCACAGCACACCCACGACGATATTCCCCGGAGGAAGCTACCAAATCTTTTACCCTCACAGCTGTTACCCGACGGCCCTGCGCCCATATAAGATCCACATGAACGTGAATGTCGCTGGCATCGGCGCAGAGGAGGATAGAAACCGGACTTGGACTTTCAACGGAGAGTCTATACTGAGGATTTTGAAAGAAGGTTCCACATGATGCATTGCCACCGGCGGTTCTCCTCGTCCAGGCTCCAAGCTGCTCTGTGAACTGTGACATGCTCTCTAAAGCCTCTTTCACCTCAAGCGGGCTGTGCGAAAATAGAGACATTGTAAAATTATAACGAGGCAAAGGGAGCTCGTGTTGATCAACCACGATTGTGTACGGCTGTCCAGGTCTTGTATCGAGGCGGGCTAGCGTTTGATGCGAGTCGACGTACGGACCCCGGTAAATTTCGCCGCCACAAATTTGAAGCTTTTGCCCACCATTCTCGAAGACTGATATGCTCATGAAACCGAGTCGGCGGGCCGCAGCAGCCATCGAGTCTCGCCTCTCACGAGCGATATCCAGCTCAGCATCGACGAAGTGGCGACTGACAAGGATCCAAATGGTACCAGCACTCGGTGAGGTGACGGAAAATTGGGGGTTTCTGGACAACGATGCGCTGTATACCTTGGCGGGGAGTTCCCATGAAAAGTGGTGGTCCTTGCGATAGGCAAATAATGCTGGGTTCCAGTTGAGATACATGGATTCAAAGTGCTGCGCAACATCCTCGAAAGCCACCCACAGCCTGCTACTAGAATTTGGATCATGTGCCAGCCTTTCTGTTGATAGGCCGGTGTTAGGCGACTTGATGAGAGTGGAAGATGCAGAGCCTAGCCACCCCAGCGCTGTCATAGATGGGGCGTCACACCAAGGATTTTTAATCAATAGTCGCCGACTGGAGCCAGAGGTGTCAAGGTTCTCGACGGCATAGTCATGTTCCCCGATCAAGCCCATTACCTCCTCCTCCTCGGCTGATACCCGACCAGTCCCCAGAGTTATCACCACGTCTCCCGACTTGTGAGCGGCTTGTATTCGCTCCCAGATGTTCTCGAGGTCGATGTCCTCTCTTTTCAAGAATTAGTAAACGTATTCACGTAGTAAGTTACCGATTAGTTTGCGTTAACAGGATCATCAGGGTCACCTTTGTAGAAAGAGTTGCTCCGGGATCCACCCTATGAGAACCCATAAATCTGTGCCTGAATTACTTCCTGGGAAATCGTAGCCGCCTCTGACTTTGAGATATGCTTTCTCAAGCAGAGCTGGCCACAGGAGATATGGGTTCTGCCTGTCGACCACGAATAATGCCCGGCCTGTTCGGGATGAGGGTAATCTGTCGTCAACTACGACTTTGCGGGCACACCCGTTGAAGTTCAGCTTCATCACATACTTTCCTGAAGGGGATAGTCTCGGTTTATCGTTTGCAAGATCGTAAGGATGCAGAATTGAAGAAAGCACCTATCGCCAGCAAAGGTGAAGTTTTATGATTAGCACAGCACATCAGCAAGCATGGTAGCTTCAACCTTCGATGACATTCTTACCGCGTGCTTCCCCGTCAGTACATTAAAGGCCGCCGAGAGACTAGCCACTACAGAGCAGTCCGTCGTGACGTCTTGCATCAAATCGCTGTGGTTAGAAACCTGCATCATAGCATCTTCACAAGCCGCTCTATCAGTTTGTTGAATCAAATTAAATAACCTTTGTGGCCTCACCCACGCCGCAAAGTTGTCGCTTTGATTTGCTGATAAACAGAAATCCGTATCATCTCTAAAACCAAGGATGGTAGTCAGTCAAGCAGTTACGGTATATCGTGTTGTAGCAACAGAGGTGAACTCACGTAAATGGATACTGGCCTGGCAAAAGTTCAAACTCGTCCATCCCGGGTCCCTCTTGCCAAATGGGAAAGTCATTTCCATGGAGCTTTGAACCTAGTCGCAAAATGGATGCCGACCTTGGTTCGGACAGCGATGGCCGCATGGCAGGCAATTCTTCAGGCTTTGCCACTCCACCCAGAGTAGCCTTGAGCCTTTCAGCATATGTAATCATCTCCTGGCACTTTCGTCGAAAACGAACGGTGTCCGTCTTGCTAGCAGCCTCTCCTGCGGCTCTCATGTATAACTCAGCCGCTTTGATGGCATTGTTCAGCGCATCTTTGCCTGCTCCTCCAGTCGCTAGAGATTCTGCGGCCTGTCCATGTGATTGAACAAGTTAGTCTTCTCCGACTTGGTTTGGTGTGGTAACGCACGAAAAAAGCATGACATGCCATCCTGGAACGGGCTTCTAGTTGAGGCGTGCTTTCAACTGAGCAACTACTTACCTGCGCTCTCCTCTCCATGCCGAGCCAATGTTTCTTACATCAGTTTACCATTGCGCGGGTAGAATACTGACGCGGTTCCTTGGCTTCAAAGGCTCCTCGGGTAGAGTGAAAAACTACAAGCTCCAAGACTGGAAGCCTAGCCACTTTGTCAAATATTGAAGCATAGGACTTGAGCTAGCGTAGGTCAAGCGGTGCAGAAACAAAGCTTCATGTCACCAGCAAAATGACGGTGATGGCGGGGCAGATGTAAGTGGGGCAAATTCAAGCTCGCAAGATGTCATCAGTGGAGCTGGCTCATTGCTTCAGCGCAAGTGCACCTGATGGAGGAACTTGCCGCATCGAAGTGTTACAGTGTTGCGTGTATCTTGATTAGCAATGCGCCGTAAGAATGTGATGATCCTGATATGCCAAACTTTAAAATATCCTGACATGAGTTTTACTGCAAATTCGAGGCGACAATCAACTAGCATGTTAGTAGTACGTAGTCATCGTTGGGAGGCACGGGACTGCTCAGTGGTGCCTGGTGTATCTACAGGGCAGACATACCTACCTACTTACCTAGGTACTTACATACTTAAGTCTAAGTAGGTATAGTATGTGAAGTGTTGCGGGTGGTTTCCTCCAAAATCTTCCTGGTCTGACCAGACCTAGCTCGGTTATTGGTAGCGGATGTTGGGAGGGCAATGCTGGCAGTTGGCACATGTGCAGCTATCAAGGCACGGCTTTTTATCTAGAGTCTGGTGCGCTTGATCAGACACGCATAAAAGACTGTGCCACGTTTCTCGGCAGGGCACCTGGCTAGCAATTTCACTTGAAGCATGCTTGTATCCCGCCTAAGCTTCTTGCACACCACAGAATAGTGTTTGCGCAGACCTGAGTGGTCCCAGAGGCTCAAGGTCAGTAACCAACTCCATCGTAAGCACCAAACTGCATCCCAAGTAACTAATTAATAGGCAGCGCTAGCCTCTAGGCTACGTGAGAACATTGAACCGAGGTTCCGCACCATGCACTTGTGGGCCATCCGGTTTAGTGCCGATGCGCTTCACCTGGCACGGGCTTAAAGCCGCAAGACCGAGGTCCAAAGAAACCGCCTCATCCGTCGGCCGGCGAAACGGCTAAGAACAAGATATCATCCCGGCATAGACGTGTCACTCCATCCACTCCGTCCGGGTAGTGCCGTCAATGGTTTTTCTCGACCAATTCCTCACTGCACAATAATAACGATCCCGACTTCGCTCGGGTGCCAGTCTCTTGGTATGCTCTGCTATCCCGGTTGCAGTATCACCGACTTCGTCGCAGTGCGCAAAGTGCCAGATTTACTAACTACCTGAGCACCCAGTCGTCAACTTGTTCAAGATTAACCGAACGACACGACCCAGTCAACGTCAACGTTTTTCCCTTCCAGCGCAATCTCGCCATGGGAGCGCAGTCGAAACCCGAGATTTCGGCCTGGGCCCGCGCGTCGGCAGGAGCTACGGGAGCTGTCCTCGCCAACGCCTTGGTATACCCTCTGGATATGTATGCCTGCTCAATTGCAGCGTGCTGCCTGCTGGCAACAGGGATAATGTTGCTAATTCCAAATTGTTGAGATAGTGTTAAGACCAGGCTTCAAGTGCAAGTTCGCCAAGACAAGACCTCGTTCGACTCGGACAGTCCGCATTACACATCAACTTGGGATGCAATTTCGCGAATCATGGCAGACGACGGAATTCAGGGCTTGTATGCTGGCATAAATGGTTCCCTTATCGGTGTCGCATCAACAAACTTTGCATACTTCTATTGGTATACCGTTGCCAGGACCTTGTATGTTAAAACAAACAAGACTCCTGGTCCACCGCCGTCGATGGCTGTAGAGCTCGCTCTCGGGGCTGTTGCCGGTGCTCTCGCGCAACTCTTCACAATTCCTGTGGCTGTAGTAACAACGCGCCAGCAAACGGCGCGAGCTGATGAGCGTAAGGGTCTCTTGGCCACAGCTCGAGAAGTTATTGAAGGGCCAGACGGCGTGTCCGGATTATGGCGTGGGCTCAAGGCCAGCTTGGTGCTCGTTGTCAACCCTGCCATCACATACGGAGCATACGAACGACTCAGGACCGTTTTCTTCGACGGCAAATCCACTTTACGGCCGTGGGAGGCATTCCGTAGGTAGCCAAATGATTTGTCCGCTCCGCATCTGCACAGTGCTAACCAGCCGATACTCTTTAGTTCTGGGAGCTCTGTCCAAGGCGTTGGCAACCATCGCCACCCAGCCTCTGATCGTCGCCAAAGTTGGTCTGCAATCAAAGCCTCCACCGACGAGGAAAGGCAAGCCGTTCAAGAGCTTCATCGAAGTTATGCAGTTTATCATTGAAAACGAAGGACCTCTTTCACTTTTCAAAGGTATTGGACCTCAGATTTTCAAAGGCTTTCTCGTTCAGGGTATTCTGATGATGACGAAGGAGAGGTACGTGGACGACACAAATTCGACATTCAACCATTGCAATGAAACATGGAACTAACTAGGAAAACAGGGTGGAGCTCTTATTCGTCTTATTCCTGCGATACTTGCAATCTCTTCGATCAACTCAGCTACGCAAGGCTTCGGATATTGCATCCTTGGCGGCGCAGCACACTTCTCTTAATGTTTCGAAGCCACTTGCAACGTCGTAACAGATGTGGGAGAGACGACTGTTTAGTCAAAAAACAATCTGGTTTATCGAATCACTGGGTATTTTCTCAGCGCATTTGTACATGTTTAGTTAGAATTTTTGTCTGAGATGTCTTTGCATTCCACGATATGATACGAAATTTAAGGGTAGATATTATTATTGGCAATCAAAGTGTAGTTGCTGTTGTCGTCGAGAATCATCTTTGAACGCATAGTGGATTGTGCATTGCGAAGCAATACAAGGCTAAAATAGCGCGGAGAGTTGCGTGCAGTGTCTCGCAATTCGGAATATTCAAATCACAAGCTACCGATGATGAAGATCTTGTTTCTCTATTAACAGGAACTTGAGAACACAATTACTACCTACCGAATATCTATCTGGGTAGGCGCCTCTGCACAATCCGGCTCCAAGGATGCAAAAGGAAACAGATTTAGGTGAAAATATTGGAAGACCAGTCGACTTGTCCTGTTAACACGACAGTGAACCGCCACCCAACTTCGTAACATGGAGGTGGAGCCCATGTCCAGGTTTCCATTATGTCAGCGAAGTGGGTCACCAGCAAGTCGTCTAGGGCTTGGAGCATCACACACTTTTTTTTCGCAACCTGATTTGGAACTATCACGAAGTCATCCTTGACATCAGACATCTGGGAAGCAGCCATGGCGAGTAAGTAATGCGACAGTTTTTGTCCTTGGTATACGATTTACTGATACTAGGTGGATAGAGTCAAAGAATTCCTCGCAGCACAATCAGTGGCGCAAGGCCCACCGCAACGGGTTCGCCAAATCTCGACAAAAATGTGATTGCAAAATACTGACGGATTGACAGCATCAAGAAGCCCAAGACTTCGAGGTACCCCTCGCTGAAGGGCACAGACCCCAAGTTTCGACGAAACCACCGCCATGCTCTCCACGGTACCGCTAAAGCATTGGTATGCAATACTTCCCGATATAACGAATCTACAATTCGAAACTGACCAACGGAACAGAAAGAGGCGAAGGAGGGCAAGCGAGAAGTTGTGTGAGGATATATGATCACGGCTGGGTTGTTGTGGTTACTGAACGCGAACGTGCTGGATTGCCCCGAGAGGTCAAGCGGCAGTTGATACAGACATCGAATGGAAATGCTACTGCTCATGCCTATTGTCCATATCAGAGGACGTAGTCGATAAACAAATAAAACTACCATTGCAGGTCCTCGAGGACGCCATGCAGCTACGTTTGTTTTCACTCATGTTGTCCGGGAAGGTGATTTCGTCTCGCCGGTGTCACTTGGTGGTTATGCATGACACGCGAATCTAAGCCTCAATGTATTGGGTCTAGAAGCCTCAGCGATCCTGTTACACTTTTGTAGTGTAGGCGGTTAGCGGTCCTCTCGGCTGAACTTACAAACGTGTCCGGAGCCTCAACCAGTCACTCATTAAATAAGTCAAGTTGCTCCAACGGCCAGTATCCCAGTAAAGTCTCGGGCATGAATCTGCGAATACAATCGGACGCAATGACCCCCCCCCCCTCAAAATAAGTTGTCGCCAGTAATTGTGTCGCGATGAGCAAAACGAGCCTATAGTGGGTCCTACTGCACGCTTGCTGCCTGCTCTGCGTTTCTTCAACCTCTCATCCTGTCCCTTCTCTATATTTTGCATGCTTCGTAGTCGCAGCAGCACGGGGGGAGCGTTAGGCGGCCCTTTCTATCGCATTACAATTGTCTGCTAAGCTTTGGCGATTCTGACCCCATCAATCCATATACGTACGAAACTAAATAAGTGTGCATCAATGCATGCACAGTCTATATCTTTGTAGGGAGGAGACGAATGCTTTTTTAGATGGTTGCCACATGGGAGGTCAGCACTGTCGTGACATGGAGGCTGAAACAGACAATGGTTGAACTTTGAACATGCTAAATATATACTCAGAAAGGCGAGGTAGAATATTAACTCGGACATGTACTGATGGTCCATAAATATGCCAATAGATATGAAATCATCGGTGCTTTTCCGCTAGATATATTCATATTATGGTCGTTCGTCCCTGGCAGATACACAGCGTATGTATGTATTCGTCTTGTCAATGAAGCTTGGAAAGTATCGCGGTCCAGCCAATCAACTCCTGTTGAGGCCCCAGATTTCGGGTCCCTCGTTGTTCAGGCCTCTGGCGCCCAGCCCCTCTGCCTGTACATGTGCCTTTCATTACCTAAGGCGCTTGAGCCCCCATCCAGGGTTTATTGTGCATCAGAGCAGGACTTGGAACCCACCTCAACCAGACGACTGACCAGAGTGCTTCATGCCAGCACTTCCTTTTCCTGCTACAGCATCACCAACAGGGCTCTGGTCCGCACGCCACGCGGCAGAATCTATCACTTCTTTCACTTTGCCTGCCTGGAAGCAGACGGACACAACGTGTATTTCATTAATCACCTGTGGGCACGCCCTTTCTGTTCTTTGTGGTAAGTATCTTTCAGACACTTGCACTGATCGTTCGTCCTGGCCCAACACAAACAAAAGGGTTTGCCCTTCTGATCAACTCAACCGTCCCTGGGCATCCTCTTGAAGAAATGAAAGTAACAGATCTTTAGCTCGACCTGTGTTTCTTCTGCTGGAACATGCAGTAGCCTGCTCGTTCTTTCTTGTCTAAACTCCTTTGAGGTCAGCCGGTCACTGCAGGAGTCTACGCAAGCTTCTCTCCCCGACCCTGATCCAAGCCTGATATTCACGCCGGCTCGTTCCATCTTCAAGGCTTATACTCGACGACCCAATAGTTCTCAACATGTCTGGTAATAACATCATTGGAAATCGAAATAGTACCCCAGAGGCGAATAGTACCTCGACGCTACGCCCACCATCGGCCAGGGCAATTGGCTCAGGAAGCTCCCTTCGAGCCTCTGCCGACATGACTGTCCTCACAGGTTCATCTTCTGTTAGTCGTATTCGGCCTTCCTCCGATTTCTACGGCCAGGCTCAGCAAGGGCATGGCCAAGGGAACGCGGAAAACGACTCTCAAGATAAAATCGCACAGCAATGGATTGCCGATATTGACCAATATGAAACAACTTTGGAAGAAATGGCCGCTGCAACTTTAGACCAGGACTTCAAGGATGAGTTGAGTGCTATAGAGCAGTGGTTTCGGGTCTTGAGCGAGGCGGAGCGGACTGCCGCCTTGTACGCTCTCTTACAACAAACCACTCAAGTACAGATTCGTTTCTTCATTCAGGTTCTTCAACAGATGGGGAAAAACCACCCTATGTCAGGTGTCTTGTCTCCTGCAAATTTTGACAAAGGTACGCTGCCGCTTTGCCAACCTCCGGAAATCTGGCCTCGGTCTCTAATGATTGCAGACCCAATGTCCAATCGCCTCAGCGATGCTATGAACAAGTTAAATGTTGATTCGGCCCGCAACTCCTTTTCCCGAAACTCAACTATAGCTTCCGCTAAGCGAAACTCCGGCCTTGACCCCTCGACCATTAATGCTATGTTTCCTGACGCTGCGGCAGCGATAGCAACAGAGAAAGCAAAATTCACACAGCAAACCGGAAATCCTCCATCCTCGAATCGCAACTCCGCCGCCATCGATACCCGCGTGTCGATCTCGGGTGGACAAGAAGCCCGTGATGCTAGCGCGCTGAACCCAGCTTCCCCATGGGGTGCCGGCGCTGTAAATGAGCCGTCAACTGCCAAAGGAAATACATCACAGGTGCCAATGGGCCAGTTTGTGCAGCCACCGCCTTCGGGGGGCCTTAGGTCCCCACGGCCACAGATGGCCGGTGGTTCTACTATACAAAGCACCACACTTAATGCTCCCGAGAAGAATCCCTCTGATCTGCCTTTATTATCCCCATATCAGTCGGGTAGCGGAAATTGGGCATCCATGGTGAATACTCCAATGGCGCCGACGTTCAATGCGGCTACTACCGGTGGCAAGCAAGCCGACATGATGGCAAATGCCACTGTTATGAAACTTGCTGCACTCTCAACCGTCAACAATCGTATTGCCTTGGATGACGTACGCAAATACCGCCGTGCCAGATCTAACGATGCGCCCGGTAGCGCCCACGCTCAGGTGTCACCTTCCAGCCAGGCTGTAAACCTGCCGGGTACCAATGTAGTGATGATCAATGAGCACGGTCAGGTTTTGAGCCCCGAGCAAGTGCTGGCCATGCAAGCGCAACAGAGTATCGGGCTTGGAGGGCAAAGATCCCGCCCTAGCTCTCCTGGTTTAGCGATGCATCAGACGTTGGGACCTGTGCCGCATTTTACTTCACCACAACACAACGGTTTTTTGAGCGCCTACGATGGCTCGTCTGGCCTGTTGGGCACTGGTATCCCAGCCGTAAGTTTAGGTCAGCTAGGTATGACCGGTCACGAAGGCTACTTGTCAGATCATTCCGATATAGTACGGGGTCGTTCACCTAGAGGTCGACGAGGTAGTTCCAAGGCACCAGAAGATCCGGCCGATCCGACGCTACTGCAGGACATTCCAAGTTGGCTCCGTAGCCTTCGTTTGCATAAATACACAGAAAACCTAAGAGACATGAAATGGACAGAATTGATTGAACTCGATGATAAGGCGCTAGAGGAACGAGGCGTCAATGCACTAGGTGCACGAAGAAAGATGCTCAAGGTCTTTGAGCAAGTTAAAGGTATGTATTTCATCCCCCAGTGATGACTGAACGACTGCGGTGATCTGACGCAAAATGCAGAAGCAAAAGCCGAAGGCAGGCTATGAGAATGCAAATTCTTAGATCAATGCTGCTTACTGGCAAGTTGTGACATGATAAATATGGTTATAATTGCAAATCTATCCAATAAACGAACTAGAATTGGCATTATTTTCCCGCGCAAGGGCGATGGCACACAGTGAATATATGTTATTATTCTTGCTCAATATTGACTGGCGTTGTGATTTTGCTTTTCAGGCACCTGATACAAAGGGCATTCATCGAATGAATTTGTGTACTCGTATCAGCAACCTAGAGACTAGACAATAGTGAAGTGCTGATCAATCCATGTAATCTTTTGGTTCTCGAGATCAGTACTAACCTACCAACCTACCTAGGTACCTAGGTAGATAGGAAGGCAGTAATAGTAACTATATCTGGCTGGACCTCTGCAAGTCCTGATAGATCCTACAACAACTATGTCCGCGAGCTATTCCAACTTCTGAAGATTGCGCTGACTAATAAGCGTGGCTTTACGGAGACCCACTGTGTCGCACGAATACGTACATCCATACACGACATTGGTCGTGTATGGGATAATTAATACCTTGCCAACAAACAATCAACAACCCCAGCAAAACTAGGCTGCCACTGGCTTTATGCGCCCTCGGCCTTACGGACCATCTCTTATGGTATATAACGGACCTACAGTTCAGCTGATAATAGCTAGAAACCAAGCTTGTTTAGTGGGCCGTACTCCGTACCACTCATTTTCCTCGAGGTCGTGGGATCGGTTGGGAAAGTGGGAAGGAAGTAGAAACATGATCTACGACTCGCAAAAAGTTTTACTCCACGAAAGCCATGGAGAATAGTCCGCCTCTGAGGTAAACTACAGCATTTGACTTCTTACTCAGCAACCTACTCAATACTATTATTTGACTAACTAATGTGACCAAGGATCCTCGATGAGGTGTCAGACGCAGATTCTGACCTTGAGGAGCTTCAAGGAGATATCGCGAAGTTTGATGAATCCGTCAGAGAATTCCTCGCGTCGCAGAGAGGAACATCAGATGTTCCCAGACTATCGCGTGGTACATCCAGGGGCAGAGGGCTGCGAGGCCCGCGCAAAGCAGCGAAGCCGAGAGGCGACATCACAGCCAGGCTCTCTAAAGTTAATCAGGCATTTTTAAGTGGCGATTATGAACAAGCCATGGACCTTGCCTTCGAGGTCATCAGGATCAACGCGGAAACACATCAAGCTTGGACGGCTCTCGCTTCGATTTTCAGAGAGCGCGGTGAAATAGACAGAGCTTTATCAGCAATGGTGTATGCAGCTCATCTTCGGCCAAAGGATGTATCGGGGTGGCTTAGATGCGCCTCGTTTGCATTGGATTCCATTACTGGTGAAGATGATGAGCCCGGAAATCTGCACACCGCTCGACTCTGCTATTCGGCAGCTGTTAGAGCAGATCCTACAAATATTGAAGCTCGTCTCAGTAAAGCTGATGTATGTCATAGACAAGGCCATCTCTCTGCTGCCATCACGGAGTATAATACTGTTCTCAAACGACGTCCATACGAGCTTGACACCATACGGAAACTTGCTGAGGCATGTATCGACTCGAAAAACGCAGCAACTTTGATGCCTTCCGCCATAAATGCGTATCGACATTATTTTGACCATGCAATGAGAGAAATGCAGCATGAAGCTCAAGATATGCTCTGGCACGATGTTGGAATCTATGTGGGACTCCTTGCCCAGGTGGAGAGAGTTCAAGAAGCGATTTCAGAGTTGAAACGACTTTCAAGATGGCTGCTTGGACGCTCTGCCGAAACGTTTTGGGACAACTGGCGAGATGACGACAGAGAATGGGATATACTAGACAATCGGCGTGTATCCGTTCCAGAATTCTCTCATCTTGGCACCAACTCGACACAGTTTGGACAGTCCCTGCCTTTAGACCTCCGCGTCCGACTGGCGACATATCGACTTAGGAACGGTGATTATTCAGAGGCCATGGTAGGCATACTACCCCCTTCATGATTTCTTATTCCTATCAATGTTGTTAATTAAGGTATCAGAAACACTTGGATCACTTGGATCCGGACGATCCATCCACCACAGCTTTTGCTGACGACTTTACGTTCTTGATATACGACCTGGGTGTGGAATTGGGCAAAAATGGCCAAGCATCAAGGGCAATCCGGTACTTTGAACTGTTGCGCTCTATGCCTGGGGACCCTGACGCTGCGGTCTTATTGCAGCTAGGACGATGCTACCTGGATACTGGAGAGTCTGCAATGGCTGAGGAGTACCTATTAGCCGCACTAGATGCCGACGAAGACAACATAGATGCTCGCATTGAACTCGCAAATATGTATGAGAAAGTTCGAGAGGATGAGGAAGCTTTGATATTGGCGGCTGAAGCTTTGGCTCTTCGTGGAGTCCAAGACCAGGATCATTTCATCAATGATGCTGACATAGGCAAGGTCCGAATCCGACCCTCCGCCAGCCGTAAGCAACGAGACTTACAGAGACGATTTCAAGGGGGTGATAACGCAGACAGATCAAATCTGATAGGTAATGGAACCAGGCGGCCAGCCATTCCTAGAAGACATCGGTCAAAAAAGCTCGCCGGCCCTGACAGACGTCAAGAAGACGAACAAATACGTGCCCTCAAACTTTCTCAACAGTATGCTATTGTACGGGATTTAAAACAACGCATTTCAGAAGGTCATAAGGAGTTGATACCTGATTGGATGGCATCTTCCAAGGAACTAGTCGATGACTTCAGGTCTCTGAAGCGATTCTACAGCTGGGACAACTATTTGCGCTTTCTTGGGTCGAAAGTTTTAATGCATAAGTCAAGCGCAAACCAGCCAGAGACCGAACTCTCCCAAATGTACCAAAGATTGACACGTTGTAAGTGACCGAACACGAACAATGTGTTTGAGCCAGTCATTCTATTAATTTGTTTATGTAAATTTATGTTAACACAATAACCATTGAAGCAATCGCTCCACCATCTGAGCAATCTAGCCACACATCGGCTATTCCTAGTCTTGCAACCCATCAAGGCATTTCATTCGATGATTGGTTGGATTTATTTCTCGACTATGCTATTGGTTTGGCAATTGCTCATCGGCGACAAGAAGCGTACCAAGTTTGTCAAGCCGCCAAAGACTCCACCGTTTTCCAATCTTCAAAGCACGGATTCATCATTCATGTGGCGTGGAGCGGTAAGGTTATGTTCAGCCTGTAGTGGAATACCCAACGCTGACCAGAGCAAGTATGTGCAATCTACACCAACGACGAAGAACGGTGTGTGGCAATTGCGCGGCATTTGATGCGCGATGGGGCAACCACCGATTCTTATCGAATGTTCTCCTTGCTATCGATGCTTTGTCAGTCACCTGCGTCTTGGTATACATCAGGACCAGCGCAAAAGTATATTTTGCGCCAAATAAAAGCCATTGATGTCAGCCATGAGGCTGCGGCTGTGCGCCGGGGAGGCACGGGGGAGAACGAAGAGGCAGGTGATCTTACTAGTTTGGACATCGACATATGCCTTTTGATGCTCTATGGTCATATTCTTTTCACTTCTACTAGTTATTCTTACTCATTGGGTATGCATGATTCTTAAGGGAAGAGGTGCGGACAGACGATGAGGCTAATTTTGACTACCGCAGGTTACTTCCTTCGGGCGCGCTCACTGGATCCCACTAATGCCATGATAAATCTTAGTCTCGGGCTAGCCTATGTGCACTACGGGTTGAAGAGACAGTCGAGCAATCGTCAGTATCTGATTTTGCAAGGCCAGTCATTTTTGTCGCTCTATGCTCGACAACATACTAACGGCGATGACTACGCATTGGCTGAACGTTATTATAATATGGGTCGCCTTTTCCAGCTGCTTGGAATCGGTTATCTGAGCTCAGCTTATTATGCCATGGCTCTAGATATATGTAAAAATGGAGGAGGCTCCAGGGATCTCTCAGCCCTCATTTTGGCGAACACACTTATCTCACTTCTGACTGTTGGAAACAATGATGTTGCCTTATCGGTACTGAGAAACAATTTGAAACTCTAAAGCTTTTGTCAGAATGCGAGGAGCACTCTTCAAGTGCGAGACCTCTGGTCCCTGAATGAATCACACCGCATATAACGCTACCTGTCCACACGAAATTGGTAAGAGTGACCAACTCAATGATTACAAGTCGTTGGAGGACGGCCATGAATAAGAGGGTGCTATAAAACCCAACTCTGCTGTTTTCCGCCTTCCGCCAATTTCCCTGCCCACCTCCAATTGTTTCTCAGCATGTCCGTCACAAATTCACATCTTACTGTCTCATTAGCCCCAGGTTTCACATTGTTCTCTACACGCATCTATCACTTACTCCTGTTAACAGATTATTTTATTGAGACTATCGTCGAGATACCTAGTGCAAATTTATCTTATACGCAACACATCAATGCAGCAGCTGGACGGGCAGCTGGACGGGCACGTTTACTGCCATTCATTATTCATGAGGCGCCAATTGTTGCATAGGGACAGTCTGGTGTGACTACTCCTTCTCTATTATTATTTTATCAAGAGCAAGGAACCTAGGATGGATCTGACTCGGTTAATGCATCCGACCAGCCGCTGCAGAGTGGACCAAGGGCGCGTACTTAGAAAAGTGTTAGAAAGATATCCAGTCCCCCGGAGGGGCATAATAACACAAAATCACAATAAGCACCGACCCTAACATTAGAGGCGACATGATATTGTGCAAGTGGAAAAGGGTGGAGCTATTTCCGGTTGTGTCACGCAGGGGTATACATAAGTAGTACCCTGGTACTTAGTATGTACTTTATGTTGTGTGTCAATTTAGTGGCTTGCATGTCTGAGTTCCACTACCAACGACTCGCCGATCGGTTCACACCATCTTCCTCAACATCAACCGAGTTGCTGAAGGACGCCAGATGATGGACGGCGCTCATAAATACGCATCACTATGGTACGCGCCGCGCTTTTCGCTCGAGGCTTAGCCGCAGCCATCCTCCTCACTTTTAAGACAGCCAACGCCATTAATGAGCCCCATACCCCTCGAGGAGCCAATATCACTAATAGCGTTCCTCTGTCTGTCGACCCACGAAGCACGCTTGACGTCTGCGAGGCGAGGACGATCAACTACATCACACATGCCTTGCCCCAGTCATGCCTCACAATCTCCTGGAGAAGTCCAGCTCCTACGTCTACTGCATCTGCAGGCTCGCAACATGGAAGAGACGATGGGTCAGATCATGGAACCGACAACCAGCCATCATGGCCTCCGACGCCGACATTAGATCATAATGCCACCGAAGTGCAGGCCACGGAACCAGCGGCGACGACGTTTATGTCATTCGAGGACTGGAAGGAAATGATGCTCCGGCGGGCTGGGCAAGACCCTCAGGACCTGCGGTCTCGAAGACCGAGCGAGCACAACACTGATGACAGATACTCTCCGGAATCCGGTCACGCCGGTCTCGGGGAAGAGGGTGAAATATCCCTCAACTTTGAAGATTATGGCAATGGAGACCACCAGAAGCTTACGTCTCCCAGATCCACCCGCGGTGACGGTGTTGATGAGCAGCCCGCCGCCGCCGATGCGTTGCTATATGAGGAAGGAAAAGCAGCTACTGTGCATCTGAGCAAGGATGCGGGTAAAACTTGCAAAGAGCGATTTTCTTACTCGTCTTTTGATGCCGGTGCGACTATATTAAAGACTTCGCCTGGAGCTAAGAATGCCAGAGCGATCTTGGTCGAAAACAAAGACACCTACATGCTTCTAGAGTGTGACGCCGCTTCAAAATATGTCATCGTCGAGCTTAGCGACGACATTTCGGTAGACACGGTCGTTTTGGCCAATTTCGAGTTCTTTTCAAGCATGGTACGACATTTTCGCGTCAGTGTAAGCGACCGATATCCTGTCAAGATGGATAAATGGCGTGAGCTCGGGACGTTTGAGGCGCGAAACTCTCGCGATATTCAACCCTTCTTGGTTCAAAATCCACAAATCTGGGCCAAATATGTCAGGATTGAGTTCTTAACCCATTTTGGTAATGAATATTATTGTCCTGTTTCGCTACTACGAATTCATGGATCCCGCATGCTCGATTCGTGGAAAGATAGCGAGGGTGGCCGGGACGAGGAGGCATTGATTGATGGTGATGAATCCGCTGGAGCCGATTCCCACCAAGACGAAAATCATGTAGCTGACGCAGCTGCATCGAGAGATACTAATATACACATAATGGCATCGAATGGTACCAGTTCCAGGAGCTTGAGTTACGCCCTGGAAATCTTCACAAACATGGACGCTACCTGCCCAGCACCATCTTCAGCAGGAGCCAACCCTCCAACCAGGGATCCGAAGTTGTCGTCGGTTAGCCTTGGGACATCGCAAGAATCAGATCTGGTCTCGAGTGACGTATCACAGGCTCGTTCCGCATCTCCAGAGAATTCTGGTAATTCATCGATTGCACAGGCAAAATCCATTTTGGCCACAGGGTCCATAAATTATTCAACCATCATGCCTACATCACAGGATGACCGCTTGCGCAATCACACTGGGGCTCTTAATGGAGCTGCTTTAAATGTTAACACAACGACGATCGACCGCGAAAACAATGCCGCAACCCCAACAGCTAAGTTATCGGCATCGAGTGGTCAGAACGGTAAACCACGAAGCAGTGGGACTACAGGTGCATCAGCTGCGTCTCCGACAATGCAAGAGGGCTTTTTCAACGCCATCACAAAACGACTCCAGCATGTCGAGTCGAATCTAACTCTTTCCATGAAGTATGTTGAGGATCAATCTAAACATATCCAGGAAGCATTGCAATCGAGAGAGCAGAGGCAACATGCAAAAATAAATTACTTTCTAGATGAATTGAACAAAACAGTATTGGCCGAGCTCCATACTGTTCGCGAGCAATACGACCAAATATGGCAATCTACGGTTCTAGCTTTAGAGAGCCAAAGAGATCGTTCAGAGAGAGATATGATGGCCCTTAGTTCAAGACTCAACCTTCTTGCGGATGAGGTGGTATTCCAAAAGCGAATGGCTATCATTCAGGCCATAATCCTGTTATCATGCCTCTTTCTCATTATATTTTCAAGAGGGGTTTCACTTCCATCTCTAGCGCCGTTGCTCGATCAACCCTCCAACTCACCTTGTGCAACACCAACTTCTCCAGCAACACCGCGACAATCTTCATACCAATTGAGTAAGAGGCACCATAGAGAAGGCCAATCATCGTTTCAGCCACCTGATCCTTCATGTCAGGTACAAATGCTTTATCCTGGCGAGGCCCGTAGTGACACTTCGGCTGAGGCATTACCATTTGAAGCAGTGTCATTCCAGGGCACAGATGAACCAAAAAGCGAATGTTCTGCGTTTCAACGTCTCTCGCCACCGCCTACTCCCAATCTGCTAGGCGAAATGTCGTTATCAAGTGACCCCAATTCTGCGACTGGGTCAAATCATACTCTTCGTCGCCGCCTGGGAGGGACGTCACACATCAGCTCTCGAAAGCCTCTGCCCTCACTACCGGAACACCCTCGCTCATTAGATGAAGAGTAGATCATCTCACAGTCCTCAATATTTAACAGCAAAGGTACAATTAGAAATATGTAGTCTTAGTGTAATAGATCTACATCTAGTCAGAAAGCACAAGCAACTAGACAGCATCAATTTTGTGATCTGACATCCCTCAAAATAATACAAGGTGGCAATGAATAATGAAAGATGTCTATTCCCGATATGCTTCTGTTCAGCATGGGCTTTTGGTGTGTGCATTACGCCCAGCTTTGTCGCCATCTTCCTAGTTTTGTCTTCGCTTGCCTTTTTGTGAAAAGAGGAGAGCGATTTCCCAATAAAACTTCGACTTATTTACATGAATTATTATAAAAACAAAGGAGCGAATATCATGACAAGCAAACGCATATTTTTTCAAATCCTTGCAAGTGTTTTGATTTGAGATTGAGTGGGCGATACAATAGCCCCAGTGAGCATTCATCCGTCCTGTAACTGGAACCTGCCAACACCAGATTGTCAATGTGGTGTAATGGTGTACATATTTTGAATTGCAGCTTCGTAGTCATATTCCTCGAGGGCGGCAAGCCTAGTTCCACGGTCATACTGAGATCGTCTGCGCCGCTGCTCGTCGCGATAGTGCTGGCCGGCATTAGGCGTGAAGAGACCTATAGATGAGTAAGGTACATATATAGATCGCCTACTCTATTCTCCACAAACTTACCAACATGCTCTGCATTCTCGCAGCTCCTCTTCATTTTAGATTGGTTGTCCGGCTCCGGGAATGGTTCTTCCTGGCCTGCCAACTCAGGACAAGGGCCATTGCAAGTAAAGTAGAGCTGCGGTTAATCAGCGTCGTATACGAACTCCCTGCTCTGGTGTGGAAATTTTCATATTACCTTTGGGCGATAATGCGGAGCCTCAAGCATGACGGAGCTGTTCCTGAACTTTTGGACTAAGCAGTCTTTGCCTTGGATGGCTGCATAACCATCTGTGAGCATTTTGCTTCTGAAGGAGACAGGACGGGCAGATACTAACTTGCGTATGATATCTCTGCAATCTTGTCACTTTTAAAGCAGTTCCTGTGTATGGCACGTTAGCTAATAGTCATGTTAACGATGCAGGAAAACATGCCATCTCTGATTGCCTCTGGCCTCCACAAACTTTGTTCTGGGTTAGCTATCGCCAATTGCCTCCACCGTTTGAGCACTAACATCAATAATATCTAATGGCTAGCTTCAGTTTAGCATGAGCATTTCTCGTTACAGAGCTCCCACGTACATCAACAAAATTAATGAATGCGTAGCCAACACTAAGAAGCAATTTTAGCACTATGTTATTTATGCAAATGCAAAGACCCATCAGAACTCAAATGTGAACTTACTTGCAGTCATTCGCAAAATCAATGCGTAAGTACATGAAGTCGTACTTGCCCCAACTAGACTCGTCTATGATCCTCTTCAGCATAGCCTGATCCACTTTATTGGGAATGTTTCGGAGCATTATCTTCGCCCATTAGCCCCCGCGTCATAAATAACGTATTCATACGTACCGTAGTGCGAACGTCAATGCCATCTCGAATCCGGTTGATATCGACGTAATTGTGGTGGTTGGTAGAGTTATTGTATGGGGATCTAGTAACCCTGGCTGCGTTTTGTCTGCGGCCGTCAGATCGAAAAAACCCGGCCACTGCCCTTGATGGACTATAATTGCTTTGAACAGTCAGGGCTGGCGATGGAGGTGCATGGTACAAGGGGCCCAGCACTGGAAAGGACGGAGCCAGGGTAGTGATCGGCGATACAGAGCCTTGACTACTTCCCGGCGGGAGAGAATCCAGAATATATGGTACATTTGCAACAAATGGCGACTGAACCATCAAAGGGTACATAGTGAACGGGTGGCTCACTCGCGCTTCTATCGGCACAACAGACCGCGAGGCCGAGCCAATGTGCATATGCTGATGCTGAGCATTGTTTTGTGTGTTTGCTCCGGTTACATTTTGCGTTGGCTTCAGGGGCGACACAAAAGTACTGTTAGTTTCGTATGCTGAAATCACCAGATGCACTCCCTTTGGGTTCATCAGTATTTTCTGCAGATTATATAACAGTATAGGGGAGCATACCTCAGGTGTGGTAACATGAGCGCAGTTGGCTATCACTTTTGTGGCATGAGATATGTCGCAAAATTCCGCAATGGCTCTAAAAGAAGGAGTTTTTGACGGATTTGGAATTTTGATGAAGGCAAATAAACGTCCGTACGAATGGAGAAAGTTCTGTGCAATGTCGAATACCTGACCAACATCAAGGCTGATACTGGGGGAGATGGTAGCTACCAGAAGAATTTGACCAGTGTTCAAAGCCGGAGATTCAGTTTCCGAGCCAGGATTTTGCTACAAATAGAACATTAACCTCAAGGAATCCGCATAGGGAGGGACAGGAGAAAAGATTCCTACCCGATGTCCGCCAAGAGAACCACAATATTCAGCTTTCCAGCTTTTCCTAGATATCAAAGTAGTCGCGAGCGTGGAGCAAGCGTCCCGTATGTCTCTAAAGTGCACGTAGACTTTTCCGTTTTCCGTATCAATACTCCTTTGTCCATGAAACCGCCGTCCATGCAAGTCGAGGTCCTAACGCCGAGTCATATCAGCTTAAAATTGAGGCACTAGGCGGCTTCAGCGGGCTTTGAACATACGTCTAACCAAATACTGACTTCTTCAGCCTCCAAATGGGTATCTGATGCAATAAGAAGGTACCGGGATAGCCCTAGCTCAGTGCTAAGTGCGGTTGCAACTGGATTGGATTTACTAGCTTCGCCGAGACTGTTGACGTTAGTGAAAGGATTGAAAGTTGAAGCAGTCGGTGACAATCTTGTGCTGATTCTATGGCGAGGAGTCACAAATGGATCCCTCTCCTGCCCAATGCCAGGACCGAACTTCTTGTCACCTGGTGCCATGGTCACTGGTGATGTGGCGGCTGAATTGGAGAACGGAAGAACATGAAGGAAGCTAGTGATTTGCGTTTTTTTTCCTTCTGGTGAAATCGTTGTCAAACGCGTATCTGGTGTCCCTTTCAGTGATTCTTCAATCCCACTTGAAGAACGGGGAGAGGAGGATGTGTTGTCATGCTGTAGAGTCATGACGGACGACATGTAGAAAAAATATAGCACTAGTCTCTCGCACAGGGAATACCAAGTGCTGTCTATCGTCCTGTACAGATAGAGTGCAGGAAATCGAAGGAAACTCGTGGACAACAACCTCGAAAGTGGCTCAAGAGGAGGGAAAGCGGAATTAAAAAGTGTGATTCGGGATAAAAGTGGCCATAGAAGAAATGGGTAGTAAGCAAGACAGTGGCACCTGCCTCGACTGTCCAGAGCCCGGGACCTTCATTACATTCATTTGGTTTCCAGGCAGGCCACTCGGGTCCTTCCTTCCCCTCGGCATCAATCTGCCACGACGGTCACCTCACGCCGCATTCATTGTGAGTCCAACATATCACTTGGTAGTGAGCAAAACCTTGTCTTCATGGCTCACCATCCGGCAGATCATCTCGTTCCCCAATACTGCTGAGGTAGGTAATGCGTACTGTTTCGGCTGTAAGGGCTATCCGCATCAAAAGTGATGCCAAAGATGCCTCACATAGTCCTGACTCCCGCATAGAATGATGGCATGAATAAATTGATCCTAACCTATACTTAAGTTGTAGATCTCTTCTTTTCAGTCATAGAAGGCGTTGCAGTTTGTCGATGCCAACATTTTGGCAACAGCAGCCTGTACCTATTGCCAGCTCGTTTTGCTTTTTGATTCTTGAAAGATGCTGTGCAAAGACTGTGTTCTTTTCGGTACTCCTAATATTGGAAATATTATACTACTAAGAAACATTTAGACAGAAATTTGGGCCTGTTTCAAAGGAATAAGAGCCTGGCCTCAACCTCAACTCTGAGTGGCCACCTCTGTTTGTAGTCGAATTAATAACAACGTCGAATCAGATCGAGCCTTGACACCAAGCCAGCCGGAACAATGGGGCAAGCGGCTGTCCCAAACCACTGCCGATGAGGTGGGGTCCTGGTTGGATAAGATAAAGCCAGAAGTACTCGTGCTCCGTAACGCCAGGTCCATCAGTTGCGTACCCTTTCACAGCGACCAGTTGCCCATTCTCCCACAAGCCCGTTATTACAGCAGTTCACCATCCCTTTATGTGATGAATACCGCAGAGTACGCTTGGAGACTAACATTTATTCATGCATCACAATGCCACGGCGCCAAGCTGCCTTTGACGACTATACCTCTGCCGTCCCGCAGGTACGAAACCTCGTGCATTGTTATTATTGGAAGTCGATACCTCATCGACATCCCATCATTGACCTTAACTAGATCATCATCGCGTCTACCGATTCTGATTTTCTCGATCATCTGATACCGGTGTTAAAAGACGCAGCACACTCCAGACGGATACCGGCTCTAATACAATGCCTCACGCGATACTCCGAGGACCGCGAAGCTGATATCGAACGTATTGGCTTGACCAAACACGAAGAATTCCTCGATTCGGTTTCGAGACTACAACATGTTCGAGAAGACACTGTCAGCCTCACGACGGAGATTTTGAAACTCAACCAATCCATCCAGGCTAGCACAGAGAAACTAGCTGAGCAGAAGGGTGCCCTGGTCAATACAAAAGCTATTCGACAGAACATTGCCGATGCAACCGAGGCCCTGAGAGACTCCTTGAAGGTACTCCATGCTGTCAATCACGCCCATGACCTCATTCGCCAGAAAAATTACTATTCTGCTCTCAAATCTCTTGAGGATCTTCAAAACGAGTATTTAGTTCCTATATTACAAAATCGATATGCTACGCAACATCGCTTGGCTGATGTCATTCAAAAATCCATACCTGGCTCTCGAAAAGGTATTTCGGAAGCTGTCATGACCGACCTCAACACATGGCTGTTTAGAGTTCGAGAGACGTCTCAATTCCTTGGCGAAGTGGCGTTTTATCACACTGAAATGAGACGGTCCCGGCAGAGAAAGCGGGTTGAGGACGACCAATTCCTAGCCAACTTTAAGCTCAATTCGTCTATTGAACTTGTATGCGATGAAAGCGAGGAATTCGACGTACTAGATAACGAAGAACTGCAAGTCAATTTCACACCACTCTTCGAGGCTCTGCACATTCACGATGCACTTGGCCAAAGCGATCGATTTCGTGCAGAATATGCCGCTACTAGAAGACAGCAGAAAGACCTACTTCTACCCAGCACGATTGAATTACTCACTGATGACGAGTCTTCGCTAAGCAGCCTCTTAGAGGGCATTGCGGGATTCTCAATCATTGAAAAGGAAACCATGCGTCGTGTGCCACAATTACGCTCCGCAGCTGAGGTAAGTCCGCAGTCCCTTGCTATTGGAGCAATTTCTAACATGAACACCTTCGTTTCACAGGTCGAAGAGCTTTGGGAGTCAATGTGCGGTGCTGCTATAAGCCTAACATCTCGAGCGCTGAACGACGTAGGTAATGCCGAAGTTCTTCTCAAAATAAAAGGGTTCATCGCCCTGTTTGTTCAAACCATGGAGGTATGTGCCTTCCCAAGCTGCTGGTTGCTGTTTCCTAACCTCATACAGGGCTGGGGTTACTCAATCTCCACTCTCGACACGTTTTTGCTTACGCTATTTGACAAATATGCTGAGCTTCTCAAGCATCGATTTAGTGAAGATTTCCAGGAGGTCAGTATAATGTGTCCAGATTTATTTGATATGCCTCTAATGATCGCATCTGTCTATAGATTGTCTCTACAGATGACTACATGCCAATGGCCATTAATTCTCGTGAGGAATATGAAAAAGTCATTAACGTTAGCTGGTTCATGCAAAGCCAAGCCATCGATGATGTGACGTATGTTAACGGGTAAATTATATCGTCGTTGCTTGTTTACTGATGGCATTAGGTTCCCCTGTGTGCTACCCTTCTCGCAGATGTACCCTTTGTGTTGCATAGACGTTCGGAACTTTCTCAACCAGTTTTATTTCTTTTCCGATGATCATTTCCAGCACGCGGAAGTCATTGATGAGACTTTACGAAAGGTGCATAAATACTACTCATCGCGCAGGGATTCAACGTGACACTTAGCTAATAGCATTATACAGTCACTGGACGAGCTTCTCACCGAAAAGGTTTGCCGATTATTGGTTGAGAGACTCTCTTCCCAATATTTGGGACAAATTGTTCAGATTCTTATTAATCTCGAGCACTTCGAAATTGCATGTCAAGAACTTGAACAGCTTCTCATCCGTGCCAGATCGTCAAGCTCGGCTGGCGGGCCTTTGAAACTGAACGCAACCGAAGAGTTTCGCAATAACAAGAAAACTGCTGAGAAAAGAATTTTCGAGCTCGTTAATAGCAAGATTGACGACCTAGTTGACACGGCGGAATATGATTGGTGAGTATGGTGCAATTTGTCGCCTCCTTACTGAGACATAACTGACCCTTCCTCCATTCTTTAGGTTAGCGGCGGCTGTGGCACCAGAGCCGAGTAACTATATGCAAACATTGACTCGATACCTATCCAATATCATGAACTCGACATTGCTGGGGCTACCGCGAGAAATTAAGGAGCTCATTTATTTTGATGCCCTATCTCACGCTGCTAACAAAATTCTGGTTGGCACCTTCATTTCTCGCCGTACTGTAATATAAACCAATTTTTGGCGCTAATTTATATATATAGGCCCTGCCCCTGTCTCCTGAAGTCCAAAATATCAATAGCAATGGGGTTGCTGCATTGGCACTTGATGTTCAGTACCTGACTGAGTTCGTCAGTAGCCTAGAAAACGGGCAGATGTTGCGCGAAAATCTGGATGAGCTCCAACAGACCGTGAACCTGATGGAATCAGATAACCATGACGAATTTTTTGACATCTCCATTCGAAACAAGAAATACGGCCGCGTAGATGCCCTGAATGGTCCGGTGCTCTTGGAAAAGTGCGTCGTCTAGCACCTTCACAGAATGTGTACTTACTAATAACTTCATCAGGCTTACTCCCGTATCACAAGTTGCTGGCAGAGCGGCACCCCTGTCGAATTTATCATCACGGTTTGGCATGATGAAATGAGCCAGTTGTGGACAGACTAAACTTAACCTTTAAACGCTACCTTACAAGAGAGGCAAGTAAACGTGCTTGTCCACGATAGGCTTTAACAGCGAAACACGTTGAATTTGTAAACCAAACCAGACAACCCATGCGCCTACCCAAGCTACACCTGCTGTTACACCATATATACAAAAGCGATGCAGTTTTCTCCACGGGTCAAACTTCAGCGAAGCGGCGAAATGGTCAATTGCATACTTCAGCTATTCAAATTCTTCGGACGACATTGGCGCCTTTATTATGTCACAAGTCAGTTTAGGGCTCGTCAAGTGGCTGGAAAATGCATTTTCTTACCTGTTGCGCTTGCATGGCAGAGTATGGGTACATGCCTTCCATTTCTCCATACATCGATGCTGGCGCCTGGGCTTGACCGTAGGGCGCTGACGGGGCGGGAGGCACCTGGCCAGCGTACATATTTGGATTTTGTCGATAGTCTTGATCAGTAGGAAGATGGTGGCCTGCCATATATTCCGCCGTGGCCATGGGATGTGAGGCATGGTTAGACTGAGCCATATTAGCATGCTGACCAGCCATCTGAGCTTGCCCCGGAGGTGCAGGCACAGCCTGTGGGCCGCCGGCAGACTGTGCAGCAGTTCTTTTGGCATGAGATGAGGCTTCCTCTCTTGGGACAATGTCAATTAGAAAATCGAACATGTCTGATTTAGCCAATGCCGACGCAATGTCCGAGCGCTGGAGAGTCCGGCGTTTGTTCTCCTCAGCATGAATCCAGGCACGCATAGTAAGCTCAGTGATAAAAATATCGCATCCTTTTGCAAAAAGAATTGGCGCTTCGGCTGAAATCATCTTTACTTCCGGATCAGCCTTCATTACCTTCTTAATACGAGCAAGTGGCAATTGGTGAATCTTGTAGTCATGTGTATCGCTCTCCAAGTGGGATATGGTTTGCTGCCAGTAAGTAGTCAAGATATCCTTGTATTGGCCGGTCAACCCTTGATGGACCTATTAAGCAGTCGATCGAGTTAGAAAGTCAGCGTGATGACACACCAGGAGAACGGCACCAACATTTGCCCAGGGACCAGTGTACAGCTCAGCCGGTGCAAAACCTTGAGATGCAAGCTAAATAGAAGAGTTAGAGTAGTCTAAAGGAAGTTGAATAGACTTGGACGAACTGCTGCGCATGCGCCTATGACGGAATAGTTAGCAAGGTCCGCGAAACCTAGCGAATGTAGAAGCTCCTACCATAGTGACCACCATGGCTAGGGTCATAAGCTGGAGCCGAACGGTTCGGCTGTGCATGGGACTGCTGCGACTGGGCCTGCGTATCCATTCCAAGCGTTGATGATGTTGCCGTCAACAGAAATAAGATGAAATGTCCGGCTGCCGTATCGGCGTCGAATTTCGAATTCGTCCACGGAGAAAGTAGTGAGATAGCCTTCGCTCTCTGAATGTCCCGTGTCGATAATCTTCGGGAGCCGAGATTCGGATGATAATGAAACTGACAATAAAAGGCCGTCAATTGTGTTCGTCGTCGAGGGACCAAGTCGAGATGCGCCGATTGAGACGATGTAGGTGTAGAGTGGGCACAGACGCCCAAGGCCGCTTATTAGGCAAGGTTCACTAAACAAGCCGCGTCCCAACCACCAGCTGGAGCTTGTAGCGGGGCCAAGCTACCTGAGCTTTGATTGGACAGAGTGTATTATATAATATTCGCACTTTCGCGCCTCCGTTAATTTTTTTCCCTCCCTAGAGATCATTTGGCCCGGAGTCAGCTTCCGTACTCAAAGATTAAACCAATTCACAAGTTGTCGTACCGCAGGCGGTAGGGCGTATATTATTAAGCGCAATGCCTAATATTGTGGATGGTAAGATGAACAACCTGCTTCGTCAGGCTGAAGAACGACTCGAATCACCGTTCTCAGCATCATCAAGTCACGCCCAACCATCATCTGCGGTCAAAACCCTGCGCAGTGTACGCGCTGCTAGATCTGAAGAAGCAAATATTTCTGTCCGCCAGCCTCAAACACAGTCAGACACAGCGAAAAGGAATAAGGTACGGATACATCGTGTCAACTCTACCCTCCTGCCTCGTTTTTATCCCTTGTGGTCTTGGTAATTTGGCATCCCTTTACAACGAAGGATAGTGATGAGAAATAACCGTTTTCGGTACCTTGACTTGGGACTAGTATCCGTTTTGGGTCACAATCCCATGGCTTCATGATTTTTATTATATCATAGTTACTCTGAATCCTTCACCATGTCTTTCTGTGTTGCCTTTATTGCATTGCTCAGCATCGTTCACTTTCTATTTGCAAGCACTGACCTGTGCCAACCAATTCACAGAATACTGCTGGGTCTGAGTGGTTTGATCTACCAAAAACGGCCCTGACTCCGGAATTCAAACGCGAATGGCAGCTATTGCGAATGCGCGGTTTACTAGATCCAAAACATCAAAAAAAGGCTCTCAGGGCAGCTGCGCCGGAATATTCCCAAGTCGGAGAAGTGATTGCTGGTCCAACAGACTTCTTCAGCGCTAGGCTTACGAAACGAGATCGAAAAGCTACCCTATCAGGAGAGATGATAGGAGCCATAGACGGACAGAAATTGCGGACAAAATACGCAGGGATACAGCGCACAAAAGCTTCTGGGAAAAAAGCGTTCTATCAAAGACTTGTATCAAAGCGAAGGAGGAAGTAAATATGAAGAAACACATGGGATCTATTAATTCTATCGAAAGAACCAGCTTCCCGTGGCATATATTCCACCAGGCAGCTTTCCACAGGGCGACCAATCGAGTCAGGTCCGTATTGTCTATGTTGCACTGATAAAGCGAGGGTCGCGAATTTCAAGCTAAGCAGGAAGAGCTTGGTTTGCAAGATGCCCATCGCACGTGCGGAATTGTGACAGTTGACACCAATTGGTCACGGAGTGTCGGACCTGCGAGGAGGAGCGAATTCCTAGCTTGGCTAATACTATTGCAGAACCCCCGTCGGATTCAGCTGGACTGTTTGGGCGTTCGCTTTCGGAGGGTTGCCATAGTTAGGGGAATAGGCATAATGATAACTCAGACAGAAATACATGATCATTACGATAATAATATTAACAAGCAAAACTTATAAATGCACAAACGGGTAGTACTTAGGTGAATGTGAATAATGGAGTATCAGTCCTTATGGCGTTACATGCCTTCGTTGGGCGCGTGCCAACCGTGAGCCAGAAGGATGATGCTTAGTCAAGGGTAGTGGTGGAGTCTGGTGTTGGGTAATTTGGAGTGAAGAACCAAACCACAGCTTGGTCCGTGCGCGAGGAAATGCATCTTCTGCTCAATACCTTTCACTTCTGGCGACACAAACATTCCGAAGCAATAACCTTCGACCACATCTTGAATTGATCTCAGCCCCTCGACATGCCTGGCTCATTCTCGAGGTCCAAAGCCAGTGCAATACCGGCCAGCCTACCTCTTACCCTGGCCAGGACGTCAAGAAGAACTTTTGCATCTATGTTTGTCAAGCATCGCTGCCACTTCATGAAGCTATGCTCAGACTAACACTTCATAGCACTTTGGATCATGACCTAAAATATAATTCCCAATCGCGTTCTTCAACATCGACGTCGTCGTTGGCCAAACCGATTCAGATAGACCAAGTACGCCAGCCCAGGTCGCTCCAGGCTCTCCATCTCAAACCTTTGAAGCGGGAGGCTGAATTTGGAATACCATCATGCGACCTACAGTTGCGCTCATTCAGCGTCCAGCCACTCGAGTTTTTCTCCGACTTTGCGTTGCGAGCGGCCTACTATCTTGGATTACCAGCCTACGGGCCCATTCCGCTGCCAAGGATTACGGAACGATGGACCGTGCCCAAAAGTCATTTTATTTTCAAAAAGGCACAAGAAAATTTTGAACGGGTTACTCTACGTCGTATGATCCAAATCAGGGATGGAAACCCGGAAACAGTGCAGCTTTGGCTAGCATACCTAAGGAGGCATCAGTTTTATGGCGTGGGAATGAAGGCTAATGCATGGGAGTTCAGTCAGCCAGGTCTCGACCCCTCTCAAAACATGCGAGATGAGCAACTGGATCAGCTTGGCGACGTCTGGTCACAATTGGGTCAAATAGGTGACTTGGGCAGTCCGGAAAAGGTGGAAGATCTACTGAATAGTCGTCGCTTCAAGGATGCGGCTGGGTTAAGGCAACCACTGGCTACAAATAAATAAGCCATGTTGATGTATTTTTAGCGTGCTCAATGTATTATATGTACGAGCTACTCGTGTTGTAATTCTAGTGACCATCGCATAATATCATGAGACCATCATAACCTGCAAAGTTCGCCTCTACCGCATAATCCAGGTAGCAGTACACCCCACATCTAGGATTGACAGACCCTGACAGCAATGATGCTTACTGATATATCGCCCCAACAACAAACCCGACTCCCAAAATAAGGCGAAAGTACTAGACTGAGGTGGCAATTTCTCAATTATGCAGATGTAGTGTTGAATGGCCTTCGCGTTAATTTGATCAATTCGACGGTTATTGGTATATGAACGGCATTCCCTTCTTCAAAAATCGGGTTCACGACGATGTACTACCTACCTAGGTACCTTGACGTTCTGAGAAGCACCAATTGTATCATTTTTTTTAATCACTATCAAGCTCGTACTAGTTCGACGAGGGTTGCGGAAGCATTCAATCAATATAAATCCAATATATTAAGCCTGTCACATAAAATTCTTATTCAGCTGTATTTGAATATCACGGACCAACCCCGGAAGTTGCGGGAACACAACCGTCTCTTTCATTTGTCTTTATCGGGGTCGGAAATACCCAACCACACTTGCCCTCCGGCCCAAAAAAAAGAAAAGAAAAGAAGAGAATAGAAGAGAAGAGAAAAGAAAATCGTTTCTGAAAGACTTGCTAGCCGTTTGACCTCGTTACTCAGTTCTAACGCCACTGATAGCAAACTACAAAAATTGATCTTGGTGGAGGATCAGCGCGGGGTCCTGCTCAACCTACTTACACACCCCACTTCCAGCAAGTAATATTCTCACGATGCATCCACCTGCACAAGTGCATGCCAGACTGACCTGTAAATAAGGAATGGAAGCAATGGAAGACAGCACCCTTCCCTGGAGCCTTGATAAAGTTGAATCTGTAAGTTGTGTTGCTACTTCTCATCTTTTTTTTTACACGGTGTTTGCATGCATCTAGTCATTGCTGAGATAGCCTGCAACAGTTGATCTCCTCACTCTACGAACCTGGTCAGCCCAATGCCATCACCGAGGCGCAGGCCCTGCTAGCCAATTTCCAATCCTCTCCTCAGGCCTGGATTTTGGCCCATGAGCTTCTAAGGCGACCGGATGAGAAGGGAAAATTCTTTGGAGCCCTCACCATTATTGTAAAACTTAACAGGGAAAGGTTGGCGATGCCAAGTTCCCTGCAGATGTCAGCAAGATAAAGCTAACGATCATCGCAGCTCGTCGCTCAGTGAGGAAAATGCACAAGAACTATTAGAGCACCTCATTGGATGGTATCGAGATTCTTTTGAGAATTACACTGGTCCCTTGGTGCCACGCAAACTATCATCAGCCCTCGCAACTTTCTTCCTCCACTTCCATCAACTGTGGCCGAGTTTTGTTCGCCACCTTAGCATATGCCTGGCCTCATGGCAGTACTTTGACCCTCTTTCTCTACAATCTTCCTTCGATGTAGGTCGTGTCTTGGATACGCTAGATCTGAACAAACTAAAAGCCGTCTTATGGGTCGTCACTAGTATCGTGGAGGATGTCATCAGAATTGACTGGAACACAGCAAATGGGTGAGTTAGTTCAACCGTGTGCATAGCAATTAAATGCTTATGTATTGGAGGGTCCATCTTTACAACTCCGTTGTTCGAGAAGCCACGGATGCAGCAACTCTGTTATTCAAAGGCTTGGCCGAGACCCAGATGGCCGCTGTCAGTAACGACAGTATCAAGTGTCTCCAGGTATTTCAGTCCACTATCTCATATACAACTATCATCCATGAGCTAACAGCTCCACAACTAGTCGTGGATATTCTTTGCTCAGAAAGCATCCTCTCGCGACAGTCACGTTCTGGCCTTGTTGAGAAACCTGATGCCTAGTGTCATAGAGTCTCTTATTTCTGAAAGCCGCTTCGGTGCTTCGGCTGAGCTACTCATAGATACTTTGTCTAATTATCCTGCTCTTCTATCAGAGCACCATTTTAACCTTTTGGTGAACCTCTTTGTTAGTTCTTGGGCGGATGAACGTTACAGCAGGCTCCTCGAGGGCGACATGGAATTCGAATCAGCCCAATTTGGGCAGTTGCTCTTGGCATTTGGCGAGGAAAAGTGCCAATGGTTAATGCAGTCTGAAGACCCCCGAAGCAAGGTCTTGCTTTCTATGCTATGTGGCTTACTGGGATCCGATGGCTATCCGGTAGCTGAGAACAGAGTCTTCGTGCCAGCTATCGAATTTTGGTCCACCTTCACTGAAGTTATGTCAGATCTTGTCACTTTGGATGATATCTCTACTACTCCCTGGGCGGAGTCGGCATTATTGCAGGTTCTGGAAGTGGTTTCAGTCGCATGCCGTAAAATCACCTACCCCCCGGCAGAAGAATTCAGCCAGTGGGACTCTTCCGATCGAGTAGGTTTCTCAGACGCTCGAAAGGACTTTATTGACCTGTTACAATCAGCATACAGTCTATCAGGCTTTCAGCTGGTAGCCACTTTTTCCAATCTTGTACTCACTGCATTAAACGACTGTGCGTGGTTACAGCTAGAGACAGCTGCTTTCTGTCTTGCTGGTCTTGCGGATTGTAGCAAAGACGATGTTCGCCTAGACGAGGCACTTGGATCAGTCTTTGAATCTTCTCTGTTCTCACATCTCTCATCCCCGAACACCGATATCACCTTACGGACGCGGCAGACGTGCCTCTATCTCATAGAACAATATACGGAATACTTCGAACGAAATGTTTCTTCCCTTGCTCCCGCATTAAGGCTCTTATTCAGTCTGTTGGGAAATCCGTCTATGGCGGCACCGGCATCGAGATCAATTCTTCGACTATGCTCCTCTTGTCGGCATCACCTTCACGCAGAGACAAACGGGTTCCTCGATGAATATCAGACCTTAGCTGAGCAACAGAGACTCGATTGCATATCCTCTGAAAGAGTCCTCGCCGCCATTGCATCTATTGCACAAGCCATTCCCGACGCTCCTCGGAGATACAACGCATGCACAAGGCTAATAGAATTTATTCAAAACGATAGTGCTCGCGCAAGGGAGCTAGCTCAGCTTCCTTTAGGTACCAAGCTGCCCTGTTTTGGTCAGCGATGCATGGAAAATTCTGCCGACGACTCGCCCGGACTACATATCGCGTTAAAGACTCTGCGTTGTTTAGTTGGTATCGGGAGAGGTCTCCAAACTCCCGTAGAGTCAACCATTGACCTTGACGCAAGCAACCCGTCGGAAGCTGAGTATGATGACCAGTTGGAAAGGCTTCACATACAGGTTGTCCGAATCATCATGGACATTGAAGATACTTTTGGTAGAAATAGTGAGGTCAACGAGCTCGTTTGTGCCGTCCTCCGTTGTGGCTTCTCAGAAAGTGAACCAGGACCGTTCGTGCTTGGGTTTCAAGATGTCACCAGCTACTTGACCCGTCATGTTGGAAATATTCCCAGGCCAGGGATATTTGTTTCCACTGCTTGCTCGTTTGTCAGCTCTCTCTATGCACAGGGAAATCCCAATAAAGGGACGGTATATACAACATTACTACTGTGGGTAATACGGTTGCTTCAACAATCGTCTGGTAAGCAAATATTGGCTCGTTGACTCGTCGCTGAGAAAGCCACTAACATGTCCTTGCATCTGTCTTGGGTGTGGTAGACCCAGAGCATGATCCAGAATTATCTCAAAATAGTATCGATTTTGCTTGCCGGCTGCTGAGCAAAAGCCCAACAACCCTGCTCACACTGCAACCAACAACTGCCGCTGAATATTTTTTCCTCTTCACCATACAGGTTTTGGATGGTAGTGAACCCCTACCAAAGGCGGCAGCAGCAGAGTTCTGGGTATGTATCCTGATTACCTAGCCCAGACAGATGGCCTGGTTGCTTTTGTTTAATCTATTATTCTGGCAAGCCCGTCACTTCCTTTTTTCCCCGTTCCCTTTCTCCGTACTGAAGACTTTCTTTCACCTTGCCAGCTGCTAGAGAGAAGTCAGCGGCTAATGATCCATCATTGTTAGGCAACGTTTATAACACTGAAAGGTGGTCATCCAGAAGCATCGGATGCTGCAGAGCAAGCGATGGGGACTCTAGGTCCTCTCCTTGCTCGAAGCCTGGCTAGAAATATCGGAGGCCGAGCCTCAAGAAGCGAGCTGGATAGGCTTAGCGAACCCATAAAGAGACTAGTCAATTGTTACCCTCTGGCAAAAGAGTGGCTACAAAGTGCGCTCGGTCACATGTCATTTCCAAGTTCCAAGGTGACAGAGGAACAGAAGGCATTATTCGTCAAGAAGGTAGTAAGGTACGTTTGCGTTCTTTCACATTCGGCAATCCGTTAGTGTGCTAACCCGTTGTTCAAAATATAGTCTCAGGGGCTCTCGAGCTACTAACCAAGTTGTGCGTGATTTTTGGTTGTCCGCTCGAGGTAGTAGCTTCGCATACGCTTCTTAATCATTTGGAGTCGTATATATGAACACATGGGTGGCTTTTCATTCTGGAGATCAAGGATGTCCATTCAACCTCTAAATGAAAAATAAAATGTTTATCTTCCTGGTTATCAAGAGGAGCAACAGCCAAGAAAGGCATGTGGTTTTCCTGGTCATTCCATGCATTGCCATAAATTGACAATATCGAATGGACCTGATTGGCATCCACGACCGTCATATCTATGCTTGTTCTGTGTGAGGAACTGAGTGGCTTACTTTCGCCACCGTAATATATTACAAGGTGACATTTTTTTATACAAAACGCCTCGACCAGGCGGTAGCGCGCTCCTCCACCGGTGGCTACGGAGCCTAAGTATGACGGCTTCCCTTCTCATGGGGCCAGCAGCGCCACTATGGGCACTCCTGTTGTTTACAGAGGTGAGGGCACACGTCCTACTGTTATTCAAGTCCGAAGCTTACAGCAAGGAGTGATGAGACACAGCCCTAGATTTCAGCGGTGCTCACAGTCCCACAGCTGTTCTCACCATGCCCATTGTTTCTTCCGCACTTTGCAATGCTTTTCGCGCACCGTCAGCCGCCACATGATCCAAATAATGGGTATCGCTGTCAATAAGCTCGATATACCGAGTCCGAATGCCCTGCAGTCCAAGAATGACCGCATCGGATACCATATCCTTGAACAAGCGAGGATGAGTATCACTGTATGCCTGTGCAAGCTGCTCAGGGCTTCGTTTCTCCGCGTCGAATATAGAGAAGAGGCTCAGAAGATTTGATATACCCGGCCTTAGAGCGTGGTCATAGGATATTCCATGAACGGAGTCAGTCAGGGCGGAGGAAATTTTGAGTCTAATCTCATCAGCGGTATCGGTGATCAGAATTCGTGAACGAGCCAGTTTGTGTGACTTGGACATCTTCGATGTTGGGTCTGAGAGGGACATGACTCGATGCACCGGGGCTGGAACGCTGTGTGATTAGCCTATGATGATGGAGCAGTCGGGACTAATACACATACGAGTAATAGTTTTCGGCTGAACTAGACATTCCCCATATGCGTGGTTAAAATTAGTGACACACTCCCGGGCGAATTCGAGGTGTTGTTGCTGATCATGTCCAACGGGAACATGGGTGGCTCTACAAAATAGTGAGTTCAATTCGACATGGGCTCCCACCACGATCAGGGTGTAGTCACACACCTATGGACGAGTATATCAGCAGCTTGGAGGACTGGATAGGAGAAAAGCCCAAGCTTCAATCGGCTTTCAGCCGGCCGGTCTTCCATGTGTGAATTTGGTGCAAGGTTGAGTTTTTGCTAGCATGGGTGTCAGCGCATGCAGTAGGAAACCGACTTTTGTCTCAGTCAACTCGGGCAGTATTCGCACCTTCCATTGCGTCATCCGGGAGAGATATCCAACAGACGCTGTACAGGCTAGGATCCACATGAGCTCTGAATGAGCAGGTACCTGTATCATTTTGTCAGGCTCTCTGGCTCTGGTCTGTGTGCGTACGCCTTGGGGTTGGTGTCCTTTTGGAACTTACGGACGACTGGTAGAAGAGAATGGACCGCTCTGGATCAATTCCTATTGCCAAAAGCGCGGCGAGGCTTTCTCTCTTCCACCGCTTCAATTTTTCCGGCGATTGGGGCGTGGTAATAGCATGGAGGTCGACAATGGAATATATCAGCTTTGTATCCTTGTGCTCATGGTGTTGCAGCTGCACCCATTGCCGTAAGGCGCCGACATAGTTGCCCAGGTGCGGTATGCCAGTAGGCTGGATCCCTGAGAATATAACCCTGGGCCGTATGGCTGTAGATTTGTTGATAAGGCGCTGCATCTAGTTCTGTTATAGGCACGCCGCTTGGATGTGTGAGATGGTAGGTTCCGTATATGATGCAAGAGGCACGTGCCTCACCAATCCAACAAGTAAGGGAATAGTATGTTGGTGGTGATCTGGCTATTCGTATCGCGTTTCGGTCATTGATAAGTCTAGGTGTCCTATGTGGTTGAGATCTTTCGATTTTTGCAAATGTACCGGGAGCCGAGCTTGCCCCTGGCTTAGTTTGATCGCCTCCCGCTTTATGGCTAGGTACCTACTTAGCCTGGACAGGTTGCGAGAAGTAGGCGCAGGGAGCGAATGTGTTATGTGGGGCTATTATTTGGGTCAGGGCCAACCACGTGTGTTACTGCGGAATGGTGAAGAGCTTCTGCGTACAGAGTACTCCTGGTCATTCGTCCAGGGCAAAAAATAACTACATGTAACTAACTACCCTACTTAAGTGCTTACCTTTAAGTCTAGGTACTTTACTTGCTTAGTAGGTACTAAATAAGTACTTACTTAATTAAGTAGTGAATGTACTTGAGTGTGGACGGGTCGACTCTGGGCACGTTCCAACGGCCATCGGGCAGTGCCTAAGTATTTACACCTTCAGGTGTTCAGTGGGTGACAATACCATAAGTATGCAATAAGTACGTTGCCGTTTGAAAAAGCTAATACCGTCCGTATCCCGCAAATGGTGCTTGGACAGCTTTACAGAAGGGGAAGCTCCCCGCCGGCGGAACAATTAGGCGAGGGACTTTTTATTCCCCTGAGTGGCATGGTACTATTCAGTGACAAGAGGTCTGGGGCTTCTATCGGCAGATAACCAACGGCAATGCAAACTGGCTGACACTGCGGAGTAATTTTAATATGTTTGATCTGGCGCTGGTAGAGAGAACTGAGATCTCTTGCCAGGCACCCTAGACCGAAAACGGTGTCCGGGAATCTCCACGGCATGCTTATTTATTGGTATTTGCGGGACCACGACATGGCCGTAACATACGGCGTAAATGGCCTTGTGATGACATGCGATGTCTGCTGTAGAGTAATTGTTATTGTGTTGTGCCATCGTGATCATGATGTGAGTCCTCTGCCGGACCTTCCTGGAATAGCACTACCCACCCCTTCTGCCTTGACAGCACCCAACCGCCATATAGGTTATCCAGAGCCGTTCATACCCGTACCCTCCCAAGTACCTACCCTGGGTACCTACCTACCTAGGTACTTGTAGGTTGGTATGTAGGTAGTACTCCGTAGGTCTGGTAGCTCCCTGTCAGAATCGCGCGGCATTAAGCCGAACACTGGTCCCTAGGATGGGCCGAAACTACGCCCGCTACTTACTTAAGTATGATGTAAATAGGTATCTACCCCTCCCAGACCATAACTACAAAACAACATCGTTCCCGACCGCACAGCTTGCCATAAGAGGACAACACCCGTCAATCAGCCGGCACTCTCCTTCCCCATTGCGCAACCATAGGGTCGGTCAATGCTCGGCAGACCACTCCCCGCGTTACCACGCACATTACGAGCATACACTCTGTACAATCACACAAAGCGTCGCCCAGTAACTACGACAGCCATGGCGGATTCCTCCCCGCAGCTCGCAAAGCTGAGGAGCTTGATGAAGGAAAGGAAGGTCCATGTCTATGGTAGGTAATAGCCTGACCGATTGAAGTGGACCGGTAAACTAGTTGCTATGTATTGCTCTAACTCATCAACACAGTTATCCCGTCCGAAGATAGCCACAGCTCAGAATACATTGCCGCCTGCGATGCCCGCCGGGAGTTCATGAGTGGATTTACAGGATCGGCAGGGTGTGCCATCGTCACACTCGAGGCCGCCGCGCTTGCCACAGATGGTCGATACTTCAACCAAGCTGCCAAACAGCTAGACGGCAACTGGACCTTACTCAAGCAAGGACTGCAAGATGTCCCTACCTGGCAAGAATGGGCTGCCGGCCAGTCTGCGGGAGGGAAAACCGTGGCCGTCGACCCATCACTCCTCCCTGGGTCGGCTGCCAAGAAACTCAATGACCAAGTCCGCAAGGCGGGCGGTGCTGATCTGGTTCCCCTCGATGAGAATATTGTAGATATAGCATGGGGCGATAGCCGTCCCGAACGTCCTTGTCAATCAGTCAGCGTCCTACCAGACGAGCTTGCCGGAAAGCCGGCCACAACAAAAATCGAGGAACTGCGCCAGGAATTAGCCAAAAAAAATTGCCCCGGTTTCTTTGTGTCCATGCTGGACGAAGTTGCGTGGCTCTTCAATCTACGGGGTAATGACATACCCTACAACCCGGTGTTCTTCTCATATGCCACTATCACGCCGGAGGTGGCAATCCTATACGTTGACGAGTCCAAGTTGGACGAATCATGTAGGGCACACTTACGGGAGAACAATGTTCAGGTCAAACCCTATGACTCGTTTTTCCCTGATGCGCGCCAACTGCATACCGAGGTCAAGGCCAAGCGGCAGGCCGGTGGAGATGGTGTTGTGGTAGGCAACTTCCTGATATCGAACAAGGCCTCATGGGCAATGAGCCGAGCGCTCGGAGGTGACGGCTCAGTAGAAGAGATGAGGAGCCCAGTTGGTGATGCAAAGGCCGTCAAAAATGAAACCGAAATGAATGGCATGCGAGCCTGTCATGTCAGAGACGGAGCTGCCCTAATCGAGTTCTTTGCTTGGTTAGAGGACCAGCTCGCGGACAAGAAGATCATGATTGACGAAGTGCAAGCAGCTGACAAACTAGAGGAATTGCGATCGAAACATCAACATTTTGTTGGCTTGTCGTTTCCCACCATATCTTCTACCGGAGCAAAGTAAGAGCTGGACCCAACTCATGATAACTTGACAGACCAGTCAGGTTTGTGTCTCTTGCGTCCATGGCAGTCGTTAGCTGACGTACAACTCCAACAGTGCAGCCATTATCCACTATGGCCCCGAGAAAGGTAGCTGCGCGACAATCGACCCGGGAAGAGTGTATCTCTGCGATTCCGGAGCGCAGTATCGTGATGGAACTACAGACACGACGAGGACACTACACTTTGGGAAGCCCAGTGATGCCGAGAAAAAAGCATACACGCTTGTCCTTAAAGGCCTCATCGGTCTTGATACAGCAGTCTTCCCGAAAGGCACTACAGGGTTTGCCCTGGACTGTTTAGCTCGGCAGCACCTTTGGGTTAGTATCGATGATCAACAGCCAGGCAACAATATGCGCTGACGCTCTCTGCATGTAGAAAAACGGGCTCGACTACCGACATGGCACGGGCCATGGCGTGGGTTCATATCTCAACGTCCACGAAGGCCCAATTGGTATTGGAACCCGCGTACAGTATACCGAAGTCCCATTGGCTCCCGGAAACGTGCTCTCCAACGAGCCGGGCTACTATGAAGACGGAAATTTTGGTATTCGGATCGAGAATATCATGATGGTTAGAGAGGTTCAGACGGAACATTGCTTTGGAGACAAGTCGTATTTGGGCTTCGAACACGTAACCATGGTTCCCTATTGTCAAAGCTTGATTGAGAGAGATATGCTTACTGCAGATGAAAAGGCTTGGCTGAATGCATACAATGACGAAGTTCTGAAAAACACAAAGGGCTTTTTTCAAGGTGATGACTTGACAATAGCATGGCTTACACGGGAGACACGACGAATTGAGTAGATATAGTTATACCGTTAAAAGAGCCCGCACTATTCACTATCCATTAAAGATGAACAAACGCAGCCAATACATATGTTATAGCAAATGAGGATGTGAACCAAGGTTTTTTTGTACAAGCCTGGCAAAGTGCAGATATTCCGGGAACTCGACCAACCCCAGCCAGGCGTGACAGGTCATATCCATATTTGGAAGCGAACTTGTTTCGTCAGTATCGAGACAAATGAGGTGCGCAATGCGAGCAAAGCCCTGTTTATTGGTTTACAGGCCCGACAGCTAGCCAATCCGTCCAGGGAGAGCAGGGATTTACTCACGTGGAAGGATAGGGCGATAGCACCACCAAGGAAGACAAGAGTTCGAGAAAACAAGGCCGTTAGAAGTCCAGCCAAGAGGCCTGCCGTCGGGGAGTCATATCAGTAATGACCAATACAAGCCAACGTCTGGGGCCTTATTTCAAAAAAAGTTCTAAAGAAAAGTTACTGACCTGCAAGACTACCGTTAGAGATTTGCCGAACAATCTCGGGGGATATCCCAGTGCGCCGAAGCCGATTCCGTGATGGCGTAGAGGACGGATCGAGTACCGGTCGGGCATCGAGCCGAACGTATGATCCGTTTACCAGGATTGAGCTGGTGCAAATGCATGTGCCAGCTCCAATAGCAAGGAGTTGTGCGGGTCTCCAAAGGCTGCGAAAAGGGAAAATACGGCTCATCGTAAAGCGAATAGTAAAGCTGCTTGAATACTTTATTTGTTGTAAGGGGTTGTGGCCAGTGCCTCCTACACAACATGAGGGGTCCTGCTGGAAACGAACCAGGGATGCTCGGTTACGTCATCCCCAGAGACAGCAGCATATGTGGCCATAAGTTTCGGTCCTCAGCTTGGTGCCTGTGAGGCAATCCATCTACGTACCTAGGTGACTACTAGATCAGTTCAATCTCAGATTCACACAGATCTCAGGATACGACATATAGATTCCATTTTCAGTTTATTTGCGGGTGAGATGGCTGGAGGCCTCGACAATGGGAGATGAAGAATGACAGGCAAGACACTTGGTTCAGGGCACCGGGTGTCAGTAAAGCTCTATATATGAATCGCTAAACCACGTTTCCTGAAGTTGATAAACACCAACACTAAAAGAACCAGACACTCCAAGCTGGATTTGTCTCAAATTCTAATCTCTTTAACTTTGACATCAAGTCTCTCCCTAGCCCAAACCTGCCCATATACCACGAATTCGTCTAGCAAGTTGAATGTCCTTTTGCATAATCGTTACCCTTTTCGCATGAATGGCACATAACTGGGCGTCTTCGAATAAGTGAACCATGAAGGCTTCAGCAGCTTCCTGTAGCGCTTGAATAGCCTGACTCTGCCAACGGAATTCTCTGCCTCTTGGTCGACAGTTCATGCCGATTTCCTGTACCTGCATATCGACATGTAAGTAAATAAATATGCATATAGGAACTCCTACAAACGCACCAAGCGCATAAATGGCAGCTTTAATAGCAGAAGCTTTGTGGTACCCTGGTATTGCCTGATCTCACGTAGAGCTGTTGTACCTGGGCGATATCGTCTTTTTTGTCGTATAGGAACAGGGTCACCAGCTATCAAGATGGTCAGAAGGCCCAAGAATTAATGCACATGAGTGGGATCGCGAAAGCCATCCACAAACCTTGAATATCCCCAGGTCGAGGATTCCATTTTGGAGTTGGCCTGGCCTTTCTCACCTTCATAGCCATGTCTCAAGGGGGAAAGGAGCCAGATGCTCCCCATGTGACCGAGAATTCGGAAGATGATATACCGCGAGGGCAAAGTTAGAAGGTCCGCTGTGAACTAAAGCATTAGGGGCTTTGGTTGATGGCGAGAACACACACACACACACACACACACAAGTGCCTGGATGGTGGTAATTACTCACCGATGTATATGGGTGGTAGAAAACCCACTTGGAGGGATGCGGAAGTCGATGCAGATTGGGATTCAGCTCAATCAGGTAGTCTGTTAAGCACATCAATGAAAATCCGGTTATACCAGGCCGATACATTGGATCATGGGCTTCACGCGTTAAAGAAACATTGAATGTAGTAGCCACCAGCAACCTGCCAGGCATACTACTAGGTAGGTAGCTGCAGGGTCGCCGCACGGTGTAAAATTTACGCACAGTAGAAGCACAGTGCAGGCAACACTCGCGTGCTCCCAATCTGTTAGGTTGTGTTATGTAATGTCAAGTCGGCTTGGCCGAGCTTAAGATGCCCTGGCCCAATTCTTAGGGACGGCTGGCCACTAAAGCTGACTAGTGGGTGGCTCCCAGCTGTCACTTCTCCCCTGCACACTGCTATCACAAAGGCCACCTCTTCATACCCGCTTGATTCCTAAGCTTCCCCTACTCCATAAGCAAAGGGTCTGTGTCTGATACAAAATAAATGACATAGATGAGGTCGCATTTTATATTTTACACCTGAAGCTCATTTCTCTTACTCGCCCGCGTTTTCTGCCTGCCTCAGCTGGGTCTGCCTGTCACTAGCAACGCGACACTCGGAGTTTCGGAAACAAACAAACAACATCATTTCAGTCTCTCTTTTTTTGTTAGGCCACTCACCATGGACCAAGTCATGGACGGCGGCCGTTTGCCGCTGGAGGAATGGTTCTGGGAAATGCCTGTCTGTACCCGTTGGTGGACGGCTGCAACTATTTTGACAAGTGCCCTTGTCCAGTGCCACATGGTCACTCCGTTTCAACTTTTCTACAGCTTCCGTGCCGTGTTTGCCAAATCACAGGTATGTGAGCGCAGCCCCCTCTCCTTTCATTTTGTCCCTCCAATGCCTGCAGGGCCCGGCATACCTCTTTGCGGCCCAGCGTTTATCAATTCTCTGTTCTGGCACTTTCTGTCTCTCGTTCCGTGGCTGATATCTGGCCTCAGTTTTGGCGACTCTTTACTACATTCCTTTATTTTGGACCCTTCTCACTCGATCTACTGTTTCACATATATTTCCTACAGAGGTACGCCCGACTGCTTGAGGAGTCATCAGGACGATCACCAGCCCATTTTTCCTGGCTTCTTTTTTACGCCATGACCAGTCTCATCGTTTTGTCGCCTTTGGTCTCTATGCCGTTTCTTGGCCAGCCACTCTCCTCGACCCTGGTATACATCTGGTCTCGGCGCAATCCCGACACCAGACTCAGCTTTCTTGGGCTTTTGGTATTTACCGCGCCATATTTACCATGGGTTCTCATGGCTTTCAGCCTCTTCATGCATGGGTCCATTCCCAGGGATGAAATCATGGGCGTGGTCATAGGCCATATTTGGTACTTTTTCAATGATGTTTACCCACCCCTTCATAATGGATCTCGACCATTGGATCCTCCTGTATGGTGGCGACGTCTTTTTGATGGCCGGGGAACAGAAGAGTCGCAAGATGGGCTAAACAACGACCTCATTGCTGCAGCTGGGCCTGGCGGGAGGGAGCCCGCAGCAGCAAACGTCTTGTAGCAACCTCTGGAGCTCTAAGAATGGCAATCTAAAATATAGTGTTGCATGGGCGTCTGCCACTGACTCCGGCACGTAGATGGATGATTTTGGCGATGTCATACTGCTATCACAGGAGGAAATATTTTGACTTTTATCTAGGCATGGGCACAGGCGTTGAACCGGGTTTCTTTGGTCATTATGTCAGCTATTAAATAGTTTTAGCCGGATTACAGTGCTGCCTATGGAAATACATGGTCGAGCAGAGTGATCAATTTCCACAGACAAGTTGGCCTCTCGGGTATTTCTCGAGACGCACTTTAGCTGGTAGAAGGCGGCTGTTCGTGGGAAAATGAAGACCTAGACTTGAATAACTGAAAGAGCGTGCTAAGACGTAGGACGGACGGCACAACGGTGGTTACGCTGTTGAATCGGAGGAATGACGCCATTCCTGCAGCTTCCACTGACAGGCGCGCTTCAGAATTAGTAATATCTCCACGCCTCGTGCATCCGCCAGTCCCAACCCCACCAAGCTGCCTACGAGGACGACGACTTGGACAGAAAATGCGCGCCCGTCCAAACTCACCTTGCATGGCTCTCTACCCACGTGCCTCAGCACTAGAGACGTGATTAGCCACTTGTAGAGCTGCGAGTACAATACCGATACTGTGTTAGAGGGCAATTTGTTTCAACCACAACGTCGGCGCCTTGTGGTCTCTTTCCCACTTCTGCGGCCCTTCTCTCCTCGGACATCGTTTCACCTGCTAGACAATATGAAAGCATACATGTACGATAATCAACCGGTAAGCAACCAGGATCACTGACTGGGTTTATGTCTCAAAAATGCTCATGCAACTTCGCTGGCTAGGGGGACCAGCGCTTACCCCACGATTCCGGCCGAGCCATCAGCACCGAAGCACTGGGGAAACTAGGCGTGCTATACTTCCACTTCGCCAATATTGCCGATGTAGACAGACTGGCTGCTGATCGCGGATACAAAAATCGGGATGAAATCACAGTCTCGCCTGAAAAAATGGGCGGCATGTACGAAGATAAAGTCAAAATGTTCTTCAATGAACACCTGCACGAGGACGAGGAGATTCGGTATATTAAGGGCGGTCAAGGTTTCTTTGATGTTCGGAGCAAAGATGATAACTGGGTTCGAGTGCGACTCGAGAAAGATGACCTGCTCATTCTTCCTGCTGGTATATATCATCGCTTTACCACAGACGAAGCCAATGTACGTGTGCTTTTTGTTGATCCTACTCTTTATTTCCATGGCTATTGACCAGGTTCCCGTTCCTCGAATAGTACGTACATGCCATGAGGCTCTTTAAGGACGAGCCCAAATGGACGCCATTGAATAGAAGCGCAGAGCTGAAGGAGAATTCGTTCCGTAAGGAATATGTTGGGCAATACTTGAGCCAATAAACTGCAGCGCGACTGGAGGAACGGGGTGTCATTATTCATCCGTCTTTGGGCAGACAATAGTAGGAGTTACGAGGTCATATATTTATATACTAGTAGGAAAGAGTGCATTAATACGGGTTCCTATCATACCTTGAGCTGCCATTTTCACATATAACGCTCTGGCAACTCAGCAATTATCGCGAAAACTGTGTATAACGACCAAAAAAAAACAGGGAATAGCCGCACCAAGCAGCCTTCTTTGAATAAGTTTATGCAATAACATAATGACATTGCTAAGAGCTGTGTTATTCGCCTCTGCTTAAAGCCCCCGTCCCTGCATGTGAGAATGTTAGACTGAGTTTGGTCGGTGGTGGGCCGATAGTAGCCCCGATAGCAAAGGCAGTTTTTCCCCTACCTCTCATGAATTCCTGTTTATTAAGAACTTGCAACCCCAGCCGCCACATGCCAAAGGCCGTAGGTCAGTTAAGGCGCCAAGAACGTGTAGCAGCCAAATACCACTACCACTAATAGCAGTGTGGGCCCTCACAACAGATCTGCTTGTCCATAATTCGCCTCGCTCAAATCCAACTTATAGTAGCCATGGGAGTTAGACTCCTGGCGCTATTGTGAGAGTTTGATATTTAATAACAAAAGGGTAGCGAAAATACGTACATCCCCGCGACAGAGAGCTAGCCGGTTCCATGGATTCCCTACCTTACGAGAATGCATCAGACGTGCCGGACGGTAATTCCAATAAGCCGCGACTCCAGCTCCCAGCGAGCTGTGACCCCCCATCAATGAGCTCACCTGCAAAGCAGCTTGTATGGATAGTAAGCGCAAGTCTCCTGCTACTTGAATACGCGTTTTACGTTTATATGTATACTTATATATATTCTCACTCAGATATTCGGGGGAACTGGCCATATGGGCCGGTCACTCGTAAAATACGCACTGTCTCGTGGGGACTTGGTCACTTCAGTCGGACGAATCCACGAATCTAACATTGATGACATTGCAAACATACATCATGACAATTGCCTTGGAGCCCTTTGCGATGTACGCTCTCGTGATTCAGTTGCCAAGGTTGTTCAGGATGCACTAGATCGGTTCCGACGGTTTGACGTCGTTGCGAACTGCTCCGGCCACGGAGTCATTGGTTCGTGCGAGGATCAGGATGAGCATGACCTCCGTAATCAGTTTGAGACGAATTTCATTGGAACGCTTCACATCATTCACACCACGCTCCCTTACTTCCGGAGACAGAACAGTGGCCGCTATCTCATATTCAGTTCGACTTCTGGAGCACTTGGAGTTCCAGGGTTGGGGCCTTACTGCGCAACCAAGTACGCTGTTGAAGGTTTGATTGAAGCAATGCTATATGAGACTGATTCTTTTAACGTCAGGGCCACGTTAATTGAGCCAGGTTTGGTGAGACGTGATGAGCCGGATACTGGCGATAGTCCCCTGCCAACCTGGGGTCATTTTCTCATCAAGCCCTCAAGTAATGGATACGGAAATGCAACCTCTCCAGCGCTTCACGCGAGGAGAATGGTACAGTGGCTTGGGGACCGCCAACCGACCAGTGCAGTAAAATGTGCCGAGCTTGTGTGGCAGCTAGCACACTGCACATACCCGCCCCTGAGGCTTTTGTTGGGGAGCTACGCAATTGAGAGCATTCGGGACAGAATGCGCTCAGTTACCGAGGAGTTAGAAGACTGGAAACATCTCAATTTTGCTACGGCGGGGCAGGAAAGCGAGAGGGACGATAAAGAATGAATTCGTAGTGGAAAATAACAATAAACTGAAAAAAAAAATGCTTTTTATACTTAACAATATACGCTTATGCTGGAGAGAAATAAGAAAAAGTTATAGGTTTTTTTTTTTTATAAAAAGAGAGACCCTTACTTTTTTATTTATTCAATATATTTATACCAAATTATTTTGGATTAACTCGCTATAATTATTCACGTAAAAAAAAAAAAAAAAAAAGGGCAGTAGTGCCGTAAAGTCCACCAACAGGAAGAAATAAAACGAAAAGAAAAGAAAAGAACAGAAAAGTATATTAAAAAAAATCATCATAGATAAAAGCAGCGGTGCGTTTTATTATTATTTTTTTTTTAAAAAAAATTAACATTCGATGAAGCGCTATTTATCCCCTCTCTCGTACCCCTCCTCCTCTCGAGTGAACTACAGCTAGCTGTTCACACAGAAGAGCTGCCTTGAGGCTCAACCACTTGCAACTTGACTTCCCACAATAGCATCTATGCCATATCGTCATGTCAGATAGACCAGTTCCTACACAATGCATTGGGTCAAGCCACCGGCCAACTGGTGAGAAACCCAGTGCCACGCTCTCAGAGGGAGTTAACTTTGATAATGTTTGCATCCTTCCTCAAACCCCACAGCTAATTGCCCTCCTCTCGTAAGTTCACAGAAGTACTGGAATACAAGGTTTTTTTTCTGTACCAACTTAATATTACAGAATGATACGGAATAAGAACACCGAGCGAGCCGACTTCATTTTCTATTCGAACCGCATTATTCGCCTCTTGGTAGAGGAAGGCCTCAATCATCTTCCTGTTATAGCACAGACTATCACCACACCAGTTGGCCGCACTTATGATGGGCTGATGTTTCAGGGGAAGATATGTGGAGTTTCGATTATGCGAGCAGGTGAAGCGATGGAACAAGGACTGAGAGATTGCTGTCGGTCTGTTAGGATCGGCAAAATTCTTATTCAACGAGATGAAGATACGGCGCAACCGAAACTCTTCTACGACAAGCTACCAGAAGATATTGCTGATCGCTGGGTGCTTTTATTGGACCCCATGTTTGCAACAGGTGAATTATACCAGGCGGCGTCTGTCGTGAGTGACCTGCAGTCGATTGATATACTAATCTGCTCGTGTATCATGCAGGAGGATCTGCCATCATGGCAGTACAAGTGTTGAAGGCACGTGGAGTACCGGAGGACCACATTCTTTTCCTCAACATCATCGCTAGCCCGGAAGGCGTTAATAATTTTGCCACTAAGTTCCCTCGACTGAAAGTTGTCACTGCCTTCATTGATCAGGTATGGTCACCCGGCTTTTGCCCAGAGCATAGTTGATGTAACAAGCTGACCCGTGGACCACGCAGGGTTTGGATGAGAAGAAGTATGATTCAAGAGCCACGAACAAAGTGAAACTCGAGCTAACCTTCGTCAGCTATATCATCCCGGGTCTGGGAGACTTTGGTGACAGGTTCTATACAATTTGAAGTGTACAGAGGGTTAGGAAATATACACCTGTATGGCGGCTAGGGTGATTCGTCGTCTGGTCGAGGCAACCCGTTGGTTTCATTTGTGAGGAAGAAGGCATTGCAGGGCTAATCAGTATTCTTCATCATCCGCAACGACTCCATCGCCTTCATAATGTGCATCGTCTTCGTCCTCGCCCTGGGCAGCTCTGCCACTTTGGCTGCGTTTAGTTGCGTTGAATGCCCTTGCCGTCGTGCTTCCGTAGTTTCCCGCTGCCGTGTCTGCTTTCGCAACTGCATCTGTGTATCGGAGGTGATTAGCTCAGGTTATTCATACACATCCACACAGTAAGAATGTGAGGTTCAATCGCCTTCTCGCTTACCGGCGGCATCTACCCATTCACCATACACGTCGACAGCGGCAGAGAGATCTGTATGTACGCGCCAGAGCGTTAGCCAGATTGATTGAATCAATAAGCTACGCGGTAAAGAATGATGCAAAGACAGACAGTTAACGGCACATTGAAATTTCTGGCCACAAATACGACAGTCTAATTGGCCAACACCCGCTTTTCTGTCCAGTTTGACGCTGACGGATTTCTCATGATTGCAGAAAAGACAAGTGAATGTTGATGGTAAAGGGTCAGACTACATTTTAGTTAGAGAATAAGTCTGTCAGCCACCCATTAGAGAAAAAAACTTATGAACATGAGGGGAAACCTTTTTGGGGCCCATTGGCTTTCTGGACGACTTCTTGCGCTTTCCCATTGCGGATCTGAGATGCGAGTGATGTAGAGGTTCGGTCGTTTATTTGTCAAGAAGGTAGAATAGGAATATTTGGGTTGCGCGTCTGAGGAGCAGTTGTCGTGATAGTGGGTGGGGGTACCCATTAGCTGGCGCTGACTCAATACTTATCGATAAGCAATATACTAGTAGTGGGGAATATTGTCAAGTACCTAGGTACTAGTTACCTAGATCCGTATTATAATTGGTTCTTTATCACTCCAGGTCTGTACCGCCTACAAGTATGCTTCATAAGTGCCGAATGTAAGATCCCTTACCTATGCGGACGCTGATGGTCACGCGCAGGTTGAAAGTGTATTACTTGTGTTGCTAGTGCCCAGGGCATTCGCCTACTTAAGTATAAGTACTATCGACCTTCTACGTACAACATTATAGGTGCTAGATCCATGTAACTTTTGTGATTGGATTCAACGTCCGCAACATGCAGGAAACGCAGCGCCCCTCCGTAGTTACCCCGCACCAGTCGTGCTTCTGCAGATCAACTTGCTGCCGTTTGCGTACTAGTACTAGGTAGGTAGTCATGTACTCCTCCTCATTTGGACGAGCCGTGCTACAACTGTTGGGCATCGAACGAAGTAGTGGCCTGAGACATGATCATGACCGCCTTTTCGACATGTTTCTGGAGCTAGTCATCTTAACAGCCCGACTCCTGTTATCCCACCCAACAGCTTGTACGGTGTGCAAGGCTTTGGGGAGGGAGCAGGGGTTAATAATCAGCGAGTAAAACTACTACACGGATAAGAATTGTACTTGACACATGTCATTGAGAAAGAGCCTTTATGGCATGATCTTTGGCGGGCGTTAACCTTTTATAGGAGAACAAAATAACTTCTTGTAACATCCCATGGGCTATGGCCAGATAGAAGGGTAGATAGCGCTAGCACTGGTGAATCTCCTTTTGCCGGCTTTTCTTTTTTTCGGGGCAGGGGCCGCGCGGTGTTGCACCAGACCACTTTCCTGACAGGTGGCAAGCCAAGAATAGCGATCGGATGCAACTGTGCTTGACCCCCGAGATCTAAACCCGCGTGACCTCCCTCCCTCTATCGAGCACGACCTCAGTATCCCCGACAAGTCCGGTTGGATAAAGCAGGAAGTCTTCTCCCAAGCATCTACGTACCCTTTCGTTGTGAAGTGTCAACATTTTCCTTTTAGCTCTGACTGAAATACGAAATTGGCATACGTGCTCGAGGATGAATCCGGCAACTCCAGACCCTGCGGTGCTAGATGCGCTTCGTCAAATCCAGCACACACAAACACAGTTACTAACGGCTGTTGAATCTCTCACCGAGAGGGTAGGTGCCGAGGAATCTGATCCAGATGGCTCATCTCATGCAAAAATACGCTCGGAAGTGCGAGGTGGAGGGGAATCAACAGGTCCTAATGCCGCTGCATCCGCCCTTCCCATCTCGAGTCCTCGATCCCCATTCACATCGCGTATCATTCTCACGTAAGTTGTCCCTTTATTACAAATTTCTCTCTTTCTATAATGAGGCTAAGTCAATTGATGTCAGGACGTACCCAAAGCAGATTGGGATAGACCCTTTACGAATGGATTGGGGCAACCCAGATCCGACCAAGCGAGGACCAGTTGTAGTTTCGAGATCTCCATCGACCATCCGGCGACGCAATGGTCTGTAATTTTACCTAGTCCAAAAGAATATGACGAACAAGTATTGACATGTATTTTGTCCTTTCACATATAGCCATCGGAGGTTAGACATTATCCCACACCGACACTAGAGTATGTTCTAACATTAGACAGCACAGTAAGGATTATCCATGAATTCAACGTGCCACGGCAATAGCACTAATTTATACCCAGTGGAGGGTCCTATTCCATATATTATGCACTAGCTGTGGCCAGCAAAGAGCTTGATAGAGACCACAGGTACGTGCTCTACTTGATAGTAGGGATAGAAGGCGACCTCTGATCGACACTTTTTGAAGGCCCGACTTCACCAATACTGAACCTGCAACTCGTATCGGCCCCTTCCCGCAATGGGGAGATCCCCGTAAGATTGTGGCCATGGATCCTTGGGGACACCTTACGCCATGGACATTTAAGAATATCATGGAGGAGGAGCACGGTACTTAGCGCAGAAGTTGAGTTTCAGAAGTTCCTAGCTGACTGGACGCTAGTTGATCTACGGCCAACAATTGCTATTACAAAAGCGCACATGAAAGTACGTCTGGCCTACATCTTTTTGGCATGAAAATATTGCATTCCCGCTGGACTTCTAATAAGCTTCGTCTCACAGCTGCCTGAATTAGAGGAGAGTGTAAAAGCCGGAAGACTGTGAGACGAATAACCCAATCACAACACCACGGTTCCATAACTGATTGTTCTTTAAGCGTGCCCGATGGCAAGGTTTGCCTAAACAAGTTAGGCGAGCTTGCTGTGACAAAGTTTGCTGTTGAACCTGTGAGTTGGCAATCATACGTTATGGGAACAGAGTGGGCAGATCAGAATGTTATCAACGAAACTTACAAACCTTAGGTTTGGTACCTTCCAGGTGTTGCAGAAAGGTTTGGAATTGGTAAGCGGTTCGAATAACTGCCTTGATGAAAACTGCGACTCACACTCCTCAGATGAGGCTACCCTTCGTCGGTCACTTTTCGAACATACGGGCGGTAGCTATCCTGAGGTGCGACGCAACGTCTGATATAAACAATCATGTGCTCACACAAACACAGCTGATTACTCGCGGTGACATCAAAGTTTTTCTTCCACCCATTGGTAACAGCTTCATTCTAATTATTTTCAAGAGTCACAAGTGCTAACGATCTGAAGGCGGGCTGACCGTTTATTGCTTCGGGGATCCAGAGAAGATGTCGGACCAAAATGTTCGATTGTCTCTTCGCATTCATGATGAGGTGGGACAATTACAGCGGAACAATTTCCCGCTTCATACTGACATTGTTAGTGCAATGGGAGCGACGTATTTGGATCTGATATCTGTACATGCCGTCCGTATCTTATTTTCGGTATCGAGGAAGCTGTCAAAGAGGCACAGAATGGTGGGAGTGGGGTGGTAATTTACTTCAGAAAGGAGGGCAGAGCATTGGGCGAAGTAACCAAGGTATGTCCAGGAAACGCTCACCAATATTTAATGTTCCTATATTGCTATGACGCGCCGTTGCTCTTTAAGTGGTCTTTCCCTAACAGTCACATCAGTATCGTAAGTCTTTCCCAGATTCGAATCTGGTCCCTTATGCTATGATTCTGTTCGTACAAGGTACGTTAACTGGTTTGTAAGTGGTCTACAACGCTCGGAAACGAGGCGAGGATCGAGCTTCAGATTATTTTATGAGGACGGAGAACATTGCCGGTGTCAAAGACATGCGCTTCCAGGCTCTTATGCCCGACATTTTGCACTGGCTAGGCATTCAGAAGATCGACAGAATGCTGAGCATGAGCAAGTAAGTTTTTGCGCCAAACCTGCAGCTGGCACTCAAAATTGAAATTGCTAACTAAATATTTACAGCATGAAACATGATGCTATCGTTAGCCAGGGGTGAGCTAAAACCCGCCATGGTCGAGGACCACAATTGGAACCCATCCCAAATGCTTACCCCAACTAGAATTCCAATCTTGGAAAGAGTCGAGCTGCCAGAAGAGTTGATTCCCGCCGATTCCAGAGTTGAAATTGACGCAAAAATAACTGCTGGTGAGTGGCTTAGTCAAAGCACAAAGACGTCAATTTGAGCTAACCCTTGTTGTCAGGCTATTTTACTGCTGGTAAACGCCTCACTGCTGAGGAGCTTCAATCAGTTCAGGGGAGGATGTGGGAAGAGTAAGTCGTGCCCCTTTTTTAAGCTTGTAGGGGCTTTGCTCATTAGGTTGCAGTATCGATCACTGAGGAGGGAAAGGATCCTTGATCTTGTAAAATGCTGAATAGCTAGTCAATCACTATACACCCCAACACATTATTGCTTGTGCCGACACAGATGTGCTTCCGTGCTTCATGAGCCCCAAAATCAATGCGTCTCGTAGATAATGATACCTGACTCAAAAATGACTTTCTACCTTCCATCCAACGCTGCTAGCGGGCCATACACATTATACTACTTGATCCGCAATTTAGTGTGCAGCAATGCTTGAGTGTTGTCAATCCAGACGTGTTCCCTCCAACGTGTTCAGCTGTCTGTGGATGAAGATCGAAATTCCTCCTGGGTCTGGTAGGTAGCCACATTGACACCTAACTGAGGCCCCGCCTGTCAGCTGACGATCATATTGATACCCAACATCGAAATCCCAGCCGAGCTTGAGGAGTTGACCAGAATGACATTGTTGGGTCGCCGGTACAGAAGCTTGGCATATTAAAGCTTATTATATCGAAGAAAGTCAAATTTCGATCAAGAAATGCACTTTCAACGTGTTCTACATCTTGACAGCAAGCATCTATCATCATGGCATCACAACACGGAAGTGCCGACACTGGGCACCTGAGAACATACCAAAAAGTCGAGGAAGCCCCCCCTCGAAGGCCGCGATTACTTAGATGTGACGCCTCAAAGCCTTGTATAAGCACACAAAGCGCAAGCCGAGATGCTCTCATAAGCCCTGCCTCGCCAACTGCGGTGTACCTGCTCAACAAGATGGGCGGTTATTGTCTAAACCAAAGCGATGCCGAATTGGTTGGCGAAGACTTAATGAAGCACAACGGTCATAGTGTACCCTACGATGAACAGAGTAGCCCAGACGGCTCAATCAATTACCGGATAACATGTGATTCAGATTCTACTCCAACAGGTCGGTCCTCAGCTCGGCATCAACAAGTATCATCATCAGCAATTGTCTAACTAGTCACCCTCAGACGCCTATTTTAGCTTTCCGAGTTTCGACAATTGGGCATCGACAGAGCCAAGCCGTTCATTCATAATGCAGTCTTAGCCCACGCTAAGCATGGAGACGACGTTGGACGGCGAGGGAGTACTTTCAAGCGCCGAGGGGGGGAGGGTTCATTAGGCATGTATTTGCAGCCGCAAAGCTTTTGGTGGACAACTATCAGGACTATCGCCGTAGCAGTCAAAGTTGGCCATGCGGTTGAGAGTACCTGACAATATAAACTCAGTGGACAGTTGGCCGTTTTCCTGAAATCCAACTGAAGAACAGAGTCGAAGAATTGAGACGGCAGTATGTAGCATTATTGAAAATCATGAAATTCCCATTAGTCACATTTCTGCACTCTGTCTGAGATCGCCCTTGCAGTTGGCATAGAGATCATAATTGACAATCAGGGCAAGTTTGGTCAAACGAAGACATCGAACCTGAAGCCAGACCTTAGGTCCAGTGATGGGTACTCTGTAAGAAGTGGGCCCCACCGGAAGTCCAAGAATTAATTTACTCCGTACGGACAGAATTTTCTAAGCTTGTGGAGCAAAGTGTTTTTGGTGGTTGGGTGGCACGTGACAATCTCTTCGGGCTTTTGAGTAATGGATCCGGACAAAAGTCACTCCGTGAGACTTTGATAGTTCGCTTAGACCTAGTTGGTGCACACAACAATTGAAATTATTCTCGCCCCTCCACCAATCCCTCCAGCATCATCGGATTCTCCCACTGTTCACATATCGGCCAGCAATCATGGCGGTTGGAAAGTGAGCATGCCCTGTTCGCGACTACTTTTGGAACTGTAATTTCTAATGAATTGTAGGAACAAGAGACTCTCCAAGGGCAAGAAAGGTCTCAAGAAGAAGACCGTCGACCCATTCTCCCGCAAGGACTGGTATTCGATCAAGGTGGGCTCAGTCTACCGCAACAATTTATAGGCATTTCGCTAAACCTTTCTTTCTAGGCTCCCAGCTCCTTCAGCGTTCGAGAGTGAGTTTGATATTTTGTTTAGCGATCTCAGAAAGCATGCGTGGATTAAACCGGGGCTGACAACAGAAAATAGTGTCGGCAAGACCCTCGTGAACCGCACGACTGGCCTTAAGAACGCAAATGATGCTTTGAAAGGCCGCATTGTCGAGGTCTCCTTGGCCGATCTACAGAAGGACGAAGAGCATTCTTTTCGCAAGGTTCGCCTTCGAGTGGATGAGGTTCAGGGGAAAAACTGCCTGACCAACTTCCACGGGTTGGATTTCACGTCCGACAAGCTCCGATCTCTTGTTCGCAAGTGGCAGACTCTTATTGAGGCCAATGTCACCGTCAAGACAACCGACGACTATCTCATCCGCCTTTTTGCAATCGGATTCACTAAGCGACGCCCTAACCAGATCAAGAAGACTACCTACGCCGCATCTTCGCAAATTCGTGCCATCCGACGCAAGATGACTGATATCATTCAGCGCGAAGCTTCCAGCTGCACTCTTACTCAGTTGACATCAAAGCTGATTCCCGAGGTTATTGGTCGCGAGATTGAGAAGTCCACCATTGGCATCTATCCCCTGCAAAACGTGCGTAAAGAGATATTCAAGCCGTCAGTTATTTGTATGTAACTAACAAGAGCATTATAGGTGCATATTCGCAAGGTGAAGCTTCTGAAGGCCCCCAAGTTTGACCTGGGTGCGTTGATGGCTCTCCACGGAGAGTCGGGGACGGATGATCAGGGCCAGAAGGTTGAGCGAGAGTTCAAGGAACGAGTTTTGGCTGAGGTTTAAGAGTTGTTACATGCAAGTGCGAGACTAGAGGGATTCTCACTGGTGATGCACTCATCTCTGGCATTATTTCGGTCATTGTGGCTATCATCAACGGCGCGGTTGGAGAACGGTAATTCTCCGTAAATGGTACAAAAAGGCTCTGTTACTCTACGAAACCTGTGGTCTGATCTATTTTCTGTGATGCATGTTGTGTTGATGTGCGTCTATCTGCCATGCCGTCAGCTCCAGATCGGTCCTATATTTGCCCAGAAATAGGTGTCATGAAGCTGTTTGCAGACTGAAGAGACAAATGGCCCCCTGGTATCGAACTTGGTACTAAGAAGCTGGCCAAGCATTAGTGCCTGTTGGAATTTAGCCAGAGTACGGAGTACACCCCATATAACATTACAATAATAGCCTTCGCCGTGAGTGCCCAATTCCACGCTCACTTTGGAATGGACCTATTTCAGCTACTAAATAACACGAGGATCCTTCAATCTATATCTTCTTGCAGGAACGAAACGACGGCTGTTTAGAGAATTAGACTATATGCTTGCTAAGTTGACAGAATCACATTCTCACCTTGCCGAAATGCTTCGGGTTGTTCAGATATTAGCCAGTGACCTGCATCGATGTCTACGAGACGGAAACGAGGAAAGAATTCTCCGATCGCAGGCAGCACATCATCCGCGACATAACGACTTTTCGTTCCTCGGACAAAAAGAGCCGGTCTCTTGAACCTCCGTTCCTGGGTATTCTTGTAGGGGAAGTCCCCTAAATGGGCAAGCGATTTTCCTAGAATATCCAAAGGAATACGAAACCGCTGCACATTCTCTCCAGGGACTCTGTATAGATTTCCGAGGAGAAACTGTCGGATGGGCACAGACTGTCACCACGTTAGCCCGAAAAACGTACATGATAGAAGGGGGGTCTGCAATACGAATCGTACCTCTTCGAAATTCTGTAAAATTGCGTCGGCCTCGGCTTGGCGAGAAATTTTGGCACCTTGAATCATCTTCATTCCCCTGATGTATTTGACGAAGTCGCCATCTAATGAAACATCAACAGGGGCATTGTCAACTGCCACCACATTTGATACCATTTCCGGAGAGCGAAGAGCAAGCGTCATGGCCGTCTTTGCACCCCTGAATCATCAGATTCTCGTTAGAGAATTCAATTCACTGGTCAATCAATTGATAGATTATATGTATAGAACGTACATTGAATGGCCGATAATACTAACATCAGTAAGCATTTTATCCTTGATAAATGACGAGACGTCTTCTGCCATCGATAGATAATCATGCCGCTCGTTATGCGGAGATTCCCCATGATTTCGCAAGTCCTGGTAATTTAATTTGTGTTTAGCACGCGAATGACCATCTTGCGTGCTGACTGATCAGACTAACCAATGCGTATACGTATCTGCCTAAATCGCGAGCTATTGCTCTGATGAAACAACAAAGTAAGCGTTTTACACTACGCTGGTATGAAACTTGAAAGGCTTACTTGCTGATTCCCCTGTTGTTCTTCTTAGAACCAAAAAGTCCATGCAGGAAGAGTATGGGAGAGGTTGTTGCATTTACTTTTGGCTTTGCCGGTTCGTGTAAGTCGAACGCCAGAGGTCGTACAGCTTCGGGTTCAGAATTATGGGAATAGTGTCTGCCCAGTTGCCATGCAGCCCGAGTCATCGCTGCATTATAGCAGTGAAGATAGGCTCTAGAAGCGGTTGATATTAACATAGCGATTCTGGCGCGCAGTGAAAAAGTTAGGCTGGCAATGGTCCACAGGAAAAAATTAGCTGGCCAAGTCGCTTTTGATGCGAAAGATCTGTTATCACGACGGAGTCTTGATAAGTCACCAATGTGGGTCCCAACAATCTGGCTGGGATGCTTCCTTCTTGTCCGCTAATGACCTCGAAAGGGATGGCCATAAAGTATTATAGATGTATAAATCCTTTCAGGGACGCAATTGAATACCAGGTAATTTTGTAGGAATTTTTGGGTCAACTTCAAGCAAAAAACATGTCGACAGTTTGCCTGTCATTGAACCATTTATCGGCTAGCGCCCTGGAGTCTGAAAGGACAGTTCAACCAGCCCCAGTGCCTACCAATAAATGCCTACCCCTTACCTACGCGGAGTACGGAGTACCTAAGGAACAATCACAGATGTGGGGCTGCCAGCTGTCCACAATTCAATCGACGTCCTCTTCCCCTCGAGATCTCGTCAACAAACTTTCCTGTGTTTTGAACTCCGAGGATTTCATGACGGTTGATGTCAGTTTCTGAACTGAACCTCAACTTGAGCTCCTCTCGTTCTCTATTCCGAGACCAAGTACTTCCCCCCTCGACCTCTGCCCCCCCGAACTTTGCCCACTCGATTCAAGGATTAAGATGGACTACGAGGCGCTCAAAGAGCAATGGAGCGAGGTGGAAGAGCGTGATGGTGTGCGCTTAAGTTGGAACGTTTTCCCCAGCTCGCGTATGGTTAGTGGCGAAACATTCCCATGATGCCATTTTGCACTGCTAATGCAGTTGTAGGAAGCTTCGAGGCTCGTGGTTCCCATTGGAGCTCTCTACACGCCTTTGAAAGAGAAGCCCGACACGCCTCTGCTCCAATTTGAGCCAGTGACTTGCAAGCAACCTTGCCGCTCTGTTCTGAATCCTTTCTGGTGCGTTCCACATCCGCTTGTCTCTCCGTGCCACAATGTCACAAACCAGAGTCATATGACGGAGGACCGACATCCCTCAGCCAAGTTGTACTCGAAAGCCTCTAACCCTTTCGGTAGCCAAGTTGATGTCCGGGCCAGAGTTTGGATATGTCCCTTCTGCCTCTCGAGAAACCAGTTGCCTCCGCATTATAAAGACATCACTGCCAACGCAATTCCGCCGGAATTGCACCCAGCCAATACTACCATTGAGTATCGCTTGTCGCGGCCAGCTCCCGCTCCGCCCATTTTTCTATACGTGGTCGACCTTTGCCAGGAAGAAGATGGCTTAACCTCATTGAAGGAGTCTCTTGTCATGAGCTTGAGCCTTTTGCCTGAAAATGCCCTTGTTGGCCTCATCACGTTTGGCACCATGGTATGGTACAATGAAACACAAGTGTGTGTGTCAACTCATGGCTGATGACAAGAATCTAGGCTCAGGTACATGAAATTGGATATGAAGGCTGCGCTAAGTCTTATGTTTTCCGAGGTAGTAAGGATTACAGTGCAAAGCAGGTTCAGGAAATGTTGGGACTGTCCTCTTCTGGGATTCGTCCTGGTAGTCACGCCCAGCCTGGACGCCCTGCGCCAATGGGCCCTGCCTCGAGGTTCCTTCTTCCAGTTCAGCAGGCTGAATTCTCGCTCACCAAGGCTCTGGAATCCCTCCAGAAAGACCCTTGGCCTACTGCCAATGACCGGCGAAGTCTTAGATGCACAGGTGTGGCCTTGAGCGTTGCCATAGGCCTAATGGAATCTTCATTCCAAAATGCTGGCGGCCGCATAATGCTGTTTGCTGGTGGACCTGCAACCGAGGGGCCCGGAATGGTGGTAGGGCCTGAGCTTCGCGAACCCATCAGATCACATCACGATATTGATCGTGATAATGTGAAATACTACAAGAAGGCCTTAAAGGTAGGCTCACGAGATTATTGCCCAGCGGATATTTTACTAACCATACTCTTTCGATGTAGTTTTACGATAACCTGGCGAAGCGTACGGCCCACAATGGCCACATTATTGACATATTTGCAGGCTGTCTCGACCAGGTTGGCCTACTAGAAATGAAGGGCCTGTGCAACTCTACAGGCGGCCATATGATTCTCACGGACAGTTTCACATCATCGATGTTCAAGCAATCATTTGTTCGTATCTTCGAAAAGGACGGGGATGACAATCTTTTGATGGGCTTCAATGCAGTCCTGGAAGTGCTTACTACGAAGGAGTTGAAAGTTACTGGCCTGATTGGGCATGCTGTGTCACTAAACAAGAAGTCCGTGTCGGTCGGTGAAACGGAATGTGGCATTGGCAACACATGTTCGTGGAAGATGTGCGGGATCGATCCACAGGCGAGCTACGGCATATATTTTGAAGTTGCAAGCCAAGGCCCAGCGACTCACCAACAAACCCCACAGAAAGGCATGATGCAATTCTTAACTTACTACCAGCATTCTTCTGGACAGTTTCATCTTCGTGTCACCACTGTTGCACGGAACTTAAGCGGCCCTGCTGGAGATCCCGCAATTGCTCAGTCATTTGACCAAGAAGCCGCTGCCGTACTCATGTCTCGAATTGCGGTCTTTAAGTCAGAAGTTGATGATGGGCCAGACGTGCTCCGATGGGTAGACAGAATGCTCATTCGGCTTTGTTCGAGGTTTGCTGATTATCGGAAGGATGACCCTTCGTCTTTTAGACTGGAGAAGAACTTCACTCTGTATCCACAGTTTATGTTTCACCTCCGAAGGAGCCAGTTCTTGCAAGTCTTCAACAATTCCCCGGATGAGACTGCGTTTGACCGACATGTCTTGAACCACGAAGATGTGGGCAACTCTCTCATCATGATCCAGCCGACACTGGACTCATATACTTTTGACCAGGAAGGTGGACAGCCTGTTTTACTTGACTCTGCCTCAATCCAGCCGACGCATATCCTGCTTTTAGACACATTTTTCCATATCCTCATCTTTCATGGAGAGACCGTCGCGGAGTGGCGAAAAGCGGGCTACCAGGATCAAGAAGGCTACGAAAACTTTGCTGCACTGTTAGAGCAACCAAAGGAAGATGCCAGGGTAAGTTATATAGGGGAAAAAAATTTAATTAGATGATGCTAACTTAGTCTCAGGACCTGATCACTGATCGGTTTCCATTGCCTCGGTTCGTTGTGTGCGATGCGGGTGGTTCTCAGGCGCGATTCCTGTTGTCCAAGTTGAACCCTTCGACAACTCACACAACGGGTCCGTATGGGGGCGGCGGGACCGCTTCGGCTCAAACTATCTTCACTGACGATGTATCCTTGCAGACGTTTATGGATCACCTTATGAAGTAAGTGATCGGAGCCCCAATATCCTTGTTCGGTCCGGCGACAGCTAACCTCTCTTAATAGGCTTGCGGTTAGTGGTACCAGTTAACATAGCATGTATTGGCAATGCGACATTTTGGCTCGCGTCTGTTTGCTGCAGCTAGCAGGGATAGAATGATAATGTCTTTTGGGGCAATAAGCTAGCTAATAAACGTACGTATACGTACCTAAGTAATTACATGTAATTTCAGAGTGAAGTTAGCGGTGGTAGATTCACAAGGGCACATGGATACCACAAGTTAGCTACGCGCGCGGCCCCTGGTTCTGGTGACAGTACAGTTATCACAAGACAGGTCCTAAATTATCACGAGTTTTAAACGTCTAATGTCTTGAAGAAAGATTCTAAGGTTAGTCACTGAAATGCACCTTATACCTACTAAGTACATACCTAGGTAGGTAGGTAGTATTGCCCGGGGACTCGCTTAGTGGCTCGTCATGTGATTATGTAAGTACGGGGCACGTAACAACATGCACTGCCAGCTACTTGTGTCACGCCCCATATTAGGTAATGCAGCAAGCAAAGCCCTGACTGCCTGAGGTGTTAGTGAATTACCCGCTTCGCGAGGTGCAGTTAGGGCAGACCAGTGGGGCACACATAAGTTTCACCGGCCTCTTGTGACTTTTTTTTTTTTCCATCACTCAACACACACGGCACGCAAACCACGAGCCTCTGCCAATTCTGATCAGTCAATATGCGTAAGTCTCAATCGATAAAGTCATATCATTTCGCTGCTGGTGCTAACTTTCAAGTTTAACAGCTCCCAAATTCGACCCCAACGAGATCAAGATCATGTTCGTGGTTCTTATGGCAATATTTCAAAGAAAACGTAGACTGACATGCTTAACCTAGCCACCTCCGTGCCACTGGCGGCGAGGTGGGTGCTTCATCTGCTTTGGCTCCCAAGATTGGTCCTCTGGGTTTGTCTCCAAAGAAAGTCGGAGAAGACATCGCTAAGGCCACCGGAGATTGGGTAACCTCCCTTCCTACGTTATAACGCATCAACCCAGGCAGATTACTAACCCCAATGCTAGAAAGGCTTGCGCGTGACTGTCAAGCTTACCATTCAGAACCGTCAGGCCGCCGTGTCTGTCGTTCCTACCGCTTCATCCCTAATCATTAGGGCTCTGAAGGAACCTCCTCGCGATAGAAAGAAGGAGAAGAACATCAAGCATAATAAGTCGGTCAGCCTCGATGAAATCATTGAAATTGCCCGAACTATGCGATACAAGTCTTTCGCCAAGGAGCTCAAGGGTACAGTCAAGGAGATCTTAGGAACCGCCTACAGCGTTGGTTGCCAGGTTGATGGCAAGGCTCCTAAGGTTATCATCGAGGCTATCGACAGTGGCGATATTGACAGTATGTCTTACCATCATCTTTCTGAGCTCTTTGCCTCGTGGTGTTCGAACTCGCTGGTATGAGATAGCTGACAAGTTCAATCTAGTCCCCGAAGAGTAGAGATCCGTCGAAAACACAAAACACTCATCAGAGCAAGCTATGTTGGCAATGAACTTCATGGGTAGTGATAATGGCACATCATGAGCGGCGTAGTAGTCACCTGTATGACAACGTGGTTCAGTTTCGAAACGTCCCCTTGCAGTGACTCGTGGTGTGATGTAAGAAGGCGAACATAAATCCTCGGCTACACTCTGAGATTGACCAGACTCCACGGTGGTCTATTTCAATTTTTGCTCGAGGAAGAATAAATCTCAATGTGGCCCCTTACTCACCGCGACACTCTGGCTTATTTTGGCCCGCTGAGTGTAGTGGTCCATTTATCTGGCCAACATATCTCCAAACCTAACTCAGGGCTTGTTACCTGACCTCCGGCGAATCAATGCATCCATAACAAGTCCATGTTGAATATTGTAAGAATGGGCGTTAGTCTCCTCTGGCGGTATCTTACCGTCTGTGATGCTCTTTGTCGATACAATATATAACTTGTGGGCTATTCAAATCCGTTGTCCTCCACTTCAGGCATTTCATCTTGCGGTCGCTTTTAGACCATACCACTCATTGTCGGGCAGAGCATCATGCAGTGATGGGAATTGTGTTGGTCCTGCATATTAAGTGCAAAGACTGGGCCTTGAATGTTCTTGTCCTTGTTTTCCATGTCTCGTATATAGGGTACCTACTTCTGCTAGTATATCCATAGATATCATATCATACCAACACTATTGTTTACAGTGTGAGGAAATGGTATTTACCCACCTCAATTCATGGTATCATGTGTCACTTGCTTGCTGGTTATGGGGACACGACTTGTTTTCATGGCACTCGTCAGTGGCATTGGCGACAAAGACCGCTTGGCAGCAATCCCACGGGAAAACGTACAAGTACCAAGGCATGACTTGCCGTATTCTTGGTCTGTTAAACCATGAGTTTCTTGTCTTTGCTCTTGTCGCCGTATTTCCAGAACACAGTCACCGCAACATTATCCGCAACCTCCGGTGAGCTGGCTGCCTCTCCGACTCGAGTTCTCGGCCCTCCTGTTACACAGTCACCGGTAGGACATGCGATGCGAGCTTGCTCTGAAGTCGGTGCAGGAAGTGGTTACTATTGGGCGACAGGATTGATTGATAGGCCGCATCACATTGGTGAGTGAGTGTAGGGTAAGATATTGATTCGATACTGTGCGAGCGCATGCGGACCACGGGAGGATGGATCTCTCTGAATTTAATACTTGTGCAGCTGGGCTGGGTTGTAGTCCCGTTTACTAAAGTACTTATGCAATGTTTCCCCAGCTGGGGGAACTGTTGTCACACATTCTAGAAGTCGGCTATGTAGTCGTCGCAAGCTTGCCTTCTTAGAGGCGGTCACCTCCACCGCGCCACAGCACAAGCCACCAAAAGCAACACCTTTCCCTTGGACCAACATCAACTCAACGCTGTTGTGCTTGGCATGTCAGCACATCGCTTCCTGACCCTATCCCCTCCCTTCCTCCTCTCCAGCACAGAAATCCACATCATCACCGACAACGGTGACGCACGGCGCCTCACTTCTAATCGCACTCTCGCATCCCGAGACAGCATCATAGGTCTGTTCTCAGGACAGCACGTTGGACACCCTTGGGCAGCCGCAGAGCTCCAGCGTCATCCACGGGGAAGACGCCGTTAGCAGCCCCAAATGCGTCTCGACTACTACACATCATCAGCCATGCGTTGAGCGGCAAGTCATGATCGAATGCTGACTTGCCAGCCGTCGTTCATTTTCCGTTGACTTTGTATGATTCAGACGCCCCAGTTTCTTTCGGATATGCTTCCTGCACCGCCGATGCATCCTGGTACCGTGCCAGGACCACAAGCTTTCAACAGCTTATCCAACATACCTGGACAAGAAGCCAACGGACACAACGATGGCCACGCCCGCCGATTTGTACCAAACCATAGACGTTCTTTTCCGATCAGAATATCGCAGTCGTCGCAACAGGCTGCCATGCCAACTGCTCATCTCGGTTCATTTACGACCGAGCACAACCTTCGCAGAAAGACGCCGGGCGGAACGGTCGAGGCGGGATACGATGGTTCGCCGATTCAGCCATTCCCGGGACCACCACCATTGAAACAGATGATACTCCCCATATCAGCTGGCTTAACATCCTACTTTCCACCGGACCCTTTGCTGGGATCTATACAACCGCCGCACATCCAATTCAATGTGCTCGGTAGCAGCTATAGTCACGGCTCTCACCCCCCAGCAAACCTTCAGCCTGGTGCCTGGGCCTACAGTGACGCAACACCCAATGGGTTTGACCTTTCGACGGTTCTGAACAGTGGTTCACGCTTGCTGAATACCAGCAATGTCCAAGCCATGGGTCAGCCTTCAGATCTTTACCAGCCAGTCATTCGAGCGAATGAGCACAACCTCCGTGCCTTCTGCCCGCCTCCAGCTCCAACCAGTGGTTCATTGCTATTTGGTCATATGGGCTGGCAGCCGGGATCTTCGCCATGGGACCATAGCAACTATGACAAAAACCCGGGCCTTGGTATTCCATACACGGCACCAGATATAAACCATACCGGATATGGTCAACATGGCAGCGTCGTATCCCAGCACTCACAATTATACGGCAAGTATCAAGGGCTAGATAGAGGGACAAGATATTCTGGACACAGTCCACGGTGGGGGTTTCAAACATACCAAGGTCCTCGCTCAAGGACTGATGGCCAAAGGGTGACTTCGATCGGAGAGTCACATCTTCGGGACAAAGCCTTACAGCAATCCTATCAAAGCTATGTGGAACTGCTTTCATATTTGCAAGCCAGTGGCAAAACGAGCCCAACCAGAAGTAGCCCTGGCTCCTTCAGTTCTTGCAAACTCCCGGCGTATCCCAAACCACCGAAGCTACAGAGCCTTAGAATGGTCAAAAGCGCCAATCTCGCGGGCCCCAACGCGACATCTGCTAATAGTATGAGTCAAGGCTCGGCCGAGCATGGTGGACGGTGTACTCTGGATAGCGGCCGGTCCTTACACAGGCACGCTCCCTATAGCCAACCAACCCCTAATGGTAACAACGTATACTCTTTGGAACAAAAATTTGTCTCGGCAAACCCGAGTATCTCAGCACCTTCATTTAGCAACATAACAACCGCAGTCCATCCATTACCGGTATCCAATGCTCTGACATCTCTAGACATTCTTAATAATCTCTGCGAACAAACCAAGTGGCAATGGATCGAAGGTATGCTTGTCGGAGGTTGCCTTCTATACTGCCTAGAGCGGTATGATGACGCGTTAAAATGGTTCTCAGCAATAATTAAGCTGGATTCCGGGTGAGTATACCTCATCATGAGGGATTATTGCCTTAACCACTAATCAAGTTGTCTCGTAGTCAAGTTGAGGCCACTACACATCTTGGCGCAGCTCTGTACTGTCTTGGCCGCCAGGATGAAGCTGAGCAGAACTGGCTTCGGGCGGTAAAGCTAGAACCAAGCTATTTAGATGCAACGGAACATCTAGTAGGGTACTTGTACAAAAACCGGAGCGGGGAAGCTATCGAAGTTATAGCATATGTCCAGAAAGCTTTAGGCCCCGTTATCGCCAGTACGAGCTCTACCCAATCAAAGGCGCCACTGCCTATCCTAGGAAGTGGAAATGAACTAGTTGTACCAGGCTCCCAGTCTCAATTTCTGAACGGGGGCGGCAGTAGCAATACCCCTGGATTCGGATCCAGTGGTTACTTGCTGTCTGGTATAGATAACGGCAGAATGCTGGCCCTAGTTCATGCAAAAGGAACATTGCTCTATAGCCAAAAGGACACCGAGCGTGCGTCGGAAGCCTTCCAGGAAGCTGTTTTGATCAGCCTTGGACGACAAGTTACAGGGATCCAGGAACTTATTCGTCGTATCCAAGTCGCGCTCTCACCAAGAACATGCCAAAATGCTTCTAGCAAAAAGTCACAATCTCTGCAGCCGTTGATGTTGTCTCCAGAAAAAGCCCGGCATACCGCCCATCTTGTTTTTGGTGGCACCGGTGAACTACCTGGTCTCCAATTTCTCCGAAACGGGCCATCTAAGCGTGCTGCTGTGCAAACGACAAGCAACTCATTGCTATCGCTGGCTAAAATCTTGCAAGACGCCATGTCTAGTGGCAAAGTGGATTTTGGCCTCTTTCGTGGCTCATCGCAAGTCGGCGATATACTTGCTCTATACTATCTTTCTTTGTCGCTTCAAGAGAGTCCATCTACAGCCAATAATGTTGGCATTCTTCTCGCTGGAGTCCAACAAGGCATTGCCGCATTCTCAAACACAGCTGGCAGAACAATGCCGCAAACTAGTATACCTGGTATTGCCCCTGGAAGTGGCCTTGCCCTAGCACTTGCGTATTATAATTATGGTCTTAAACTCGATCCGAACCATGTTCATCTTTATACAAATCTTGGCAGCTTGCTGAAGGATGTTGGCCAACTGGACTTCGCAATAGGAATGTACGAACGCGCAGTATCCTGTGACGGGACGTTTGACATTGCTCTCACGAATCTTGCCAATGCTGTCAAAGACAAGGGCCGGATAAACGATGCCATTCACTACTATCGACGCGCAGTAAACGCGAATCCTGGGTTCGCGGAGGCTGTTTGCGGGCTTTTTACGGCCCTTAATTCCGTGTGCAACTGGCGTGGCCGTGGCGGTGTGTTTCTAGAATCTGGGAAGTACGACCGGTGGCATGTCAATAGTGAGGGAATGCTCGTTGACGCTCAAACTAGTGGGTGCAGCAGCGGTCTCACTAGGCGCGTCGTCGATATCGTGAGCCAACAACTCAAGGATGCATCTCACTGGGGCCAAGGGATGTTGCGGGAATCCGCTATATGTGATTTAGCAAAGCAACTGCAACATCTTTGCAAAGACCCATCGTTTCAACTAGAGGAAGCCCTTCGCCGATGGGCTGATCAGCCATGGGAAGGATCTCGACTTTTGCGACTGATAGAGCGTGCCACACGAGTGTTACTGAGGAAAAGTTACAGGGATCGATATCTATGTGGCCAAACTAACAAATTGTCATACGACAGACCGAAACTGTCGCAAAATCTTAGTGTTCCATCAGCACCTACAGTGCTTCCATTTCATACCTTCACGTGTCCCTTAACAGCTAGACACATAAGAGCAATTGCTCAACGAAATGCTCTTCGTATATCGAGCTCGACACTTCGATCACCCTGGATACCTTCCACAATGTACCCTCCTCCTTCCCCTCCGAACCCACATTTGAATGTGGGTTATATATCCTCAGATTTCAATAACCATCCGTTGGCTCATTTGTAAGTCACACTGTCTGTTTTTTTGTTCAACCTCTCTGCTTTTGGAGCTATATTAGACTCTTGCCTAACTTAGTTGGAGGATGCAATCCGCCTTCGGGTTTCACAACCCGGATCGAGTCCAGGCTATTTGCTATGCCACCACACCAAGTGATGGGTCTGTCCATCGCCAGCAGATTGAGAACGAGGCACCGGTGTTTAGAGATGTCAGCAACTGGCCACCAGATAAATTGGTTGAACAGATTACAAGGGACAATATTCACATACTGGTGAATCTGAACGGCTACACCAGGGGTGCAAGGAATGAAATCTTTGCAGCCAGGCCGGCACCTATTCAAATGTCGTTTATGGGATTTGCTGGCACATTAGGTGCTGAGTGGTGCGACTATATACTAGCTGACACAACCGCAGTCCCGTCAACCACTCTTCGCCCTTGGAGAGATAATGTGTCAATCGAAGATGTGTTCTGTGATAACAATGAAGACACCACAGGCGACTGGGTGTATTCGGAAAATGTTATCTTTTGCCGGGACACTTTCTTCTGCTGCGATCATGCACAGTCATGCGCAATTGACGAGAAAGAAACTGAGTGGGCTGAGGTGGAAAGGCGGAGGTGGAAGATGAGAAAGGAGTTGTTTCCCAGGCTGGGAAACGATGCTATCATACTCGGCAACTTCAATCAGCTCTACAAGGTAAGTAAAAAACGCCTTCCTCGTTGACTTTGCCATTTTCCCGAGCTGTCAATCTAACGAGATGCGGAAAGATTGACCCGACCATTTTTCGGGCTTGGCTACGCATTCTGGCTCGGGTCCCACGAGCGGTTTTATGGCTTCTTCGGTTTCCTGAACCCGGTGAGAGCAACCTCCGGGCTACAGCTAAAGCGTGGGCCGGACCTGAAGTAGCAGACCGGATAATTTTCACAGATGTGGCCCCAAAAAGTCAACACATTTCGCGGGCCACTGTTTGCGATATGTTTCTGGATACCCCGGAATGCAATGCCCACACCACAGCTGCAGATGTCCTGTGGTCCAGCACCCCACTACTTACTCTTCCCCGATATCCTTACAAAATGTGCTCACGGATGGCTGCGTCTATTTTACGTGGTGCGCTTCCTCGATCTTTGGAAGGCCAACAAGCAGCCGAGGAACTGATTACAGACACTGAGGCAGGATATGAGCAGCGAGCGGCTGATTTGGCGAATAGCCTTGAATACACAATGACTAGTGGCGGCTACGGACAAAGCAGTGGCCGTCTGGCGGACATACGGAAGCTTTTGTGGGATAGCAAATGGCACTGTGGCCTATTTAATACCCGAAGATGGGTGGAAGACCTAGAGACAGCATACGAGGAGGCATGGAAAAGGTGGGTTAATGGTGCTGGTGGTGACATTTACCTCTGACAGAGCTCGGCTGCCCTGTGGGTGAGGTTATGATGAAGATAACGACGATAGATGATGATGAACATGACCTTGATTAGCGGTATATTTGTAACCTTGACTCGTAATCGCATACTCGCCCAGCAATTTATCGCACCATCTCGTCTGGCATCTGACCTTACTTGCTAGTCGATATTTAAGCATGAATCAATACTCTAAAACCATTTGTAGTGAAATCTAGATTGTGCTTTGCCGTTCCTCAACAATGTAGCGCATGCTTCTCTGGGCTGGTAAAACCGGCGTCGTCTCCGGCCACCTACATGCCACTAATTAGCGAGGGATTGACGTGGTCTCGTGCCCGTCACAATCTATTTGACTTTTTTTTAGTCAAGGGCAAGTATGTCAATGACAGTGCCATTGTTCCGCATGGTCCTCGCTAGGCGAAGTTTATGCCATGACCCGCGTATGATTGGGTGCTGTGTACGAGAGTAAAAAGAGAGGTTAGCAGGTGGTCGGCACTATAGGTTTAGAACATGATCGCCAGGCGCTCGACATCTACTCGGCAACATGTCTACATGGCTTGAAACTCTGACAGCCTGGTGCCAAGACAAGCCTCTGGTCATTCTCGAACCACCGGACGCCAGGTGCAATGTTGCATGACCACCAGGGCAGCATCAGTCATAATACCATGGCCGGTTAGGCAAAAGTATCAGACCCAACCACACCGTCCGACGTTCAGCGTTGATGCAAACCTAAAAACTATGTGATGTTTGCGCTTTTTGGTCATCCATGACGCGTATATGCTGATACTGAAGATGCTCCTTTAAGCCGCTTGGGTTCTTCATCGTTTATTCGGTGAGTGGTGGGCGCTTGGCAAAACTTTGAGGAGTAGGGTAATTCTCTTTCCAATCATACCCAGTTGCCAGGCAGCCAGACATTCCCAGGTGTCGGAAGCAGAAACACAGGGTCGTGACATTTCTAGCAAAGCGTTTCACATTGACTGACGTGTAACTATTCGTAGACGACGGATACGACGCGACTTGATATTTAGTCTTTTGCCTACCCACCCTAAGTAGGTAACTAGTAGGTAGCAGGTAGGCATGGCATGTAAGTAAGCAGAGTTTTGCAGGCTCTCTGCGACTGGGATTCAATTCTGCCTCTACGTGCCTCTGAGGTCACTTGAGCGGCCGGCCGTATTGACTCCCTGGCTTGATATGGTTCAAATATTGGTCAGGTCAATAGCTTCGCAGGGCAGCTGGCAAGGACCGTTCCGCCAGTCCTGTCAAGCCACGGGCGGCTTGGTCCAGTGGGCATGAAATTAACCCTGTACCATCCGGAGCACGTAAATATCAACATTGAATGTTTAATACCTACCTACCTAAGTAGGTAGATATTGTACACACCAGTTGACGTTCAATGCTCTTGCTTTCGCACCTTCTCCCTAGTGCCCTAGGTGAGTAGGTAGACTCCGCACCTGACCGATGATAGGCACTCGATGTGACTGGTCGACCTCTCAAAAGACGGATAGATGATGCTTGTCAAAACCGTGAATGAGAACAATGCAGTGGATTATCCAACGTCACTACGCCTGGATACCACCTCTTGGATCTGATCAGTTCCATCTTGGCAACGATGGCAGTTGTTGTGGTTCCGCTAACCTGTCTCATGATCTCTCAACGCAATCGCGCCATCCAAGATGTTAGAACCAACCGCACTTGTTGTTAGAAGGAACTTAATTGCAAAGGCGTGTATAGGGGAGGCTGCTTCCACTGTGTGCGTTAGGTCTCTTCAACAAACCAGAATTAGCCTTTATCTTTTGCACTTGTCACGATTGACGTAAAGTTTATTGCCTGCCCGCATGCCCCTTTGTTACTCTAGCAAACTCTAGAAGGCAACCAGGCACATCTGACCTACCTACCGAGGTGCCTAGTAGGCTTCACGACATCATGCCCCCTATCCTCGCATGCCAGTGATTTCATTCTCGGCAAGCGTCACCTGCCTATGGGCTCTAACATGACAGTCTACAAATCTCAAGCCAAAGAGGTAAAATCCTTTCTGTCCTTTTTTGCCCTGACCAGAAGTATAAGCCGCGCGGGATTTAGCTCCAAGGGCTTACGGTAGATAGTAGGCAGTTGGTATGATTCGCTAGTAGAATTTCAAAGTTAGCAACAGAATCCCAACCGACTGACTAGAGACTGTTCGGAGCATTGACATGGAGATAGTGCCAGCTTGAACGAAGCCTGGCACTGGACTCGGCGAGGCAAGCTGAGTGGGCAAAAGGCTCCTGATTGGCAAGGGTCTACGTTCTGGTGGCAGGTACTGTACGGAACACATGACCAAATGAGGTAAGTAGACCAGGGGATGGTGGATCTGGCCAAGCAAGCGCCATCCCGGCTGCAGATCATTGTGTTCTATTCTCCAGCCCTCCGACGCACACCCCCCCGTTCACCCAGCACGCCCAATGCGTGGGACGGGAGTTCACGCTCCTCCATGCTCCCCTGTGCTACACGGGAGTGTAACCGTCACCAGATTTCAACCATGGGCTGCCTTCCGTCGCTACTTTGGGACTCTGCATTATCTGGCTGGCCTATTAGTCACATCTCTTTGGTTACCAATTGGCCTGCCGCCCCTGTCCGTACTACAATGTTGACTCTCTTAAAGTCACGCCCCACGTCCACACCCTCTCCGCTAAGATTTTGTCCAGTCAATGTCAAGTGGTGCGTCTGACAGCGGTGCTAACACAAGTACACCGAGCCTCATCGGGCCTCCCCATCATTGACGCATTCGCTTGCATATTTACTTTCTTCTAGTCGCGAACCCCCTCTCCGCCCGAACTCTCCCATCGACACAATGAAAATAGCTTGATACTTCGGCGCAACTTTATTTTTCTTAATGATTTCAGCCACCGTGACAAGAAATCCTATAAATTAAGCGAGTTTCAGCAAACTTGTCATCAGTTCGAAGCTGTCAACAACCTACCCAGGGCAGTTGAGCATAGCGGTCACTAACGCTTCCCGCTTTCTATCTTTCACCATCGCAGACGATTGCCTGGATTTCAACCATGGAACCTCGTCAACGGAGAGGTCCTTGGTCCAACACCGAGGACCGTTTCCTTCTGAGCCTGATTGGAAATCGAGGCCCTTTGAACTGGGTTCGCATCGCTCAAGTTCTTGGATCCCGTACCCCAAAGCAATGCCGAGAACGCTATCACCAGAATCTTAAACCATCTTTAAATCATGACCCTATTACACCCGAGGAAGGCGCCAAGATCGAGTATTTGGTAGAAACTGTTGGAAAACGATGGGCCGAGATTGCCCGCCGCCTTGACGGACGAAGTGACAACGCGGTCAAAAACTGGTGGAATGGAAGTCAAAATCGAAAGAAGCGCTCCGAACGCCGACGCCGTGCTTCAAATTCAACATCCGCAGCTCAATCACCATCGTCGACTTCGTCCTCGCCGCTGCCATCATTTGATCATGGCATGCAACGAGCGCCACTTTCAATCATGAGCCCGATACTTCCCGCGCCATTTTCCAACAATCTAAGGTCACCTATGTCTGGCTCCAGGAGTCGAATTGGGTCTTTGGTGGATGGCCCTCTTCCATCACCATGCTCTTCTGAGCCATCAGATTTGGATTCAAGCGCCCATTACACGACGTCCCCAGCTGATCGACCACGCTCACTTTATTCTCAAATACCACAGGTTGAGCTCCCTCCATTGCGCGGATGGCCAGAACCCGTTCCGGCAGAGTCTCAGCTGCCTCGTATTAGTCCAATGGGCAGGCTTGATGAAGGGAGGTTTGGCAGGGACTTCGTGCGCCTGCCTCCATTGTCTAGTCCATCCGAACCCATGACAACACCTGCTTTACCGACATTGCAGAAGGAGGAGGAAGGGAAAGACCTGCGACATGAGCAATCGCAGCGAGAACCACAGCTTCCTCCCCGACATTTGGGGGCATCAGACTCAAGTGCCGAGGAAGCTAGCAACGACACGGGTTATAAAATGAGACTTGCGTCACTATTGGCGTAGTAGAGTTTCTGTGTGTTGTTAGTAGTCGTTGCCAACACTGTTTCCCGCCGTGGCTCGAAGTGCCACTTGGAGTTCATGGGCCCTGGCACAGTGACGAGATGCACGGTACATGCTAGACATTCGTCCGCCTTCAAGGTTGCTGCCTTAGGGAAACTATGGATAATTGACGCGCTCGCTACAAGCTCTCATCTTGAAGCGATGTTGCGTCTCAAGTTCACAACTTAGCCAGGCGCCTGGCTCATTGTCAACATACCAGTCTAACCTCACTTGCTTAAGCGTTTCCCCCTCTTATCTTTGCTGTCTATTTCGCTGTCGTGTGACGACCCAGGCCTGCGGTCATTTGTTAAACATTCTGCCAATCTATACCCCCGACCGTTTTGGCAGAACTTGGTCTAGCACTCTACTACAGTTGGGCGAATTCATGTATGTGTCACGAGAAGACTTGGCTTGAGGCTGCTCTGGCGTATCTGGAGTTGTTTTAGGGAAAGGGGCAAAAGAGAGGATTTTTGTGTTAGTGTCAATTAATATGTCTTGTTTTCAGCGACCGTCCCGTACTCGTGTGAGAGAGCAAAGATGCATTGTGTCTGTAGAGCGGAACTGCTTTGTGATCTGAGGTGCAGTCTGGTCTCTCGACTCGTACAAGTCAAATTGCTGACAGCCGCATTCCTTATCTGGCTCTTGGATTGTTCCGGCCAAGGAGCAAGCGGCTGACCAGGCCAGACACAAAAAGCCATGGCCAGTTCATATTCTCAGCAGAAAGGTGTGCCCCAGGGCAAGAATATTAACCTAAGCCTCTAAGAACAAAGCATTGGTTACCCATACTTCCGAGTCAATGCTCGCGTTGATAGCACGTAGCTGCTAGCAGGAGTATAAAACTACGATGAACATTGCAGCTCTTGACGCCCAGTTCACTACTTGCACTTGGCTACGTGTTGTATAGCAAGGTGTTGAAGAAATCGAGTGGTGTGTAGTACTACGATGATGCGTGCGAAAGATTTGGAATTGACGGATCCATAATGCAGAAGTCGAGATCGACATGACCCTGATGAGACGGAGAATACTAGTAGCAATAGGACCAATATGAAGTTCTAAATGGGGTTTGGTAACAGTTCCCGCGTGAGATGTGCTAGCACTGGAGATGGAGATGCGGGTAGCTGATTGACTCACACACCAGACCATTGACATTTCTCAGCGACGATCAATTTGGAGATTGAGGTGAGAGCCTTCAAATGTCGGAGGGAGGAAGCCGACCAGTCAAAGCCTGAGGGCCACATACTTTACTTACATGGGCACCTACATACTACGTACCTACCTAGGTACCTTCCTACTCAAGTACTTTAGGTAGGTAGGTACATACCTGCTATGTACCTCTTGGGTATAGATGGTGATTGTCTCTAGTTCGCCTTGAAGAAAGGTCTAGTGAAGTGATTAATTTTTTGTTACTTAGCTGCTAGGGCAATAGTATGTACAATACGGCCCAAAACATGCAGACAAAAAACGTTGAAGAGCAGGGATGTCTGTCCCAGATGTATGTAGTATCTCGATGGGTGCCCGTCGGCCTTCATCCTGGATGCAGCGGAGACCTGAACCCCCCTTCCCCAGCTCTTCAATCTCCCAAGTGCTGGTAGAGTACGGAGTACTCCACATTGTTGGTCCGACCGTTGGCAATCTATATTAAAATAGGACGAGAGAACAGGGAAGCCTGTCTTGTGAATCACCCAATCACAAACTGTCGGAGTCACTCCGATCGCCCCTTTGTCTTTTCTCTCCGAGCTTGATGCTCTTGGTCCCTTCCAAAGGCAACCAGTGAGGTCCGCTCATGCTGATGTGATTGGTACGGGGAGATGGCAATGGCTCTCGACAGTGAACTATGCAAGTACTAGCTAGGGATCTCATGGGATCCTGTGGAACCTTGGAATGGCGTCACGACTGGCGTTTGTATGTACCAGGTCTATGGGTTGGCAAATTGCAGCAATGAGGCGGCAATGTTCTGGAAAGGCGGGCTTCTTGATCATCAGTATGGTGGCAGAGACTTGCGCAAATTTTCGGTTGACCACGAGCGAGTTGGCCATGGAGTTGGGCTTTTGTGCTGGCTGTTCGGCGACTCCGTCATTTTCAACGGCCTGGTGCGCAAAAAACAAGATGGTACCAGAAGATGTCCGGTAGGGGAAAATTGTCAGGCTTCCTTCCATACTGTACATATGTACATGGGTCAGTACCTACCTAAGTACCTCTAAGTACCTTGACACAGCCAACATTGAACATTGTACATACAATAGGTACTCCGTACATGCTTGGACTTGATGGAAGGAAGGCTGTTGTGTTGGTTGGTATGCACCGCCCCCACCCCCTTTCCCCCTGCAGGAAGTGGAAGGACGGGACAACTCAGGAACTTGCATTTGAGTGACTTTCGTTTGTGCCGGCAGACATTAAATGCATGTGCTGGGTCTGGCGGGGTCCACCGTCACCGTTGGCTTTCCAGCGGTTATTAGGGTCGCGCCGCTATTCTGTCCTGTGTGGATGCCTGATCCATGGATGTGGTTCTACAATCACTAATCGTCAATCTCACGTTTTGCTCTGCAGCACGGCATCGTTACCTTCCCCCCCTACGACTTGGTTGCCAGGCACCTTGGCACATCCACTGTCGTCTTGGATTCATAGTCTAATACCCAGCGGACCAGATGAACTGTGTTGTCTGCCTCGGGTTTCGTTGTGTCAATGCTTGTACATACCTGCTCGGGTACATACGTACGTATCAGACTTTAGCCATAGACGTACCTGCTTAGTAGATCACTACCTAGGTACAGAGTACCTAGTTAGGTATTGATGCAATGGATCTGTCTGCGCTCCTGATGGCGATCTTGGCAAGAATATTCCGCACAGCACAGCCAGGCGGCCCGAAGATGTTTGCTCCGTTGTGGTGGGGTGGTAAGTGGCAGCCGCCGCCCATTCTGGCGATTCTTGGCGCTGACTTTCGAGGCCTGGAGAAAGCTTGAGAGATTGGAGAGCGTATTCCCAGCCAATACGCGAACAGAGTAGCCGGGTGGATGCTTTGGCGCCGTTGACCCAACATTGACACCCCCAATTCAGTACAGGCGAAAGGTCAACGGGCGTCCCGCAATTATCTATAACTAAGTGCTCAAGGTCGGTATGTAGAGGCTTACGGATGTGGCCGTTCGGCTATGGGCCGTGGTGGGGCCGGTAGCTTCAAGTACGGAGTGCTCAAGCAGCAAGGTTACGTCTGGTACTTTCCTTATACCTAGCAGTTTGTTGCAGGGGCTTCAATGTTCTCTCAGCTAAAGTACTACTAGTAGTAGTAGTAGTAGTAGTAGTACTGGACAATACATAAATGTACATAGGTACCTAGGTACACATGCATGCACAACAATATTGACTCTTCCGGCTGATCCATCCCTCTGTTACTGGCAATCTGGAACGTTGAATGGTTGGGTGGTTGTGCCTCAATCAATCAAGACCCCATCCTGAGGTTGACTGCATCGTCTTCCAGAAAACTAAAGTAATACGTCGTACAGTCTGGCGCGTTGCACAAGATCCGGCCCCACACGCAGTACATATGCATGTATATACGATTCGTCGTTGACCCCTTCCATCTAGGAGTGAAGCCAATGCAAGAAGCAACAAGATGCTGCTGCTGAGACGTGAACCATGCTGATCAGCGGACCCTGGGCTATTAACCACGAAGACGAATCAACTTGACTCGTACGCAGTTATGACTACTACTCACAGCAGCAACAGTAGCGACGACGACCAAGACTCAAGTAAGAGACACGCACGTGCGCGGACCGTAAGCAGTTGGGGTTAACAGGAAGCCCTTGTGCAGAGCGACACATCTAGCCTATTCAACTAGATATTCAGTAGATGTTGATGGGGCAAAGACGGCATACAACATCCGAGAGCTTACTCCGTACTCGGTACAGTCCTCCCAAGAGGTGACTGGCGCTTCTGCCCCGACAATCGCCGGAGTGACATCGATAACGCGTGGTGTTGGCGGCAACTTGGGGTCCGGACGTGTACGCAGCCTAGGTCACTTGGCGGCTGAGCGTCCTGGTTCGTTTGGAGAGCCAGACGACTGCCATCATTCGTCTATGGTGAGGCTCATCGTGACGGCCTTGATTGGTGATACTGGACTACATATGTATCCTTTCACTGACCTGCATCAGCCATTCGGGGTCTCGGTTCTTATCAATTCCCGCAAGCTACATGACGGAGAACGGTATTCAGAGAGAGAGAGAGAGAAAAGCGGCACCATGGTATTCCGAGGTGAGCACAGATGGCAACCTGTTTCCATTGGTGGTAATTAACGGTGAAATGCCGGCCCTGGGCTGAGCTGGCAGACTGGTCCCAATGGCTGGAGCTTAGCCCCGTGCGTCAGTCGCCGGGCGCCAGTTCCTTGTGAACCCCGCCATGGCCCATCACCGTTTTCGTGGCTTAGTTCTGGGGGTGGGCCGCCGCCAATTTTTGTCATTTTCTGGTGTACGGAGTACCAGACATCGATACTGCTGGGCCCTTCCATGTTCGTGCCGACTGAAGTTCCTGGTGGGTATCTGCACTTGGAGGGATACCTTGAATGTCCATTACTGCATATCCGTACGTAAGTACCGAGGTACTTCAGCTGTGAACTCTCACTTTCCAGAACCCCTGCACCAACGGTTATTTGGAAGCCGACAAATTTCGGTCCGAGCTTGCTCGCTCCATGTGCTCACCTCCACCAGGCATGCTTATCAACGTTGGAATACACATCATCATGGCCACAAAGTAGGATTCAGGACCCCGAAAATACCTAGTTGCGGAGCGCACTCCGTATTCTGTGCCGCGGCCGTCAAGCTACTCTCTACATATAAAGTACATGGAACATGGCTAGGTGCTGTAGTACCAGACATCATACTACACTCCGTAGTAAGTAGTAAATCCCAAACACGCAATATTTGTGGTTGTGGCGCCCTGTCTTTGTCGTATCGCATGTTCAGTGCGGCATCTTCTCAGCCACGCCTCTGGTCACAAACAACCGGATACCGACTCGAGCAATCCTGCAATCCTGGCGGGCTCGAAAGTCGTGTCTTGCCAAGAAGTCATCAACTCAAGACAGTCGATCCGTTGTCCAGTGCTTTCTCCTCACTCCAGCGACTCCACCTACAAGGAGTGAGTATTCAGCCAGCAAAGTTAGAAGGCCCTCGGGACAAGAACAGTTGACATTTGAAGAGAGAAGACGCGGGGCATTCATTGCGCGTTTGACACGTACTTAACGCAGTACATACATACAGTAAGTACATACATACAACTCTGTACTACTAGCCCCGTATTGGAGTAGTAGGAGCCCGATTAACTGGACAGGTCTGGTGGCGCAGAGATCTCCTGCCGCGTGTGCATGGCTGCCCTTGCCCTTGCCCTTGCCCTTGCGGTGTGTTCCCCGACGCATCAAGGGAACCATTGACGTCTATCAGGTCCGGTCTGGTGTGTTTTGTGGGACGACGACGTTGACTTGAAAAGTCAATACTACTACTCCAAAGGGTCAACTGCAAATTTGATCCAAGCATTGTCGAGGAGCATTGCGGCTTTTCAACTTAGCATCGTGAGTCAATCAAAATGTATGCAAATAATGGAGACACACGCGAGCACGAACCATCAACACTGTGCCAATCTACTAAAGTGAAAGAATAATATACGTGCCCTTTGCTCATCATCCTCGACTTCGCGCCGTGCCAAGAAGACGACTTTTGGTTCCGAAGTTGTAAATGTCACACGAGGCGCGTTCTGTGGCACATGCGCTCAACGCCAAGTTTCTGCGCATTCCCGTGCAGAGCCTACCGTTGCCCTGCCACATATAGGTACATAAAGTACTCAATTTACCTAAAGCTAGGTACTTATCTTAGGTACCTACAGTAGGTGCCTACTCCGTCCGTGTCTGCCTGGACACTGGAGCGCAACGACACCTGGATTACCCAGTACATGCATTCTTGCCTCATCAGAGCATTGCAGTTTATTGTGCTACGTGCTCAGGAGCGGATGTGGATGCGATGGAAAGGGAATGGCGGCCGGTTGAAGTCGCCTCCTTCCACGAGCTGCATCGGACTAATCGCACCCCCCATCCATTAGCATCCCTGTGTAAGATATGACAGAAAACTACCACCTCGTCGGGGTCTTCAAGTTTGGCGAAATCGACTCTGATTTGCTTAAATACGACTGCGCAACCCGAGATCCCGAACCATTCTACCGGTATTGAGCATGCGCAGCACAGGGATCAGCCCTCCCTGGCCTGGGACATGTCTTGTGCAGCCAATCCAGTCTGCCGGATGGGGGACCAGGGGGTTCAAACCAAGACAACAGAGTTACGAGGCTGTTGGTGCCGTAGATCATTGTTTGCTCTTTGCACGCACGAGCACGCACCAGCCGTTGAACCTACTACCTGCTGGGTAAGTACATAGTCACCTCCACGCCCCCAAACTCCCCTAGTAGTTACTAGGTACTTACCGCCTACTCCGTACTGGGTAGGGGTACTTAGATGTCAACTGGTATATACTTAAGTAGGTATGTGAAAACCTACAGCTCGCCCTGTGTTTGTACGGAGTAGCCCAGCCCAAGGCATTGGGTACTACCTCAATTCTGAGCAGCTACTTCGAGCAGAACTGTTGTAACGTTGACATCTTATTCCCGCCAGAACTTTCATGGAGCTGAGCCTTTCATTGTTCTCGAATGGACTGGGAGAAGGCGCCATAAAAGGTCTAGTCTAGACGGATGTTGTTAGGATTTTCACCCAAAGCAATACAACAGACCACACTTCCTTCAAATCCGACGGCGCTGTCATGATTTGCAGCAAGATGCACTGTCACTGAACATAGAACATGGCATCCCCTATGCCATCAAATTATAATATGTGCTTCAAGAACCAGTCATCAACCGCATGACATGCTCAGCTGGAAGAAGCTTTCTGATCCTGTTGGAAACTCTCGGCACCTAGCATTGTTACCAGTTTCTGGGCGCTGCAAGAGCCGTATGAAATTATCGGCAGCGCCGAACTTCATGTTCCTGGGGATATGAATGCTTCTCGACGCCTTGCAGTACCGCTGTATGTTGTGCGTTGCTCGACAAGCCCAGGTAACCCAGAAGCTTAACGTCCTCCCACTTAGAGGCAGGCACAGTCTCAAAATGCAGCCACCTTCTCATAGGATCAGGTTAGCTTCCAATGAGGCATATGGAGAATATGAGTGTCTGGATTGGACGCGGATATAAATGTGAAGGCTACGCTCTCACCAGGCCTGCTCAATAATTAGGCCCAGTTGCCATGGCAATGCGTTTGACAAGTACTGAACTCGAACTCTAAAGTCAGCCTTCGCATAATGAGGCTCATCCATTGTGAGGGATGGTCAACCTCCTGACCGGTGCCGCTTTGTGACGCCTAAGCATTTCACTAAACGAGAAACTGACCAGGAGGAATCACAGCACCAGACAACTATTAGAAATCTGCTCCATTCTTTCCGGAAGCGAATTTCCAAAAGATTTTGACCTTCTTGTATTAAGTATGCCTGAGTCTCGAACATTGAGGCAAGCTGCTATGCTGAGATGATACAGGAGTAGTCGGTAGATTTCGGACCAAAGGGACTTGCTTGTTTTCCCTCCCTTCTTCTTTTGCCGTTCTCCCCTCCTCTGTTTGACGTCTCCGTCTTAGAGTCAAGAGTAGTAGAAATTTCATGGAAGAGATGACAGCTAACACGCAAATTCTGATTTTCGACTTGTGTTATAGTATGTCATTGGGATGTGGCAGGACGGAGCAAGGCCCTTTGCATCTACTCCAATAGGCAACCCACAGGAATGATTAATGTAGCCCAGGCACTTGAATTTGAATAACAGAATGATTGATGCTTCAAATATACCTGTTTTCCCCCGTTACTTCAAGGGCATATCTGTTCTCATATGTCATTCACCGCTTTCATACCCCCTACTTGTACGAGGTTTTCCAGCTCAGACCTCTATCCATCCTCTAACAGACTGGCCTACTCTTTAATAATTGGGTTACTAAGTCATGACCACCTCTGCTTCTGGTTTTCGACGATTTTTACCTGGTATTCTGCCCTTCAATAGGACTCTTGACGAGGCAAAAAGCTTTCCCTTGCTAGGATGCTAGACTCTTTGTCCTTACTATTGGAGCACTAAATCTAGTCCGAAGTTCCTTGGGGAAGTCACCATTGCGAAAAGGGATTGCGTGGACTTCTACAACGGGCACCGGAAGTCGTCGTAATAAGCGTAAATGACACTGCAGATATGTCACGACGATTATCGGACTTGACCGTTGAATCATAGAGCAAAGAGATCCAGCAATAGCAGCCCTTGGCCGAATATTTCCGATATCCAGCTAACAAGTGTGCCTTCTTGGCTCTTTCTGTCTGTCTGCATGGCTATGCGGGGAAAAGTAAATCCCGCGCGAAGTAAAACGAAAGCTTAATATCACACGCCCCAAAAGGCGGGAATGATGATATACAGATATGAAGAGGTTCTTAGTTCAGCCTGCAAATTTCTGAACACTCAGTTGGCTGTGATAGGCGCGTACGAATGAGAGTTTAATTAGCCTAGTATCCGAAAATGGGTAGCTGGTAGCTATGTTAAAATCTCGAACACGGGGAAGCTCTTAGTTAGGCCCTAGTTGGATATTTTGAACGACGAACAGTAGTCCGCCGAGCTCTGTGTATGTATGGCTAGGGGCCTATACATAATATATGGGATGTCTGAAAAGAAGATAGCCTGCCACGACCGACGGTAAGACCTCAAGCTAAATCGAAAGCCGGGATCTACGGCTCGGAGTCACAGGCACATGTCTCAACTGCAATAGGAAGGTGATTTGGTACGTTCCAACAGATAGAAAACAAAAAAAATAAAAAAATAAAAATCAAAGAAAATAAGCAACCCTGAGGAGTAAGAGTCTGGGCTGCAGCCTGGACAAAACTTCGACCTCACGAGAGCCCAATAGAGACGCAAACTGATACCGTCAAACAAAAAAAGAAATACGATCATCAAGTAAGGAGAGCTGCAAGCTGTGAAACACTCTGCCAATATTTGCCCCAGCTCCAAACAGTAAACTAGCGTCGTGGCTTCAAACATAATGTACACACTTGGATGCGACACCCATGCCAATTTACGCTCATTTATGCTTGATGAAGCACCTTTTTTGTGTCTTCCTCCTTACCCAGCAGTCCCAAATTCCGTATTTGTTTGGCGCTTGGGGCATCGTCTCGAGGTGTCGCGGCTTCTGATCTGGCATACGCCGCCTTCATTGCTACAGCTCTAGCATGCTGCGTACTGTTAGCGTCTACAACGCTTGGGTGTTCCCGGAACTAACACAGACCTCTTTCTTGTGATGCAAACACTCGTAGTAGTCCTCCAGCCCGGGCGAACATTTCTTCTTCCCGTGATCGTCCTCAGCAGTGGTGTTGACGACGTAACATGCCATGACTTCTTGCCAGAAGGGAAAGCAGCGTCCAACGCCTATGAGCGATTGTGGTCAGTCTCAGAAGGAAAGGGGGTTGATATCGGATGCTACAAACATACCCCCATGCATTCCATATCCCGACGCCATGATAAGCCAATATGTCGTGTGTTAGGACGTTCAAATGAGTTGCCGAGTTTATTTGCTGGGCGGTAATTCGAAGTTCAGTTGAGGATCAATCACGACCAGTACTAATGGGATTCCATTAGCTGGTAGTGGGGGTCATCCTGCTTGACATAAGGTACTTTGATCTACGTATAATATGGCGGAAGTATAATGTATCTATTGATAGTGAGCCTCGACATTTTGGCGGGTCTGTTTTAGTGCCGCGTTAGATGCATAACATCGTGCATGAGCTTTAGAAGCCAGTTTCCACTATAGGCACTGCTGGGCATTATTATGTCTATGCACTTATCACTGCCGTCGTATGTGATGTCAAGATCCAAGACCATGAACGGCGAGCAGCGGCCAAGCGACAGGCTTCTATTATAAGAAGACACACAAACCTGGAACTAAACGCTTCAAAATATCATACGGTGAATGCTCAGAGAAAGGCCCCTTTTAGTGGGCAGCGTTTTCCCCACCATGGCAAACACTTTGCACCCAGCGAAGGTGTTACTTCTGGCTGTTCACTTCGCGCAACATGCCGACATTGATAGTCTCTCGATTCTAACCAGCACTCATACAACTATCATTCACGACGAAATTTTATTACGCATCCTGCTAACTCATCTACCGGAGACTGAGAGACCTGCCGCCTATGTTGGTTTCTTGCAAAAGTTGGTTGATCATAGCTTCGAGCCGTGCCAACTCACTGGATTGGATACGTCGCCAGTCAACAGTATAGATGACAACGAAGCGGTGAAGAGGGCTACAAAACTTCATCTACTGCCACTAGTATGCCGGAATCCGCCCGAGATCGCCCAGGGGGACGCACTCAGCCGCTTCCTGTTTCTGAGAATCCATCAGATGAATGAAGAAACTGGGATGCTCGCCCAGTTGCTTGATCTACTTTTACCATTTGGTCGCCACAGTCCTGGCATACATAAATGGGCAATGTCCACGGTAATTCCGTATGTACGGAAAGGTCTACAATATCGCGCCGGAACATCACTTGCTTATTCCTTAATCGAGTTCGAGAAATTGCCTGATCACCAGGCAGTTGACTTCTTGTTGTGCCCAGTTGATTCTCGCGCTCAACCGAGAGAAAATGTTGATCATGACCTGAGGGGTATTATAGGGCCATGGGTCTATGATACAGACCGATGGGAAAATTCCTCAGAGGATGGCGAGTCATCTAGGGTTTTCTGTCCTGGCTGGCACAAAGTTTGCGAGTGGTTCCTATCTCAGGCCACCCTATCATGGCCAACTGCTGTTCAAGCCATCGAACGTTGGGGTGGTCCAGAGGATGTTGAATTCGGTCATGGAATAGCACTCGACCTCCCAGCTGCACACAGGTATTATCTTAGGCAAACTTACGCTACAACCGTCTTGGCCTGTGTGTATGGTGTGCAGGAAGCTACCTTGGAGTCGTTAAGAAGGCTGCACTCCATACTGATGAATCTAAGAGTATATCTTGGCCTCCACGGTGGCACGATGTCCCTTGAGGAAACAATGAAAGTCTTACCTGGCTTGTCTTCCACAGATATAGCGGTGTTTCACAATGATCGAGTCGCGACTTATATGAGGAATGATTTATTGGGACAGAACAACCCACTGACTAGACCGAGTGAAGGTGCCACAAACCTTCTACTCGCTCTCACTCGAAGTGCTTACGTCTTGACCCTTTTTGGTTCCCCCTCTTCACCGAGATGCGTCGGAGACCTCACATTTCTCCATGACGAACGGGACCAAAGGTCTGAAATTTCGAAACTCCTGAGGACCATTGCAATCCAAGCATCCAAGGAAAATGACGACTTTCTACTAAAGGCACGAGAATTCCTGCTTTGGCTACGGGACTGGGGCCATGGCACCGCTGGCAAACCTACTGCCGGAGCAGCAACAGTTGGTGCTCTTGGCATGTTGAGCAAGGAATATGTGGAAGCAGAGTTTTTAAAGTTATTATTGTCCAGAGAACGTATGTAATGACGCGAATTACATGTTTCCAGGACATTAGAATTTGCCAGTTAACTTTGAACAGGCTATAGCCTCGCGCGCAATTTGTACGATGGTGGAGGGCCTGTACGCCTCCCAGTCGAGGTCGTACAGGATTCAGTATACGAGTCGGCCCTGAGTGCTTTCGACAATGCCACGAACCCGAATAGGTCCCGAGGAGGGTTGAAAAGATGCGATGAAATGTAGGTTTGATGATACAGGCTCATGGGCTACTGAGCTAACCACAAGTAGCATTCATGCCTTACCTAAAACCGTAGGCCTGTCGCTGCCGGGGACAAAGCGAATTATCGCGCTTTTGAAAGCCACTCACGCGCTTAGTGACTATCGCTTGGTTCTTAAGCAAGGAGAACCCTTCAGTCCTGTAGTTCTCAGGGTACATTCCGATCCGATATTCATTATCGAAAAGGTCTTGGAACAGAACCCTCGAGCCTATACTCGCCTCCAGGAGTTCCTGGAAATGGGCATGAACATGGTTCGAGCAGGTTTACCGTCCTATCGCAAGTTAGATTCTCCTACATTATTGACAACTGATTCGGAACTAAACCTCGCTGCCTATATTGCAGAACGACGCATAACAGCAATGTGTATTGAAGCTGCTTTGAAGGAGGATGACTTTGAAACCGCATACTCCTATGTTGCCAGTCGTCTAAGCATGCAAAGTCCCGAAAACTCTGATACTTCGCCCTGGCCAGTCGTAGATGAATGGTCTTGGAAGGCTGCGCTGCAGGCTGGTCAATACATTCGAACAGAGCGTTCGCAGCAACCAACTCATTTAGGTACGGCAAGCGGCAATCTTGAGATACGACACCTTGAGCAGCGTATTGAGTGTCTCGCCACCGCGCTGCGAGTCGCGCCAACTAGTCAGCTTCAGGAAATCCTCAAGAGCTTTCGGCGCTGTGAAGAGCAACTTGATTCGGCAATTAAAGAGGAAGCGGCCAATGAGCTGGCCTTGGGTGAAGAAGCTAAGGTTGACAACCTTCCAGGTGCTTTCGATCAAGTTAATGTTGAGCAGCAGTATCCTGTCAGGAATACGACTGCCAGCGTAGCAGCCCAACAGACGGAGGAAGCGCCGATGTCTCTATTTGATCTGTCTAGAGCAACTGCTCGCGCCGCTCAGCGCAATTTCACTGCTATTCCAAGCCTACAAAGCATCACAAGAGGCGCTGATGCCAACAACAATGAGCATGAAGGAGGGTCACTCTCAAGAATCCGTAAACGAGATCAGCTTCGTGAAGCTGCGACTGGGACGCTGGTTTCTGGGGTAGGGTGGTTAATCGGAGCCAATGTCGGCCAAAATAAAGAAGAAACTAGTTGATGAATATATTTTTCTCAACATCATAAAAGAAACAAGCCGGATAGTCATGCAAGATATTTAGCAACACTATGTTTTAGCCAAATCTAAGCCAGGGAACCGTAATTAACCACGCAAAACACCATGAACATATCGTGATGCGTCAGACACACTACCAAATTAGTGATTCATCACCGCCCGCGCCGGCGAAGGCTATCTTGCGATAGCTAGCTGATGAGTACATATATATATGGATGACTTTGGATCTTCGACCCCAGGTGACAATTGTCGATCACAGACTAAAGCAGTATCTAACTGAGTACCTGCAGTGGGGGAGTAGACCGAAGGCAACCCATACAACTGGCAGTCTAGTCATTATCCTGCTTCACATTTACATAGTCCCCAGCGCATCGATTCTTTTATTACATATTCACCATGTAGGTAGGTGTCGTAGCAATGGACAAACCGCGCTATTTACGACGTCGTGCGCGTAGCGTGATTTTCACCAACATAAAAAAGTGCTAGGAACATTCACCTGAGCGACAACTACTCCGGATTAATCTCGATGGAAAGGTATGTCGAGGGCATCGAACTATGTGCGCCTTGTGACAAGGCAAAGCCGCAAAGCTCGCGTGATGAAAACTCCGCTGACTCAACTTTGAACATGTCTCCACTATCAGCAGCGCAGCATAGAGCTTCGGCCAGTGCTGCCTTTCTGAAGACTTTCCTGTGTTGGCTGAGAATGGGTTTGGCTCAGAACGAAATAGAATAATTTGCGGATGTAAACTATAAATATTAGGCGTAAACCAGGATAACGCGTCCTTAGGATGGACCCCAATTCCTGTGCGAACAGCAAACGGATTAGCCACGAACAGATCAAAAAGACGGCTCACAAGTAAAAGGAAGAGGTCCTGGAAGTGACTCAGCTCTCTTAGCACCTATGATTCATGTACAAGCACGAGCTTTAGACTCTGTCAGAGTCGAATGTACCATAGCACAAAAAATGAGGATATCAATGTCGGGTTCCTCTTGCCAGGGGGAATCCCGAGAAATCAAACATAAATATATTGGCGGGAATACGTCATGACGTGGCGGTTGGTGATACGGCGATTACAGTACTATTTGGGTGACGTTTCGAATGGCGGCATTTTCACGATTCATTCCGAATTACCCGAAGCCAAGGCGAATTTAACAGAAGTATGCGACTTTAAAACGTTCTCAGAGACTGAATACCGATAGTTGTGATCCATTTAGTTGGCAACGCCAATGCGCGATATTGTTTCATGATACTGATACATGTAGCTGCACGACGCAGCTTGACGTTGTCGATTGCGAAGCCAAGAGCCCATTGGTTTACCTGGCCAACTGCTTGTGCCGATGGCTTTGGGTTGTGCCGTGTCGCAAAAGCTACCAAAATCTGCCGTGCGATGTGACAGGCGATACGAGACTGATTCTGCATTGATTCGGGTGCTGCCTCATTTGGTCCATCCGAAAACCCGTTCGTCCCATAAATGGCCAGCAAAGAAAAAACGAAACAGCATAAACAGTGCGAACAGAACCGAAGGAAATAGGCAACAAAACCAGGACGAAATAAACCCCTGTGGTGAGGACCGAAAACATAGTAAAACATGCGAGGCAACTGAGAACACATTCCCTTTCTGAACAGTTGCACCTGAGGGAAAGGGTTTTGGCAGGACCAGGACCTAGTCTCTGGTTTGCACTGTGGTTGAACGAAAGATCTCAAAACAATTGGGGTAGAGAAAGGGCAAAGAAGTGACGTTTGAGACTGAAGCACCGAATGGCATTTGACCCATGGGCAAGAGGGTGTACCAAGGCGCTGAGCCATATCCGACTTCACCGAGCAGATGGATCAGCTGCAATGAAAGTCAGCAGTGGTCATTGATTATGACAGTTTATATTGCGAACCTCCATATGCGTCGCGGGCCTCAGATCGGGGACCCGAATCTCCATAGCCGGGAGCCCCAGCAGCTGTTTCTCGCTCCCTTGGCGCGCCACGCTCGGCCTGACGGTCGTATCGATCACGGTCGTACCCACCGCCGGGACCACGAGGTCCATATCTGTCACGGTCGTCGCGCCCTCCATACCGTTCCCGACCGTAGTAATCGTCACGTTCCCGGCGTTCATGCCCTCCACGCTCGGCGTCTCGAGCATAGTTGCGGTCGTCATATCGGCGATCATCTCTATAATTACGGTCATATCCACGGTCATAGCCACTGCGGTCATAACCACCGCGATCATCATGGCGACGTTCGTAATTTCGCTCGTATCCGCGGTATCTATAGGAGTCATCACGTCCGTAGCCGCCGCCGCCGCCGCCACCGCCACCGTACCCACCCCGACGTCGGTCATCGAAACGAGGACGGGGATCTGATTCTATTCATGAGTTGGTGAAGGCTCAAGGCAGAATTTATTTGTACAACTGCTTACCTCGTTTTGGTGGACCGAAATATTTGCCTGGAGTAGGCGTGCGGGGACGAGCCCGACGGGCCTTCTCAATACTGAGAGTGCGACCTTCAATTTGTTCTCCCTGCAGGCCCTCTTTTGCGGCTTCAGCCTGTTCTGACGTAACCATTTTGACAAAGCCAAACCCACGGGATTCTTTAGAGTGCGGATCGCGCATGATCTGACATTTTTCGACGTCTCCATACTTCTCGAACATTTTGGAGACCTCAGCCTCGGTTAGACGAGGATGAATGCCAGTTACGAATAGGTTGGAGCCAGGGTTAATGGCACCGTCATCATCATCCTTGGGACCGGAAGGCTCTTTTGGAATACTGTGAGACGATCGAAACCAAGTCCAACAATGTAAGCGTTGGAACACACTAATTGAGAGGTAAAGCGTTTAATACTAGCCAGACAAGGAGTATTACTTACGTTTCGGCATTTCCATTTGGTGACGCTGATCGACGACGTCCGCCATCGTTTTCATCACGGGTCGGTCGAGGTGAGGCGCTTCTGTTGTCACGATCGTAGCGGGGCGCATCGTCTACTCCCAAGATCAAGTGTTAGCCAGAGCTTGCATGTGCGCTCGTGCCAGGCAAAGCGCCGTCATCTACGTGCGCGTTTGTTTGCAATCCAGCTTACCGTCGTAGCGATCACCGCCGGCGGCCTCATAATCCATCGAGGTAGTTGCCATGATAGAAATACAAGAGACGTCGGGGCTGATTAAGAAGAAGAAATATCAAGATGAACGGTCACAAGTGTCCAACGACGAAGGATTGTCAGCGTGTTGATAGATGAAGTTGAGAAGAGCGTGCGAGCTAAGAAGTTGCTCAAGTAGCGTGACGAAGGAAAGAAAAAAAGACAAGGGCAGGATGGCTGAGCGAGAGCTCTGACTGGATGGAATTTGCAAAAAAGAAGGGAAAGCCGATGATTAAGCGGCTGACCACTCACAGCATGTTCCGATTCCAGCCACAAACTCAATCAAATGTCTGGTGGTGACTGAGAGTTGCAGACACCACCCACGAGTTTGCCGGCGCAAACGTACCGAGGTAAGGAAAGATATTGTATTCAGGGCCTGTTTTTATTAATTCCGTGGCTATAGTTCAGTCCACTCAATTAAGGAGGAAATCGAACTATCATCGTGGGCATATCGCCAAGACGATGCTGGAAAACACCAGTTCGTCAACCCCAACCCAGGGTTTCATTATGCTTGCAAAAGGTTGTCAAGGGCGCTTTTCTGCTTGCCTCTGAAATTCCTGCCGGGCCTAAATCACTCGCTTGCGACTCACGGTTTTCTAGCCTTGGTCGGTAACGTCCACCAGTTGTTCTCTTACTCAAGCAGGGGATCTCATTTAATTGGGGTCGCGCGAGAACCCACTATTCTGGGAGCTTCACAAGCACGACGGAATATAGTTGTAGAATGTCTTGTGGTTAATAATCTAAACATATTGACGTCTTGGTTTTGTGACTGAAGACCTCCTGCGATTCATATCCCTGCATCGCCAACATGAAACCGACCACCACCAAAACAAGTTCTTGATCGGTCCCTGTGGAACCTACACTGTCAAAGGGCAGAGAGTGGCACAAGCATTGGACCAACGTTCCGCTGGCATAGATGAATCTAAGGGATAAATAAGTTGCGGGATTGCAACAACATTATCTCAACCTTGCAGGTTGACTACCAGACATCTTCCGGGTCTACTTCATGGCTCTCGCCATCGCTTCGGATATGCTGGCGATCTTTGTCCCTTTTCATAGGCTTCCGCATGTCAAACGCATCCTCGCCAGCCTTGGTTGAATCTGTCGCATGGTCGCCATAGTAATCTTTGACTACTCGGAAGACGCTGTAGCCTAAACTTTTGTAAAAGGCAATTGCTCGGTGATTACTCCTGCGGACGAACAGGTCCACAAACCAGGCATCACTGTCATCTGCAGCCGTTTCTAACTGGTCTGTTAATATTTTACCTATTCCCAGCCTCCGAGCTTCCGGTGCCACAGTCAGGGCAGTGATATGTGCGTGCCATGGGAGGTAATGCTCCGAGTACTTGTAGGTATTGGGTGACGATTCAACCTTGCCCATGACTGGAACGACCAAAAATATTAGCCAAAGTAGTATATCTAGTCTGAACACAACCTACTGTAGCCGATAATATTCCCGTCTTTGTCTTCGCACACTTGGAATAGAGCGGGCCATTTGGCAAAGTACTGCAAATAGAAACCCAACTCGTATGTTTCGGTCAAGGGATCTAGGTTGCATTTTGAGAACTTGTTAACGTCATCAGGACGAAAACGCCGAAAGGTTGCCATGGCCGCTGCGAGCTGGCGGAACTTGTCGATGCGGATGCACAAAGTAACTTTAAATGGTACACGTTGCCTTGAATGCCGATAGGTGCTATGATTCCATAGACCGACGATGCTCCCGGGCTAAAAACACAACACCTATTTTGTATTAGGCAGGTTCTCAAACAAGCCTGCCAATGTGGTTGTATATGCCGGAAAAGATCTGGTGTACTTGAACTGGACGCTCGAGGCGCGACTCTTTGGGATGAAAAATTGACCACCAGTATTTATGGCCGTAGGATTAGCAGTATACTTCAAAGACGCAATATGTGCTTGAGAACAGCTGAATTGGCAGTCCTGCCAATGCTGTGTGGAAACACAAGGACTTGTTTATCACTTCAGTTTCGACCTCTCCTTTTTTTTTTGCGTCGTGTTGCCGACATGCCCTGCGACTCGACAGCATGCAAACTTGAGTTTGTGGTACGTACTAGCCACCAGACAGCACTTCTATCGATTACTACCAACTCCCAATTGGTACCAGACACCAGTTTGAACCTGCCTGGCCCCTCAAGGCGGCTTTGGCTCCACACCTGGAGCCTGATTCTAGACCGCCCCAGCAACTTGGCACTGCACATGCTTAATAGAGCTTCACGCCTTACGAGGGTCTGGGCAGGGACGCGACAACCACCAGACATTCCTTCGAGAGGAGTCTCGCTCTCTCTGCCATCACCTAGGTCGATGTTTAGGTGCTGAGGCATAACGATATATGTGCGAGGGACACGAAGGACGTGCGTTCATTTGTCGACGATTCCGAAACCTACTTGAGCCATTAGCCATATTTTCGAGCTATCCAGGCAGCGCACAATGACTCCATCACCGACCACACCACAACACTCGAGAAACTCGTCAGCTGTTGATAGCCTCCATAACTATTCTCACGCACGAAGACAATCCAGATCTTCTATTAATGACCCCGCGACCCCATTTTCAAATGACGCAAACCATCAGGATAGCATAGATCTGGGGGTCCTGGCTAGCGGAGGCCCGGCTCCCGGCATGGGGAATTTAGCAGACGAACTTGCTGATGCATTTTCTGATTCAAACGAGGAGGACGATGGGGAATATGGGGACCAAGAAAACACTTCACGCTCACGAAACGCCGGAGCGCAGGGAACCACGGCCGACGGTATAGGAGATGACGGAGCTGGCTTCAATTCTACACCGACTAAAGATATTGCCGGTGGAAATGAAAATAGTATTGGATTGCTTTCGCCGCATGGCAGAGGGCACCAGAGGAAAATGTCAGAATACGACGGCAGCGAATATGGCTCCGAGTCAGACCTAGACGCTGCAGGCATGCCGCCAACCTTAATCGCCAAAATCGATGCAATCGAATCTCTCACTCGGAGGGGCACAGAAAAATATGGTGGCCCCGGTGATGAAGTATTCCAACGTGTGACAGACGGTCTTCGGGAATTGGGCCCGCAGTCAACCGTCGAAGGAAATGCGTCCAGGTGAGATATTGCGTTTGGACTGGATGTCCGGACCCTACCAGCTGACCAAGCCACAGGTTAATAACGGCCCATACAGCTCTTACTACACACCTTACACACCAAACTCGCCAGCTGCATGGCTTGACATTTCCACTACTGTCTCCCCTGGCACCTGCACCGGATATTGAGACAATTGATAGCTTAGTACCTCTCCTGATATCTCTATCGGACGACATGCCCAGACCGTCGACAACAGCCTTCAATTCCTTGACAGCCCTTCACTCTATCACATCGGAATTAATCCAAACCCTGAACTATCTTTCAGACACACTACATATGTCTCGACAAACAACAGTCACGGCAACTAGAAGACTAAAGAGCGCAAAGGAGCTCGTGTCCGAGATGCGACGGGAAGAGGAGCTGCGGGAGGAGGGTGAGCGCTGGTTAACTCGAGGCAACTGGAGCCAGCGTCTTCAAAACAGAGAATGTGCAAACGTCTGCGGGGAGGTAATTGGAGGCTTTGAAGATGTTTGCAACGGCTGGCGACAACGACTTCTTGCGCAGACCGAGTCTACCTAGGGTTCACAGGCTTGGGAATGACGAAGTGAGTGTTGCAGTAGAAGTCCATCATGATGAAGACAGCTAGGTTGCAAAGGGTCCAGAAGGGCTAATTAGTCCCTTCTAGATTAGCAGCCGCCCCGTTAGATGGCTCTGGAAGTCGGAAGGCACCCTTTGGCAGATATTAAGCGGTGACGGAGGTGTCGAACGGCCGAGGATGCCTACGGTTGGAAGCGGAAGGGCCTTTCACCCCCATTAATCATAGGGGTAAAGTGAGGAAATAGTGGCTTGAACATTGCTATTGCCTCCCGCGCTGAGAAATGGTATTTGATTTTTGTCTGTCCTTATACCCTCCCCAACTAATACCCAATGAGCAAATACTACTTTCTTATGTTTTCACTGATAGAGAAGAAGATGTGCTACAAACCACCTGTCCAGTGTCTATTGTTACCAAAGTTTCCAAGATCACCTTTCTTCTTCTTCTTTTTCTTCTTTTTCTTCTTCTTCTACTTCTTCTACTTCTTCTTATTCTCTCTCCATCTCTTTATCTCTCTTTAGAGTCAACTAGATATATAACGAATACAACACCTGATCCAAATCGCATGGTGAATTGTTGAGATGCAAAGTCCTCCCTAAGTGAACCGTTGCTAACGTAAATTAAGCGCCTGGCTATCCCATAGAGGCCGTCTGGGATCAGCGAAGAGACCGCCATGTATAGCAATTTTTTGTCACATGGGGGTACAAGGTGATGTTTATTAGGGCAAATCAGGACGTTTGTCTTGCAAACCGCCAAAGGCAAAACGTGGTTGTATAGAAATAATGACAACGCGGGAATTGTCTCCCTTAAAATTTCAATGGGCAACGGGGTGGCGCCGAGTCCTGCGGCTGTGTTTTGCACGCTGGACGCGGCTATGGCGCGTCGCGCGTGAGTAGTGGCATTGAACGCGTTCGGGTTAAACGAGCATTATTATAGCATTAGCATGGCACAATTTGTACGGATCTCCTTCTCTTATTATCACATGCATAAATGCCTTTGAAAAGTCATTGTACAAAGTACTAAAAAAATCGAAGTCTAGAGTCAAATGTCGAAATTCGTAGACCTAGCCGCAGGCACAAATTGTGAGATCCTTGGCCCGTCGAATTGACCATGTGTGTGTAAGCTGTCGGACCGACGACCTTACCCGAGATATCTATGGAACTCGATGCTCTTCAAGTCGTGTACTGCACCTTATTTTTCTTCAAGCAGCTGACCAATACATCTTCAAATGAGCTTGCGCCAATTCGCCGTTCCAAATACTAGTGCGTGTACCCAATGAAAAGAACCGAGTGGTCTTCCGGCGCGTCCAGCATGGCGGCCAAGGCTTGCATCATGGTCCCTAGAACGGGCCGCGCAGTAAATAAACAAATGATAGCACGCGTCATACTTCGCTTTACGTGCGAAGCTCTTTCTCCTACACCCCCGGCATTCGGCCCAGTTACCTATGTAAGTACCTACTAGGTTGGTAGGTAGGTATCCACCATGCAGAGCTATGCGCACGTCAATTAGCACTGGGTGAAAAGAATTTAATGGTAAGAAACTCTGATCTGAAGGATGCAAAAAGGCTACTGAGGTGGGTACGAGAATCCGTTAGGCACTGGGAAGTTAAATAAACACTTGAGAAAAAAACTTGTCACTGTTTAATCCAAGTATGTACATATGTATATGTTTCCACATCAACGTTAGGTGCATACCTACTACCTACCTAGGTAGGTAGTAGACAAGGTTCTAGGCGGGCAAAGCTGGCTGGTTGAGGCAATCGTATCCGCATCATGAAGTTGATCTTTTAATGAAGATTTGAACTTGGCTCCACGACACCACGTGCGCTATTGTGGTGTGTTTGCTGCGTCCGAAATCTAGTAAGACAGAAGTTGAATGATGGAAGTGAATTTTGGGCCTTCTTAAGCCCGCTTTCTTCAACAGCAAGTAGATCGGATGGAGAAGCGAACTACAATAACAACAACATTGGCTACGGCTTACGGCTACGGCTACACGTCTTGCAACAATTTGCAACCAGTCGACGTGCCCCAATGGGGATGGAAGGGAAGTGTGGCGGGATGCCAGCGCGGGACCCGACCTCCCCGGCCGTTTACTCTTCCCAATCAAGTATAGCGTGACTGGCAATCCTTAGCGCGCCGTCGCTGCCCACCACCGCTCCCTCCCAAGTCTCCAGTGTTCAACCTCCCTCAAACAGCCATTTGATATCCGTCCACAAACACTTGGGAGTATCACTCGAGCAAGCTGCAGGATACCTTCCCCCCCCCGGCGGCCTGCAAAGTTGCTCACTGATGTACCCAAGGCTCTGAAACTGGTTTATATCATCATTTCACTGAATGAATGTGCCGATCTATTCTAAGTTACAATTCAATCTAGCCATTCGCTGCAAACAATATCGCTAGTCGCCAACACATCGTATCCCATCGCCGCTCAACTGGTGACCCCGATAAACAGAGATTCCGAAGTTGCAGAATCCGGATTGATATAGAGCATCAAACTGGCGATAAGGGCCGCCGCGCCCCTCAGCATCCGCCACGCATCGAAGATATTGCTAGCCGGCTGGCAGATTCCTGGACCTACCCTCATAACCGACGTCAGCTTCCTCTAGCAGGATCTCAACAGGCCCAATCGGCATCATAGGCCTTGCAAACGGACATTTCGAAGCCCCGAATTCACGCCATATACAATAAAATGCAGGCGGAGGCTTCGTCTTCCTTGGCTGCCACTCTACCTACCCCTCAGAGCGACGGTTCCAACATGGAATCGGTGTCAGTTTCTGGTCGTATTGCTACGCCGCCGCCGCCGCCGTCACTGTCTTTGGAAAAGAGCCGATCCGAGCCAAAAAATAACGTGGAGGGTGGTAGCGGTAGACGACTGCGCAACAAGATGGCCGCCAGCGAGGTGTTGCGACCGACTGAGCTCGATGCTAACGCTGTGGAGAGTGCTTTGCTGCGAGAGCTTCAGCGTCCTCACCGAGAAAGCGCCCCAGGTACGAGCCCTCATAGAAAAAGACAAAGAATAAATGGAGATCGGTAAGTTCATTCCCTGCGGGGTGTAGTGTGTGTTGAGCATACGCCGCCTTCTAACATCAAACAGGTTCATCCCAACTCGTTCTGGACAAGACCTGCAAGCTAGCTTCAGCCTTTTGCACGAAGACGGTTCTCCAGCTACTCCGTCAAAGCAGAAAAAGCGAACCCCTCATGGAGAACTTCATTTTCAAAAGAGTAGGCATATTTCTGCTCCCAGTATATACATTGTTAAGACGTCATTGAATTTGTTGTGCTAATAACAGAGTTTGACAGCCGAGGAAGCAAACCGTACTTTCTCTACCCTTCTTCGTGCTGAGCTCTTTGCAAATTCCGTGCCTCAGACAACCCCACCAGTCCTTTCTCCCGAAACAAAAACCAGGAATTCGTCCGTGGCACAACCCACAGATGGAATAAGAGCCCACACCCCTCCAAACAACAGCCTCACCACATCTCTCCCCTCATCGCTCACGCCGTCAACACCTCACAAGAATCTTTTCTCATACATGTCTCCGCGGCATCTTGGCCATGCAGCTGGGCATCCTACCCCCTCTAAGACACCCCAGAGCCGGCATGGTCCAAACCTGGATACCAGAGCAGAGATATATAGCCTGTCACCAGTTCGATTCGGCAGTCAGCAGATGCTCCTCAGTCCCCGCCGACAACCTCGAGCCGTGAGCAAGGTGCCGTACAAAGTACTCGATGCTCCTGAACTAGCCGATGACTTTTACCTGAATCTGGTGGACTGGGGCAGTGCTAACGTCCTGGGAGTCGGCCTTGGGTCGAGTGTGTACATGTGGAATGCTCAAACAAGTAAGGTGAATAAGTTATGCACCTTGGAAGATGATACTGTTACGAGCGTCTCCTGGATACAAAAAGGTACACATCTCGCCATTGGCACAGGCAAAGGTCTGGTGCAGATCTGGGATGCTGAAAAGACGAGGAGGCTGAGAACAATGACCGGTCATACTGCTCGAGTAGGCTCTTTGGCCTGGAACACTCATATTCTTACCTCGGGATCTCGCGACAGGTTAATATACCACAGAGATGTTCGGGCTCCTGATCAGTGGCTAAGGAAATTGGTGGGCCATAAACAAGAGGTTTGCGGGCTGAAATGGAACTGTGAGGATGGTCAGCTTGCGAGCGGAGGCAATGATAACAAGTTGATGGTGTGGGACAAACTATCAGAATCACCTCTGTGGAAGTTCTCAGACCACACTGCAGCTGTCAAAGCCATATCCTGGTCCCCTCATCAGCGTGGACTCCTTGCTTCAGGCGGCGGCACAGCAGACAGGAGGATTATTTTCCACGATACGGTGAAGGGAACTGTCGTCAACGAAATTGACACCGGAAGCCAAGTTTGCAACATTGCGTGGTCGAAGAACTCCAACGAGATCGTATCTACACACGGATATAGCCAGAATCAGATTGTGGTCTGGAAGTACCCGTCAATGACACAAGTTGCCAGCCTCACTGGCCATACATACCGTGTGCTATATCTGGCGATGAGCCCAGATGGTCGTGTTATTGTTACCGGCGCTGGCGACGAGACATTGAGGTTTTGGTCGGTCTTTGGTCGTCGACCTGGAACGAGAGAAGAGGGAGAAGCAGGCGGTGGCAAGCTCGCGGACTGGGGTATCATCAGATAATATGGAAACCTCAACGTTGACACGGCCGCGATCAGCTTCGTTTGCGCTGACGACAATACTCAGAATCTCATTTCTTCCCTTCTAGAGTACAGGCGGTCCTCCTACAAGCATGTTGTTTACACAGGTTTGGTTGGGCGATAAGCGATTGTTGCATTGGCGTATGGCGCATGGATCATAATATTCGAGGCCAGGGGCAATCCACTTTGTTAAGCTGGTCAAATTTTGTAACTTGTAAAGATCCTTTTCCGTGATTGCTCATTGCTTTGTAGAGCTGGGATGGATCGACGTCTTGACAGGCCGTCCTGGAAGAGACTGCTATTGGTCATATGAATAGTGGGTGGTGGCATGATGTTTTTCGTATAGCGGGCATGTCATTCACTCAGCAGCGTTTATGTTATTACACATACTTGCCATAGCGTGGATTAAGAAACATTGACACCCGATCTGGCATCATATAATCTTCGAGTATGCTCATCAATGAACTAGGAGACGTAATTAGACATTGAAACCGCAAAGTGTCAAATGATTATCGACCTATATCGGCAAGGCCTGCTGGGCTAAATAGGCACTAATCTATTCCCAGACGTCAAACCCTGGCGTTGGGTTTTCACAACTCATGTGTTCTTACATCCTGCACTTATTGGCCCAAGGACAATGCGGTGTTAAGCACCAATGGTAGTGGGCTCAGTTATTTATCAAGAAGCATGGCCCTACAACAGGCCATGCTCACCTTCCAATCAGATTGATAAATATTGCAGGCAATCAACACAATTTCATACATTGCTTAAAGCTAAAATCAGAGCAATGGCCTCCTCACCAGCGAACCCTTCAAAAGCTATCAGGCTTTCGAAAGATTAGCAAACATCGTGTCATTATTGTAGCTTTCTCTCTCGAGCGATGTCCCTTGCTCCACCGTCTACGCTGGTGCTTGTTGCATCAATGTTCTCGTCAAGTAAAGGGATTTTGTCCAAACTGGTAGTGCGGCCCATGTCCGTGCCAGGTCTCGACATTCCATTCGGTGATCGCCCACCATGGAAGTTGGACATCACAGTACCTGGCTCTGGGTCCAACGACTGCAATTGCTGCCCAGCTGCCGACGCTGAGACAATGTCGGGATGAGGTGTCAACAGTGGCGACTGCAACATGAGGTCTGGAGTGTTTTGCCACTTCAGCACCTCGGCCTTCATTGCCTCCAGTTCTTTTTGAAACCGCTTGCCAAAGACATCTATGTAATATGTTGAACCGTTATAAATGCTCCACGCAAAAACAACAAGCAGAAATGCGGAAGAGGCGAATCGACTGTTGAACCAAAGTGGGCAGGGTAGCATTGTCAATACTGCGTAGCTATACTGTATCATCATGAAAGCTGGCTCTTGAAGAGGTTGAGGGAGAGAAAGAACGACTTTTCCAATCCAGGTTTTGGAATAAGATCGTCGAAGCCATGTGAATGATGTGGGCCGGCCAGCCGCGATTTTGTCTCTGCGACGAACAGTGATGAAGAAGTAATAGCTCAACTGCCAAAAAGCATAAGGAATCGTGCTCCATGCAAGCATGGAAATAACATTGGCGTAGGCAGTGGAAGAACCAGGAGCCGAGTTTTTAATAGCCCAGATGGCGGGGAACCTCGATTTTTGGTCCTCAGGGGAGTGCAAATGGACGAGACAGTGAAGTGTAGCACACGGCATTATATGAATAAAAAGGGATGTGACCTTGTCAAAGCTGTGGAATACGAGAGAATTACGCCACATGATGATTGCCACAGCGTTATTACCAAAGGCCAGACAATAAGTTGCGGTGAGGAGCCGCTTGGAGTTGGGGAAGATCCAAATACTAAGAAAAAGTAGCATGTTGACGAAGTAACAAAGATCCGCGAGGAAGTAGTGATACCCGCGGCGATGATACGTGAAAAACCGAATTGGCATGAAATAGACCAACTGGGCTGTGTACCAGAGGTGGAAATACTGCGGATACCCGCCAATTAGGTATCCACTGATGAAGATATTCATAACACCACATATAAAGGATATCTTTTCGCGCAAGGTGATTGCTTTTGTGTCATTCCATTGTCTGCCCAGTTTCTCGACACGCTGTCGCATCCTTTTCCTGTATCGATCAAACTGTTCATCAGCTGAGGGGACGCGGCGCCGCCATTCTTCCACCATCCGGTGACGGGCGAGTTGCGTTCTCGACTTGAATGCATCTTTGGATCGGCGGACCTTGTCAGTCTGAGCTGAGATGCCTTTTTGAAGCTTCTCCAGCTGTTGAGGTAGGGCGAGATTGTCGAGGAGATCAAGCACAGTCAATCGGTCCAACGGCGGTAGAGGGTCCCAGTCGTCGTGATGGGAGCTACTGCCAGAGAAGGAGGGATTCCTAGATAGACGGGGGCTTATAGGTGTAGTCGCATCCAAGCTTGGGGACTCCAGGATTATAGTATCGGGAGGAGAAGAGCTGAGAGGCGGTATAGCATCGTTGTGAGTGTCATTGCTGGAAGACTGGGCAGCGATGGGTTCATCGTCCATTTCCAAGAGATCTGAGAGTCAAGGCAATCATGTCAGCAACCATTCATCGCATCGTGTGACCGAACCCAGCCGCCGCAGACAGCAGAGCTCAGAGGAGAGCCAAGTGACACCATTTATCCAGTCGCTTTCGAAGTAGGGTTAAAGCCAGGGAGACCTGAAGAACCCCAGGAACATGTCGGCAACGACTGAAAGGAACAACACATACCTGTAATCACCAAAAATAGTTAACGCGTAACAGTTTCTTATTGTGATCCGATGAGGGGAGATGATGATGGCATAGCATCACCGCATGAAGCGGTCAGTGCCAGTTCCAAATAGATGTACAATAGTCGCGTTGACTTGTGGCCTCCGGTTCCGTATCTAGCGGGACGAGGGATCACCAGACTGTTCACTGCTACGAGTGAAGCACCTACCAGACCAGACACGTGCAATCGGCTTGTCTGTCTTGTAGGGCCGTGCTGTATGGAGTTGGCTAGCATGACTGGTCATATCAAACAGTCATGTGGAGCACTGGTGCATGCAAGTACATGTAGTACTACGTACTACCAGGGTAGTTGGAGGGTTCAAACCTTGGAGCGCAGAACTCAAGTGCTATTACAGTACATCAACTGACTGAAGTAATTACTTACCTTAAGTACATTTAAGTACCTACTTACCTAAGGTAGGTAAGTACTTAAGTAGGTGAACTTAAGTACGATATATTACGCACCTAAGTCCCTACCTAGGCACTTACTTAAGTACTTGGTACTTAGGTATAGGTAGGTAGAATTTACGAGTAAGAACTTTAGAAGATAACGTGGAATAGACAAGTGATCAAGAGCCGCAGTGGGCATCAGGCACGGAGGGTGGCTGCGGTATTTGCATTCTGACCAATCACCACCCATGGTATTCAGCTAAAAGGCAGCATGCAAAGGAATAATTAGCCGTATGACCTCGTCGTGCAGTTTGTGAACCATTTTGCGGCAACCGGGTGGTTTACTTGAGCCCTGCTGCCCAGGTGCAGTGATCGCGAGCTCTGGTTGGCCGATCCGTGAGGATGAGTGCACCGGACACTAATATTATCATCAGTGGGATGTGTTCTAATACCAAGTAAGTACCGTAGACAGGTACCTGGTAAGTGAGGTACTAGTAAGTTCGAAATTTGTATTTTCACGTGCTATATCACATGATATATTTGCTCTTCGCCATTGCTCCTTGTACTACTACGGGGTAGCTGCGAACCTGAAGAAGTGGGCGCAGGTGTGCAAGGGCTAACACTACGTACCTGAACATAGATGAATGTAAGCAGGTGAGGGTACATACTCGCGCGACGCGTTTGCCATACTACAGACCTCCCACGCGCATCGTTTTACCCGCACCGTCAACTCGACTGCCACTGAATGACTATGAGCAATTGCAGCATCAGGTTTCAAGTTCAGCGCGCGACATAAACGCTCTTCTGAAGAGCCTACAGGCTGCTGGCGGTCTATCACGAGCTTTTTCGTGGACTGCATCCTTGATTCAGTCATTCAAAAGTTCTCCATCAAGCGCCGCCAACCATATTCTCCTTCGCCTTATAATCCTCGGCTGTGCGCGACTCTACAACCATGGGCAAGCTGATACGGCTAGAACTATTTAGTAGGATCTACACCGCTATTGGCATGACTCCCTATTACTTATGGCTACTGACGATCTATATTTCCAGACTTCAAGTCCTACAAAGGACATCACACCCTTCTCTTCGGAGATTCTTACTTCACCTCGATAATCGGGCCAAATGGATCGGGGAAGTCCAATTCGTAAGTTGGCGATACCTTATTTATGTCGAACCACCAAAAAAGTGAACGCTGGATTTTAACATTGCTTCAGCATGGATGCGATATCCTTTGTCCTGGGTATTAAGTCGTCACATTTACGCTCAGCACACTTGAAGGACCTTGTTTATCGTGGCCGCGTTTTAAAAACCTCCAAGATCAACGACGATGGCTCTGCAGAAACGCGGGACAATAACGACGTCGCGACAACGACGGGCGACGACAAAGCTTCCCGAGGCGACCCTAAAACTGCCTGGGTCATGGCAGTTTATGAAGACGATGCTGGCGATGAGCAGCGATGGAAGCGCTCCATAACCAGTTCCGGGGCCAGCGAGTATCGTATCAATGACAGAGTTGTCACGGCACAGCAATACAATGAAGCATTGGAAACAGAAAATATCCTCATGAAAGCTCGCAACTTCCTCGTATTCCAAGGCGATGTTGAGGCCATAGCTTCTCAATCTCCGCAAGATCTTACTCGTCTCATTGAGCAAATATCAGGCAGCTTGGAATATAAGACAGAGTACGAAAAACTCCAGGCCGATGCTGAAGAAGCTGCCGAGAACCAAAACTTCCAGCTACACCGCCGTCGTGGAATCAACTCCGAAATAAAGCAGTATCGCGAGCAAAAGAAGGAAGCAGACAGTTTCCAAAAGAAAACTGAAGAAAGAGATGCGGCCATTGTATCACACTGCCTCTGGAAGCTCTATCACTACCAGACAGCTATGGATGAGTCTAGTGCTACTATTCAAGACCATCAAGAAGATCTGAAGGAACTCAAACGCAATGTGGAAACTTTTGAGGCACGGCTGGAGGATGCTAGGAGGAATCAGAATACGGCTGGTCGATTAGTGGCTCGAACGGAGAAAGAGATCAAGCTGAGAGAAAGGAACATCGAAGATAAAGAGAACGCTCTGTTGCCTTTTGATGAGAAAGTTCACGAGTCTTCACAGCAAGTTGAGAAGCTTCATGTTCAAAGCCAAAAGGTGACCAAAGAGCGAGATGAACAAGCTGCCATCGTGGAAAAGGTCCAGAAAGATATTGAAAACGTTGAGAAAGCACAGGCTGTGTTCGAGAAAGACACAAAAGAGCAGATGAAAAAGCAAGGGCGAGACATTAGTGACACAGATCGAAAGGAATATAATCTCCTTCGGGCGCAAGTAATGTCTCGCTCTGGAACAAACCAGGCAAAATTGGAAAATCTGGAGCGACAACGCAAAGCGGACGAGGTTACTGTTAATAACCTCCGGGGAAAGCTCGACAGCATCACCGCAGCTATAGAAAAAGCTGAAGCGGAGTTGCAAAATATCGGCGAGCGCAGAAGCTCTACCGAGTCGGCGTCCAAGGAAATTTCCGATGAAATCGCAAGGAAGAAGAAGGAGTTTAATCAATTGCAGTCCGAACGTGTAAGAACGAACCAGAAACGGACGGAACTCGAGGAGAAGCTTGAAGATGTAGCTCGAAAGCTGCGTGAAGCCGATGACGGTCGTCGCCAGAATGACCGCGAAACCCGAATGAAGGAGATGGTCACGTCGTTGAAGCGCATGTTCCCCGGTGTGCGAGGCCGCATTGGAGATCTATGCACGCCAAAGCAGAAAAAATACGACGAGGCTGTAATTGTCGCGCTTGGAAAAGATTTCGACTCAGTTGTCGTGGACACCGAGAAGGTTGGCGTAGATTGTGTTCAGTACTTGAAAGAGCAGAGATTTCCGCCCATGACTTTCATCCCACTGGATAATATTAAGGTCAATGCCGTTAATACAGCTATTAAAGGGTTCTCTGGCGCGAGGCTGACAATCGATACCATCAATTTCGACACATCAGTTGAGAGAGCGGTGTCATACGCATGCGGCAGTTCAGTGGTTTGCGATTCCCTGAGCATTGCAAAGCATATATGCTACGATAAAAAGATACCGGTGAAAGCGGTTACTCTTGAAGGGTATATTATTCATAAAGCGGGATTGATGACTGGAGGTCGTGGCCCCGAACCCAAAGGGGGCAAGCGAAAATTCGAAGAAGTCGACGTGCAGAATCTTCAGCGAATGGCAATGAAACTCAAGGATGAAATAGACCGGCTCCCAAAATCTGATCGACGTGGAACGCAAGAGGAATCGCTGCAAATCGATCTTGCTGGATTAGAACGACGTTTGGTCTCGATGAAAGACGAACTTGCGGCCTTCGGTATGAATTGGACGAGCAAAAAGCGAGAGCTTGATGGGTTCAAAAAGGAGCTGAGAGACCTTGAACCAAAGTACAAAGAACAGGTGTCGCAGTTGGAAACTGATAATGCCACCGTCAGCGAGTTCAGGGCGGCGATTGCCCGCGTAGAAGATGAAGTATTCGCCAACTTCTGCAGGAAGCTTGGCTACAGCGACATCAGAGCATACGACGCCTCTCAAGGGAAATTAGAGCAAGAGGTGTCAGAAAAAAGGAACCAGTTCGAGGTGCAGAAGCAGCGGCTGGAGAACCGTCTTAAATGGGAGCTGACTAGGCATGGAGACACGGAAACGCGGATCCGACGAATGCAAGAGCACATCCGACGTTTGAAGCAGGATATCAAGACATACTCGAAGGAGAAGGCCGACATCGAACAAGCCATTCGTCAGGACCAAGATGAACTTGAGGCGTTGCAAGACACACTGGAGCAGCAAAAGGCTGATCTCGCAGACAAGAACCAAAAAGTGAGCGAGGCAAGGACCGAGCTGCAAAAACGGAGCAAGGATATTGAGGCACGGCAGCGTGACATTAACACTTTAGAAACAACAGTGCAAAAGAACAGTGCCAGCAAGTCTGCACTACTACGGAGATGTCGGCTTGAACAAATTCAGATCCCCTTGGTTGAAGGTACATTGGACAATCTTCCGAACGAGGACGATCTGCTTCGACAGGATCCTGATGCAATGGATGTCGATGATGACGAGGAGGACATGATGGACATTGCCCTCGACGACCATGGCATCGCCATCAATTTCGAGGGCTTGGACAATGACCTGAAGGAGGTAATATCCCAAGTTCCTTTCGGTCAAGTGCTAGTCGCAAAGAGTACATTACTAACTTTGGTAGTCTGATGGCCCTGGAGTCGAGGAAAAGTTGACGGAAAGAATATCTCTGCTAGCCTCGGAACTTGAAAAGTTGAACCCGAATATGCGAGCCATGGAACGCCTTGAAAGCGTCGAATCAAGGTTAAAACAGACAGACCAGGAGTATGAAGACTCCAAGACGACCGCACAGGCTGCGAAGGATGCATTTGCCAAGATCAAACAGAAGCGATACGACCGTTTCAACAAGGCTTTCACCCACATCCAAGAGCAAATATCTCACGTATACAAGGATCTCACACGATCTGAGGCATATCCGTTAGGTGGGCAGGCGTATCTCGATATTGAAGAGGACACAGACATGCCTTACCTCTCCGGTATCAAGTACCATGCCATGCCACCACTGAAGCGCTTCAGAGATATGGAACATTTGTCTGGCGGAGAAAAGACCATGGCTGCGCTGGCATTGCTCTTCGCCATTCATAGCTACCAGCCAAGTCCTTTCTTTGTATTGGACGAGGTAGATGCTGCACTTGACAATGCCAATGTCGACAAAATTAAGAAGTATATCCGCGAACACGCCGGGCCTGGAATGCAGTTTATAGTTATCAGCCTGAAGACGGGACTTTTCCAAGATTCAGAAAGTCTGGTTGGCGTATATCGAGACCAGGAAGTGAATAGTTCAAGAACTTTGACCTTGGATGTGAGTTCAAGTTTTCCTAAGCACTACCTTGTATGTACTAATATCGTGTTCCTAGCTCAGAAAGTATGCCTGATGATTTCAATCCCTGGCTCGGGAACCTACTTTGAGGACTCGAGGTCAATGAAGCGTAGGAGACCGGATATTTGAGCCCAATAAGAAATGTGGTTTTTTGATTGGTTCTTTAGGCTAGAAGCCCGGGGAGTTACTGCTACATTAGGGCATGCGAAATATATGCTACGAGCTTGATGACGAACAAGATGAATCAAACTGATAGTCGAGTTTGAGTGGATGGATATGTTGTATATATAAGGCCAGATGCAAATTTAATAGTTTCCACCATTTCCAAAGCAATTTGCGCCTTGCGACGGTTATCTTAAGGGCCCTGCGTAATGTGGCCTCTTAAGACTCTAACTGACTGCCTAGCTAGGTAGATATCGACTAGGTTGCCTCACGTTGTCGGAACTCATCAGCTGGCACCTGAGACCTGCTATGACCGGAGGCAAAGATGGCACCCCTTGGGCGGGATGATGATGATAATGGATTGGTCTTCGTCTTTGAGGGACCAGTCTCCACACGGGAGCATGAGACGTGCTAGGCTTAGAATGAACTTCGCTGGTAGAAGGCTGTGCACGGACCACTGTAAATGGAAAGAAATTTGACGCTAGCCCAACATTGAAGCTAGGTACTTAAGTACTTAAGTACCTAGGTAGGTAGTTACTACTACCACAGTGTAGCAGGGGAGCATACTAAAACTTTCAATCACAACCACAGGGAGGTATATCCTATCTATTTTCCGACGTCGCATCTTGTTTGTTTTTTTGTTTGTGTGTACGTGAATCACTATTCAAGGTAACCCTTGGATTCGTACTATCACCGAAACAAACACCGAGGCCCTTGGTCTGCGCGGCGCGCCATTGATGGTTCGAAGTGGCACGCTTCGTGGCATCGCCGAACCTTGCGCTCGAAATGGTGCTATAGAGACCTAGAGATGCTGAACTTCACGACACCATCCCGCATACATCTCCCGCGCCACTCGACCTTGGCGTAGCCTTTCCTCTCTGTGTATCTTCTTTAGCTACCAGAACCTGTGTCTACATTCAAGTGGTGATGGGGCAGTAGCGACATCTTCCGCGTAAGACACCGGAAAGACGCTGGTCAGTGATTTAAAAGATACCGACACGATACCGATAAGCCAACCGTCGAAATGGATCTCGCCGTTACTCTCATAAAGTCCGTGTTGAGAGCTTTCTATCCGACACGCGACATATTGGTCATGGATGCCCTCATTCTTCACGAAGCGTATGACATTTCCACCAGGACCCTCTGCAGGAAATGCAGCTGCTAATGATGGACTGTTTACTTGCTTAATAGCCTCCGCGATGACGATCTGGCATATCTCATGGCTATAAACACGAAAGATCTGCATAAGATATGCGGTAAATTACGAGAAGATCGCTTCTTAACAGTGTGCGTCTTTCATGTACCTAGTTAGCCAACGACTGAGGTTACCTTCTGCTCTTTACTTTGTTTGTTTGATTGACCGACCCAGACACACAAGATCCGAGCTGCGCGACGGCAACCCTCGGCCAAGTAACCGCACATGGTATTATATCAACTATCGACATACGATCGATGCGATCAAGTGGCGAGTATACACGATCGACAAAGAAGTTCAAGGGGCGCCAGTGCCAGCGAATGAGAAGAAGGAATATTTTTGCAGTTTTTGCAAGGCCGAGTGGACTGCTATGGAAGTTCTTGACAGTGTTGGGCCAAATGGCTTCTTATGTCATCGATGCCACCATACTCTCACTTTCGAGGCGGACCGAACTTCCACTGGGCATGAGCAGTCCACTCGATTAAATGATCAATTCAAATTTATAAGCGAGATTTTGCCGAAGATCGACGCAGTTCATATTCCCGAATGCGACTTTGACCGAGCTTTGGCCAAGGCCCGCCCTGTCGTTCGTGATGCTACACATCAGCGGGCAGCTACCATTGCGGTCGAGAGTGGTCCAAACCGTCCTATGGCTGTCAAAGGACTCACCAATACTGGCCCTCAATCTATCGCAGTAAATATTTCAACGTCAGATGGTCCATCCGCTGCAGAGAAGGAAGCCGAAAAGGCCCGAAAGGAAAAGATTGCCCAGCAGAATGCGCTCCCCTCGTGGATGTCGAATAGTACTGTTACTGGCGAATCCTTCTCCGGAACACTTAGCGACGGGCTGATTTCGCTCAAACAGGATGACGAAAACAACACCGCATCAAAAGGCAAGAAGGTGGACGCAAACACTTCTGCGAAAATTGATGATATATTCGAAAAGCTCAAGGCTGAGCAAGCTGCAGAGATGGCTAAAGGAGTCATACCTGGCGGGAATGGCGAAGATTTTGACTCGGAAGAGGAAGATGGGGATGAAGACGAATTCGAAGACGTTCCTGCAACTGGAAATACATCCAGTCTAGGCACGCCAAGTACCGCCGCCGTCAAGCGTGAGGTTTCTACTATACTGTCACGAGATGGAGATAGTGCGGATGAAAGAGCAGCCAAGAAGGTCAAAGTCGAACAAGAAACTAAGAAAGAGTCTGAGGGGCCTGAAGGCGATGACGATACCGGGGATGAGGATGAGGACATGGAATTTGAAGATATTTGATCGGGGGTATGGATGTTCGGAGCTTTCCGAAGCGAAAATTGGCCGGGTGGTCTTTTGATAGCGAACGGAATCAGTCCCAATGCTTTATACATTTTCCTTTTGTGTCCTTATTTCCTGACAGATGGCTTGATCTATTGATTTACAACCTGGGCCAAACTAGGGATATCAAGTACTTAGGCGCCGTAGGTATGTCTTTAAAGTTGTCATCTCTGATGACAGGATCGTGTATATTCCGTCTCTACGGCGAGATGTTGGGGGGCGCGGGGTGCGAATATATGGAGCCCACCAGATGAGAAGCATAGCTCGTCTTGAGCGTTCGTTTGACAAGGAGGTTCAAGCATTCATATTAAATAAAGGTGACGCCACGGAAGTCCAGGCCGCCGCCGCCACCACCACCATGTCTCCCAGCACGACATCCGAACATTGAAGGTGCATGCAGCCGTACCCCTACCGCCCGGTGCGGTTCTTTAGCACTTACTTCCTCAGTTCAGACTTCCAAACGTTCAAGAACAGAATACGGAGTAGGACAACCCGTAATTATCTAACGAGGCGTGTGGTGAAAGCGCGCGCGTCACAGACAAGACATAGCCGGCACCCTCTCCATGCTTTGTAATGGCCAGCAATCTGGGGTTTCCACGCATTTACCTGCTACCTAGTCATCTCGAACCGTCGCAGCTTCACTATTTCGAGGAAGCAGTGCCGTCCATCACCTACGACATCAATGAAGCGGATCTTGTGCTAGGTAAAATATCGAAACGAGAGCGCGCCGAATTCGAATTAAGGCGGCATAATTTGAGGATTCAACCAGACTCAGTCTCAGGCGGAGATTTCCATTCTACCGCGCCCGACATTGCACTTGTAAGGCGCGAAGCTGTGGAAGAGCAGCCCAGCTCGAAACGTCGAAAAGAAGGAGACGCCCAACATCCAGATTATCGAACAGCGGAGAATAGTAGGGTTCAGGTTCTCAAATTGTCATGGTTGACCGATTGTCTTGCCCAAGGCAGGCTTCTTCCAGTTGACAATTACCTCTTGTATGGAGGCTTCAAAATCTCGTCACACGTCGGCTCCGGCGGACAGCAACCTGAGACGCAGAATATCTCCACTGGTGCAATTCTTCGCCGTGCCGCCGAGGACCATGCAGTGAATACCGCAAATCGGGCGGAGTCGTCATCTTTGCCTTTCAACCTTCATGATCCACGCCATAGTAGACACCCGCCACCCCCATTGCAACGACAGACGACCTCCGAAAATGACACCAGGCTTCCCGAGATTCCAGAATTCCTTCACACAACATATTCCTGCCAGCGGCCAACGCCTTTGCATCCTCCAAACGAAAAGTTTATCCTGGAGCTCAAAAAAATCCGAACTCTCAGACTTCTCCAGGGGAACCAGATCGGGGTACGGGCATACTCGACATCGATTGCCGCGTTATCAGCATATCCGCATGTGATCCAAAGTTCCCATGGCAAGTAATATGATGCCTTAAAGAGGCAATGTAATCCACTACATTATGCCTGGTTTTATCGGAAAGAGGCTAATCGAAATGGACTTTGGAATAGACATTGAGCGGTTGCCAGGCTGCAGCACTAAGATTGCTGAGTTGTACCAAGAATGGTTGAAAGATGGTGAAACCAAAGAGACGGCAGCAGCAGCATCAGACGCAAAGATGTCTACCTTGATGCTGTTTTACGACATATGGGGTGTAGGCGATACTACGGCTAGGGAATTCTATAACAAAGGTAAGATTGTGACCAGGTATCCGCAATTTATATGCAGCAATAATCAAATGTTGACTTTGTAATCTTCAAAATGAAAAGGATGGAAGGATCTGGACGATCTCGTGGAATACGGCTGGTCGTCTCTCACTCGGGTCCAGCAAATAGGGGTAAAATTCTATGACGAGTTTCAACAGATGATCCCCCGACAAGAAGTTGAAGAAATCGCAAGTCTAGTCCTTCAACACGCGCGCAAGATTGAGGCTGGTTTCCAAATGGCCATTGTGGGAGGCTATAGACGAGGGAAAAAGGAAAGCGGTGACGTGGACGTCATTCTAAGTCATCGAGACGAATCACAAACCATGAATATGATAAATGACCTCGTCGTCAGTCTTGAGCAAGACCATCTCATAACGCATACACTCAGTTTATGGACCAAGAATAGTGAACGAGGCCAGCTCCCGCTTGCCTGGCGAGGGGAGGGCGCCAGGCGCGGATCTGGATTTGACACGCTTGATAAAGCCATGGTCGTGTGGCAAGATAAGAAAAAAGCAGGAGATGATGCACCGCATCGAAGAGTGGACATCATCATCAGCCCGTGGAAAACTGTTGGGTGTGCTTTGCTGGGATGGAGCGGCGGCACAACATTTGAACGAGATCTTCGACGATATTGCAAACAAGAAAAGGGCCTGAAGTTTGACAGCAGCGGGATTCGCCGTCGCTCCGACGGGACATGGGTGGACTTTGAAAGCCATTATACCGCGTCGGACGAGGGCCCCGGCCATGACGGACGTTGTCCACAACCGGCACCGGATATGGATACGGCTGAGAGGCGGGTTTTTGAAGGGTTGGGCTTAACTTGGCGAGATCCAACAGAAAGATGCACAGGGTGAATGAAGGAACGAGTGGATAAATACAAGTCTCTACAGTATATGTATATGTGTGGAGAGGCGAAATACGACCTCGGCTGCTGTCCTTGTCCCTGAATTGATTGTTTGTGCGAGGTGGCCAACCAGGCGGTTTGGCCAACTTGGAACCATGGAACCGCCGCAACATCTATGAACAAGCTCAATTCGTAGCTCGAAGGAGAAATTATGGTGCTGGATCGCGATACGTGTCCTTCCGCACTGGCTCCGAATGAAGAGTTAGATGAGACAACGGGAAATTACATGCACGTCTCCGCTCGCCGGCGAGATTTAAACCACCGAGTCCGAAGCAAGACTAAGTACCTTGGAAGGTAGGCCTAGGGATGCCAGTGTTAACGACGTTCAAATTTCAATCATCAGTTTCTCAAGCTCGCTCTCTCCCTCTCTCTTTAGCGGCTCATGCTGACTGCACGACTTTTAGGCATACTACTTACTTAAGTACTTAAGTAATTGATCTTTTTCTACAAATGTATCCACCCATCGAGGTCAGCACCTGCCCCAGGCTAGATATTGGTTACAAGACCGTGGCCGATTGCGGTCGATCTGGTTGGTAGCAGCACGGCCCCCTCCGGAGCTTTCAGTTCAGGGCAGTGAGCGTCGGTGCCGTCAACATGCTCCTACTATTTGAATGCAGGAACACGACATCTGGACAGGGCACCTGGGCCCTTTGTGCCGATGGCCCGGATAGTTTCAACGTTGCCAAGGCCGGTGTGCCGACTCGCCAGACGCCATGTCTTGTCGATCAAACGCCAGGCCCTGCACGGCGCTATGCGATCCCCCGCCGAGCAACCTTGACTTAGCTTGTCAGTTCCAGGCAGCTGGCTAGCTGCGTAGTCATCACAGCCATCAATCGAGGAAGGCGACGGGATAGCGAGGAGTCTTTCCCTACTCCGTGCTTACAGTGGATGTTTTATTGATAGGCCAGGCACGTAATATTACGCCAATGGTGCTCGACCTGTGGTCTGATACTTTGGCTACCAGACTTGGCAAGCCTGCGCATGGTCCGAGCCCGCAATGCCGCCACCCCGCCGCTGTAGAGCCCGCAACCAACATTGAAGCACCAACTCTGTTCCGACACATATGCAGCCTCTGTCAATTATTGACATTTACAATCAATCTCCGAAATAACTAAATCACAGGGCCCTCCATGTATAGTCCGCTTGCGCGCCCATAAAGCCCACATCACCACCCGCTTTCGTTCTGACTCGGCTCCCCCCCTAAATACGGCAATACAGCCCCGAGATATTCTGTTTACTCTAGGTTGCAAGCGCATGCAAGAACCATTCACAGACACAAACATATTGAAGTAATAGACTCAAGTTGACATTACAAGAAAAATGACCTTCATTCTCGAGCTCCCGAATCATTACAGGTCAGTTCTAAGCCTCCTGCTTATGTACCGTTACCTTACGTCGAGCCAATCGCCTGCAACTCTTGTCACTTCAAAGACACTGTGCAATGGCCCAGATTTAGTCATGCTGGAGGCACATAAACACTAGTGCTAACGTCATGTCTGTCGAGTCACGGTACACAGCTTGGTGCTTGCTGTCGCCAGCAGTACCTTCTTTGTCAACACTTTCCATATGCTGCGAACCTCCCAGCTTCGCAAGGCTAGTGGTATTGTGTACCCCAACTCATATGCCTCGGCGGAACGGGCAGAAAAGGATGGCAAAGCTTATGCCTTTAATTGCGGTACATTTTGCCCCGAGCTCTCCCCAACATCACTTCTTGATATCAGGCAATTGACTGGAGAACATAGCCCAGCGTGCTCACGCAAACTTTACCGAGAATCACACGTCATTCCTCGGCGCCCTCCTTATTAGTGGCCTGCGTTTTCCTATGGCGGCAGCTGCCGTAGGTGCTGCTTGGACCGTGTTTCGCATTCTGTATCTCTTCGGATATACCAGCCAGGCCGGCCCCCGGGGTCGAACAACGTAAGTGCATTTGTTCCCAATAGCTACAACTTCTAGTCTTCCGTTGACCTTTTTTTTTTTTGCTGTTGGAGATGGTGCTAACATATTTATAGTGGTGCCCTGGGTTCTATCTTGGCAGATCTTATTCTGAAGTTCATGGCTGCTTACACGTCTGCTAAGCTCGTGTTTGGAAACTGAGCCAGGAGACTATTCCTCATCGTACAACGACGCTTGGGGAAAAAATGGCGGGATCTACAGTTTGAATAGTAGACGCATATATGCCAAGGAAGACAGCACAAGGAATTGGACGCATCTGACGCTTGTGATGTAGTAGCAGGGCGTGTTGATGTGGATGTTTAAACTTCGCCGTTCGTCAACGGCGGAGCCGTCGACGCTTGAGCTCCTGGCTGATTTGCACATCGTCGTACGCAGGGGACTCCAATTGATCGTCGCGAGTCGTCTCTTCTAAAAGCCGTTCGATTCCATTGTTTCCTAAAAGATAGTCGCCGTAGTACTTCATAGCACTAAAGACTTCTTCTCCACTGGGGACGATATATTCTTTGGGCAGAAGGAAACCGTAGGTGCCGGTGTCTTGGAGTTTGACCTGGTAGCTGAAATGCGCGCCCATCTCGTGGTAAAACCAGTCAATTGCAGACCCGCCTCCTGATTCAACACGCGGCGTGAACTGGTCTTGTCGTCCTGTAGCACCTTCGCAAGCCGAGGTGACAGAATACGACTCCCCATCTGCCAAGCGGATAGCCTTTGCAATTCCAGCCGCAAGCTCCTCCAAGTTCTCAAGGTTCGGAGGCATAGCTTGACAGGAAAATGTGTAAGGGAAGAGAATCTGTTGGGAGTAAGAATGTAGGTCTACGAGGCCCACAAACTTAACATTGTTAAGAGTTTCGTTTCGAGCCCAAGTTGCTAACCTCATTGCTTCCACAGCCTGAAAAGGCTGTTCCCCTCCATAACTCTCCGAGCATGGGTCAGCTTGGGCTTGAGTGCCATCCCATCCATATCCGAACGCATGGTCCAGGTCAAGACCACGACAGTACCGAATATTTGTTTGTTGTCGTGATTTACGCCACAGGCGGTCCACCTGCCAGGAGTAATCCACGCCGTCAGGATTGAGCACAGGTACAAACACCATGTCGAATTCGTGAAGAAGTTTTGTTATCATTCGCTCTTTTCCAAAGGATGTGATGAAAGACCACGCCACATAATTTACGGTGCTGGTTGAGATCCACTCTCTGGCGTGAAGACCACCGGTGACAACGATCGTCTTTCGCGGCTTCGTTGGGTCAATAGTTGAGGACAGCCCAACACGTAGAGCTGATATTTCTCTTCCTTCAAAGGACTTCCCTATGGAAAAGTACTCGACATATGAAGGGAACATTGCCTCAAGCAGACGCATCCAACGAACAATGACAGGCAATGGTTGGTAATCTTGGAAAAAAAGGTTGCCGTTTGCTTCTGAAAGTGGCGATGTTGAGACTGAGAGTGCTTCACCAGCCTCAACTGTTGGCTTTTCATGGTAGGATGGCATCGAGTTATAGACAGCGGAGGCGAGATCGGATATCAGGGTGGATTGAGCAACTTGAAGCGAAGGCGGGAGAAGACTGAGGAGAGGAGACACTTCATCGCGGTGCATACGAATATCGACGAATTCATCCGTGAATGCCCAAATATCTAGAAAAAGTCGGGCTGCCGCCTGAGCAAGGGCGATCTCCTCTTCAGGTGTGGTGACATTGAAGCGCAAGACCAGCTCGTTGGTGTATCTGGCCCGCAGACTGAATGGAACGGCATGTTGGTCGGCATTTTTCGTAGGATGACGGCCGAAAAGGAGCTCGACAGCGCTGTCGCGAAGTTTGGTCAAGAATGGAAACAGGTGGGTGTTGCGGTTGCCAGTATTGGAAGGGCGTTGAGGATGAAGGCCTGCTGCAAAGCCTAAGCCGGGATGCTGAACGACCAGCAGTAGCCCAGAGGTCACAAGGCTGGCGAGTCCGGTTCTCATCTTTGTCTTCTCCTATTATCTTCTGCTCTTTTCTTTCTTCTTATTCCCAGGTCGCTTCGGATCGTATGTGGGCGGCACAACGGCGGAGTTTGTCGGCTGCCGCTCAGGCACGAGCCGAAGGTGTGGTGGTGATTGCAAGTGAATGTCTCTTGCAAACTCGGGCGGCCTGATTCGTGGGGAGTTACCCAGCACTGGGAGCTAGCCAGCAGTCTCCAGACCCCAGGTAGCAATTTCATACATACATGTGTGGTTCGTGGTCTTTACTCCGTACCTGGCCGGTACTTACAGATATATGTAGACAACGGCAGGTAGGCATGTATTTAAACACGGAGTATGTGGGTGCTTGGTCCTGAACTTCGAGGCGGATGGAGCAGTACTAGACACTAGTGTGTAGTAGTACACCGCATGTGCAGTCGGCAGACACTCACTGGATCGTGGATGAAGACCATAGGTCGTGGAAAGATGGGTCTGAATTCTAAGCGTCACCTATCACTGTTATGCTTTTCATGGTTTGAGCAACTTCAAGCGTGGATCACAAAACCTGGCGCTGGGAATTATGAAAGCTTGAAAATTTCACGAACTGCCCTGGCCGAGCCCCAAGTTGGACCTTTTGCATCAGGTATATATAGATGCTACGACGTAACTGGCAGGACGCCTGCGCGCAGCAGGGCGTTTAGGTACTTACCTAAGTACTAAGTGGGTAGGTATAGGTAGGTAGGTTACCTAGGTAGGTATATACTACTTCTAATTGAGCATTAGGCTTGTTTGACTGTGCAATCCCAGGCTTAAATTACAAGATATGATTTCTATCGAGTTGCATAGACTCTTGGTTTATAGAAGTGAAGTTTTAAAACTCTGGGCTTGTTCTGCCGAACCCCTTGACCACTTCTTATGGAACGGAAATCTTCGGGACCGACAATACCGATTTAGGATGAACACTGTCGTACAAATCAAGGACCTACCTAGCAGCCGAGCCTACTAAGTACTTAAGTAGTATGCAGGTGCAAGGTAAAGTCAGGCAATCAGGGCTTGCCTTCAAATGTTCTTCCCAACATTGCGCGGTCTTCGAAAACACTGGTCGGATACTTCTAGAAGTATGTCCCTAGGTACCTGCCTGCCTAAGCAGCTGGCCCTTGGTACTTACACAACTAAGTTATCTGGCTGCTGCAGATGAATTGCCACGCGTCACATCAGCGAAACCAAACAAAAGCACTACACAAATTGATACATGCCTCGGAGCTCCGTACCGATGGAATCGCGCCCATGACGGTGAGAGATTCTAACTAAATGCTCACTACTTAAGTAGATAACTAGGTGGTTTCTTAAGTATCTCGGCAGTAAGTCAAGGCGTGCAGACGCCCAGGTGTCACTTCAGCCAGTACAGACCAGAGCATTCACACCCTGTCATCAGGGGAATGATCGCTCAGAATGAAGCGTTGGAAATCGTCGAGATTTGTATGACGGGTCGTGTTCTTCAGGCTTTGGCAGTTGGCAGAGGACTCAGCCGCCTCCAATGTCGGCTGGCTCGCGCAGAGTTGACACCATTCATCTGGTCGCCGTGACACCACAACTTAACAGTGGAGCAAGAAGATGGGCGGGCCACTGATTGCTCAGTCCAGGGCCTGGTCAAGTGTCGCGTCCATGTAGGGGCCAGGTACCTGGGTACTTACAACTAGTACCAAGTGCTGGTGCTAACCGGCTTTGGAGAGCTGAGCCTCTAAATTCCATTTTTGACATGTAGCCCCTTGCTCAGAAGCCACAACGTAAACTGTTCTGGATTTGCGCCACAACCATCATCAATGAGCCTTGAAGCATTGCGTCGACAACCATTCTCCCAAAACTATCACCATACATTCGCTTGACGAGGCTACGCTCATGGACTGATCAAATCTGTCTCAGAGGCCGTGTTCAAAATAGCGACAACTTGACGCAAATGGGCTTCAACTAGATTCCTAGGTTGAGGAGAGTTGGTTCCTCCTCCCAAGGTAAGCTGCGACGGAAGATCCCATACGATCCTAACTCTTTCTGGCGGTTATCCCAATGTCAACAGTGCCAATAGTTCAAGGCCTTCCAAGGCCAGCCTCACACTCGAGCGACCTTGCGTCGCAGAGTAACATGCGAGTCGACTGTCGCGATGCCTTTTCTTCGTCGGCGAGGTAACATGGCTAGTGAGACGGATATCCGACGCCATGCAACCTTCAACGTGCCTCGGCCATCCAACGACGATGGCGACGACGACGATTATGAAGCTGCACCCTCTTCCTCGTCAGCAGCACAGCCCGTCGTTGCGGGAGACTCTTACTCATTGTCTCAGCCGGATACTCACCAATCCGAGCCGCCCGAGCACAGTCCTGAGCCACCCACGTCCGAGTCTGAACGACAAAACAAACGCCGCCCGTTTTCCATCCTGCGATATCGAAACGCCTCCGATTCTCAGTTGTCTTTAAGAGCCAGGCAACAGGCTGAAGCACCGCCTCCTGTTCCACGGCGTACGTCCTCACTGAGCGTACTACTCACCCCGAAGAGTCAATTGCTTCTAACAGAGTGTCTTAGCACCCGCCATCATTACAACTGCTCCTACCAACGATATCGCAGGCCCGAAAAAAGTGGCATCACGTATGAGTTTGGCCGCAAAGTTTCGCCGGTCCAATGATATTGCCAGGAGCGGCAGACGTGATGCCTCCATAGACACCATGCACAGGGGAAATCACTTGGCTGATGGTCGAGATCTTGCGTCTAGCCGGGCGTCGGATGAGCCAGTATATCGTCGGCCATCAACTCAGGCGGCAGCATTGCCCAATGGTACCTCCCTTAATGCATTGGACAATCGTCAATCAGAATCTTCCAGATCTGATGCCAGCTCTGGCGATCACGTCTCCCGTTCAAGTCCGACCACAACCCCCAAGAAGCCTCCCTCTAGCACGCCATTTTTCAAACTTCGCAAATCCAAGAAGCCTCCAGAACCTTTGTTCCCTGTAGCTCACCTCCAACAAAAGAATATAGTCAAGGGCGAGAATCTATCGTCAGCCTCTCTTGGCACTGGCGTCACACCTCGCCCAGTGTCATCGCAGAGCGCCACCCCTCGAGCTTCCAACGGCGATGGAGATGAAATCCATATAACCCAAAGTTCTGCTGCTTCTGCTTTGTTTGTCCGGGGAAGTGGGCAACATTCCGGTCAATCATCCCCTACGCGGACAAATCTACTCAGGGGTCGGTCCTCTACCATGAGTTCAATGGGTAGAGACTCCACCGATGACCACCTGTTACCTCCAACTACCCGTACATCGACATCTATTGGCCGGAAGAGCTTCGGCGACTTGTTTGGGCTTGGTCGTATCAGACAAAATTCTGAACTCAGTCGCCAAGGGACACTGACACCCGCCACCCCTGGCTCAATAACCTCCAAGAGCAACTCATTGCAATTGCCAAGAGATTCGGTCATCCTGCCAGAACGCCAAGGCAATGAGTCCCCTGCGAAGTATCTGGCTCGTCTGGAAGGTGTGGTAAGCCGAGGGGTCATTGCATCTGCCTTGTCAAAGGGAGCTGATCCATTTTCTGTTGCCGTGCTCCGAAGTTACATGAGGAGCTTTAGTTTCTTCGGGGATCCTATGGATATGGCTATTAGAAAGTTGCTGATGGAGGCCGAGCTACCCAAGGAGACTCAGCAAATTGATCGATGCTTGCAGGCGTTTGCTAACCGCTATCACGAATGCAATCCCGGTATCTACTCATCTCCAGACCAAGCTTACTTTATAGCATTCTCACTTCTTATATTACACACGGATGTATTCAATAAGAACAACAAGCACAAAATGCAAAAGTCGGATTATTTGAAGAACACGCGGGGAGAGGGTATATTTGATGATATCCTCGAGTGCTTCTACGATAATATTTCATACACTCCTTTCATTCACGTTGAGGATGACCTGGACTTGACGAACGACCGCATGCAAAACAACAAGTCCAAAAAGAAGTTGCTTTCTGGGAATGGCGCTGACCCGGCAAAGCGCGCTGCAAAGGAACCCATTGACCCCTATACGCTCATTCTTGACGGCAATTTAGATGCGTTGCGGCCAAATTTGAAGGAGGCCATGCACTTGGATGATCATTATAATTATTTAGGGACTGCGCCTTCCTTTAATCTGAAGGACCTGCAAAACACCTTTTTTAAAACCGGGGTCCTCCAGATCGTGTCACCTAGATCACGGCCAGACGCATTCATGTCGGAAAAGACGGCCACAAACCCCAATGATGCTCATCCGGGAATCGTGGATATCAAAGTCACCAAAGTTGGGTTGTTGTGGCGGAAGGATGCCAAAAAGAGGAAGACACGATCACCGTGGCAAGAATGGGGCGCGATTTTGACTGGAGCCCAATTGTATTTTTTCCGAAATACAAGCTGGGTGAAGAATCTAATCCATCAATATGAGGGCCATCTCAAAGGTGGGCATGATGGTATACCAATTATATTCAAGCCTCCGCTTGAAGAGTTCAAACCAGATGCTTTGATGTCTACACATGCCGCTGTGGCGCTCGTCGACACTGCATACAAGAAACATAAAAACGCATTCTTATATGTTCGACAAGGTGGCTTAGATGAAGTGCTTTTGGCAGACAGCGAGGAAGAACGCAATGACTGGCTGGCCAAGCTCAACTACGCTGCTGCGTTCAGGACGTCGGGAATTCGGATGCGTGGTGTGGTGGGAGCCAACTTTGACGGTCAAGGTCGCCGGGGCATGCGTCGTTTGGACAGCTCTGACGCGACACAACTAATACAAACTCCCACTGGTCCTGTTTCAATCGCACGGGGCTACATTGATCATAAAATGGCCGAAGATATACAGACGGCAAGACGCGATGGCATGCAACAAAAGATTTGCGAGGCTGATAAGAAAGTTGAAGAAGCTCAGAAATTGTTGGAGGAACAGTTGAGGAATGCAAGGCACCTCCAGATTCTAGCACCAATCCAGCCACGAACAAGGGAGCAGCTCTTGCTGGCCGCAGCCCGCATGTCTGCACAGCTGAGGTGGACTCGTATGGAGATTTGGCGGGAAAAATGTCACCGGGACATTCTCGTTCAAGACCTTGCAGATGACGAAGTCCCGTTGCTACAATCTGCTTTGCAGTCAGATTCACAGAGTGTTCCATCCATGCCACAGCCCCCATTGACTCGGCTGGAGTCGAAATCTAAACATCAAACCGTTGACGAAAAAAGCCCCCAGACGCCCACAGAAAACTCATTATCTCAGATTCCGAGTACTGTCAGTACCGGCAAAGTCATCGACTCTCCGACCAAAACGAGCGTCCCCCAGACGCCTCCACAATCTGCCGGTAAGGAGTCCTGGCATGCGAAATCCGACGCGAAAAGTATGAGGCAAGGATCTATCTCAAGCATTGCCGTAGCTGCAGCACAGCCCTCAACCCCAACACCTCACGCCAAAGCCTTTCAGGATGAGGACATCGCCAGCTCGTCAAGAACGTCGGATACTGGCCAAGATGATGTGGATGCCGACGAACGGGACTTCTTGAAGCAAGCCGGGCTGTGGGAGGCAAAATCAAGACGTGCCTCTTTAGAAAGGACACCCATGTCTACAGTTACAGAAGGCAATGAGTACTCGGTTACGACAGATCGAGATAAATTAGAAAGAAGCAAGATTAGAAGAAGCTTGCAGCGGACTCTTAGGGAGAGTGCAGGTCACCTTTCACATCATCGCAGCAAGAGGGGCAGAGACACAGGTCCGCCAGTTGTTGGTTCTGTGGATGATGGGACCCGGGAAACGACCCTGTCCCGTGGAACTGGTAGCTTTGTTGTTCATGGTAAAAAGGCCTCAGTGATCAATCTGGGCACAGAGCTGCAGACATTGTCTCAAGAAGACAAGATTATGTCACGGAAACAACACCAGTCATTGCAGCAAGACCAGCAAGACCAACCAGCTACCCCTTTACTGGGCAGTGACAGCCTTGATGACGATTTCCACTCTGCACTCGAAACACCATCCGAGTCGAACGGCACAAGTAGCAGAAGGAACTCGGTCGCTAGTACAAGCACTGCCACCGCTCGTAGTTTTAGAGATCTTCACAGGAAATATTCATCAGCACAAGCAGCTAGGAGCGTTTCCGGTGGAAGGCTTGCAATCCCATCGGATGGTGAAAGTGAAGTCGGCCCTAGCATCCGCGACGGCAGAAAATCACCCCAAATGGCATCAGGAACGCGACTAGAGGACCTGGAGGCAGGTGCATATTCACAAGTGAGTGAAAGTGTGACTGAGGACAAGAAGCTGGATGGAGAAGTTTGTGAAAGTGATGAGTCGTGTAGTAATGACGAAGACACACGACTTGAGCCTGAAACCCTAACAACTCAACCGATACAGGTTGTGAGAGTCTAATTGAGAGAGTTTCTGATTTCGATTAGAAGAGAGGATGATTGGCTGCAATTTACATATGAGTGTTTATGCTGGCGTTGGGATTTCGCAAGCTCTGCAAAACGGTCAAGGGAGCGACTGGAAGAATTCAGGGTATGATAAAGGCAGCAATATGCAGCGCTTCAAATACAACCGTGATATGGCGTTCCCGCTTGCGATCTTGTGTTCTTGCTAGTTCCTTCTATACTGGGAACAATGCTCTGCAATTTTCATACAGACAGGACGTAAGGGACACAGCCTCACAATTGTGGTGAGGATACTGCAATGTGTTTGCATCTATACAATCTGACGACACGAACAATATCCTCAAACTCAGGTGGAGAGACTGGAGAGACTGAACACCCATCCAGACTAGGGGAAGGGGACGCACGATTGAAAGCATGTGCATTTCGCTCCGAGGTCGTGACCAAGTTGCATTATTGGAAGCAAGCAAGTAAATGCCTTGTATCATTGTAGCATGACCCCTAAGGCCCACTGAGATTTGTGCAGTATTGCAAATAATGCCTCCCGATAGCCTACTTAATGTTTTGATGCCGTATCCGGCCAGGTCATCTCCCATCCCGGACTCCTTGAGACCGTACACCGTAGGCTACAGTCAGGCTTCACAGCCACCATCAGGCCTATTTCTTGCCCTTCTTCTTCTTCTTGGATGAGCTTGAGGCCGACGCTTTTTCTACCTTGACACCGCCACCGCCCACAAGACCAAGGGTTTCCTCCTCCTTTACCACACCACCCTGTGTAGACTCAGCAACTTTCTTCCGTCCCTTCTTACCCTTTGGCCGATAAGTTGATCTATCACGCAATGGAAGCCACCTTTCAGGATCAGGGGTTTGACCCTCAACAAAGTTCTTCGGCAGCCTTATCCTCTTTCTTCTCTGGCTTGGGCGCTCACTGCTTGGAGCGGTGGGGGACCGCCTCTTCCTGCTTGCTGCTGAGGCTTCGACGGTAGAAGCCACTCCAGAGTTTATAAGACTTTCTACATCAATGCCACTGACAAGGCTTTCCACGGAAGGAAGTTGCGCAATGTGTTGTTCCACCGCGCTAACGTCAGAAGCAGCTACCGCTGCGACCAACCCAGCAGAAGTAATAGGTGGCACTTGTTTTTCATGATGTAGCTTCGTAAAGGCAACCCGTGCCAGGTTCAATTCGTTGCGGCTAGAGGAGGACGCAAGTGCAATGCCAGCCTCTTCGAGAAGGGAAACAACCGAAGTGGTTGGGCGCTCGCGCCAGAACTCCGCCGCCCTCACAAGCTCGGCCCTGGCTGACGTCTCCCGTTTCTGGGTCTTCTTCAACGCTACTGCAAGCGCTACCAGCCCAGGGCTAAAACGGACACGTTGGGATTGTTCATCCCCGGACCCTTCCAGTCGCGAGAAAAACGACATCAGAGTGTGTAGGGCGGCACCGAGCTTCTTCCGCTCCAAGTGAAGCTGCACTATGGTCAAGACAAGCCCCGTATCGTTGGGTCTTGCTTTGGAAAGACTAAGAAGGGATCGCAGAGCATCCTTTCGGGCCAAACCTTGCGTCTCCGCAGCAGCTCCAATGACGGACATGCCGTTTAAATCAGCATTGCAGGATGGCATTTGGTCTTTTGTTGTCGCCTTTTTCACCCTTTCTTTAACACCGTTGACTTTGTGTGCACGCAAATCAACGACAGATGCATTCCGGGCAAGAACATCAGATTGAAACTTGAACAGTTTAGCCTTACTGCTTGCTGACATCCAAGACGCAACCTCGCGTTCGACCAAGAAGGGATTCTCAGGCTTCTTTTCCAGCGCCCAGCGGTTGTTTTGAGTGATTATCTTGAAATCGGGTTCGGATTCCCTGTATATTGCGAACAAGGCCAGTTAGCATATCTGTCTGGTCCGGCAGACTCCCACAATTGAAAATTTGGTCACGATTACTTACGCAGAGATGTCTATGGAAGAATATATATCCCTAGCACGGTTAAGGTCTCCGATCTTGGCCAAAACTAAAGCCTGCTGGGCAAGAATAGGCTTGCGCTCTTCTTCTTTGTCCTCGTCTGTCAGCTCATCAGAAGCATCACAGAGGGCCAGGGCTCGCTGGAGAAGTTTCAGTGCCAGTTGCAAAGATCCTCTGGCGATATTTGCGCATGCGGCATTGTAACACAGCTCAAAGGCCTCCATGGTTTTTTCTGAATCCGGGACAATAGATGTGGAGATATCTTTCCACGCGGCTTGAGCTTGTGCTGCCTGGAGGTTGATGCTAAGATCATTGGCCTCTTCATCGGGATCAGAGGCAAGAAGTCGATTATATATGGACTGCGCCTCATCAAAGTTCTCGGCACGGTATGCAACTTGAGCCGCAAGATGGCTAAGGCTTCGTTTCTGAATGCCCATGGATGCAAGGACACTGGTTGCGTCGTCTAGTTTTCCCAACTTGTAAAGAGCATATGCCCTCTCAAGCACACAATTGGCTTCTAGCTTAATCCCACCCTCGGATATTGCCCGACAAGCATCGCTAAATCTGTCCAGCTTCAACAGAGCGACAACTCTCGTGTTTTGTGCGAGCTCATCGTTTTTGTTGGCCTTGAGGGCCGCATTGGCAGCTTTGAGAATTTCATCGTGATCGTCTATGGTGGCTCCGCGCAGCATAGCGCTGAGGGTAGTGGCGGGGTCTTGAGGCATGACTGTTATGGCAACAGAGGCATTTCCCAAGACAGGAAGGGAGTCGGTTGATCAAAGGACTGGGAGCTGATGCAGATGACGATGGTTGAGGTTTTGAGCACGCTACAAAGGCGGAAGGGAAGTCGCCGACGGAAGGGCCTGTTGCCTCTATGCCAGGTGTGATGCTCGCAATAGACCCGTGGCTTCAAAGAAGGACACCCTGTGGGCGGGAAGGGTGCCTTTTCAGCGGTCGAGGCTGCGAAACGGAGTGAGGTCGACTGTCGACTGGTCGCGCTGCTGGCACAGCTGGAGATGGATAATTATCGAGTCTGGTCCACGGAGTAGTAAATTGAATTTTGGGGTGCCGCGGGGGCTTTCGAGTCTTTGGGCAGGATGTGGGGCAGGCAAGTTACCTAGTGGGAGGTACTCCGTACTACGGAATACTCCCAACGTCAGAACTGCGCATATTAGATGTCCCTATTGCGGTGGTTGAAACCACCAGACTCAAGGACTCCAGCTCCCCAGGCCGCCGGTGCTCAAGATGAAGCCGCCAGCGTCGTTCGCTCCGCTTCAGGGGCTGCCAACACTTTTGCCCCAAAGAACAGAGCTAGAGAATCACTGCCCCAGACACAAACAACAGTGACAAGCATCAAGCTGTACGGGGTACTAGGAGCAATTGGTCGTGGTATCATCCGAGGACAGGAGGTTGTCTAGGGAGCTTTCAATAATCAGCAAGGGGGGGTCACTGAATCACCACACTGAGAAATTTTGTTGCATATATTTAGCCCAAACGCCGTCCATCGGGCTTGGCTTGTCTCTATTTCACGATGCTTAACTTGAGCATGTATGTAGCCATCCTCACAGTTATCTAGGTAGAACAATTTGGAGTGACAGAAGTTACGTACATATAACACCCCATGCCACTTTTCAGATAAAGTATCTCCATGTCCAAGGCTTAAACGAGTGGAAGCTTTGGGCCGCTCTTCTGTACGATGGGAGTCGCCTACCCGGGAGAGGGTCGGGGCCCATGTCGTTTGCCATTCCCACTCAATTTGGGGCCTTTCACCATGGTCAAGCAAGCGGGGGTTTAGTATATCAAGCATTGAAAAAGTGTTTGCATTAGAGTAATCCTCTCGGCGCTCTGCTGTGCAGCTATGTGGATGTTGTGATACATCAGTGCCAGCCAGGCATCGTCGATAACTGATGGATTGATTGATGATTCTCATGCACAGCGTGTCAGGAGGCTAAAACCCACCGGGCCCCACGCCGCATCTGCCTGTGTGCCGCAGCTTCACTCCCAACTTCATTCCCAACGTTGAAGCGGCTAACAAAAGTGCCCACTGGTTCCAGGTCCACAGAGAGTACCAGACATCAATCAATCAAACTTGACCAGACCCGACATCAGTGTGGTGGCCATTCTGCACCAGACCTGCACCGGGCCTGCACGGGACCCTGCCTATTTAAGTACGATAAACCAGAACGGATGGACGCTCCCACCACCCTCACTGCAGACAGCGTCACTATACCTGCACCTGTGCACACAGCCTCTCCAGGGCATCTTGCTGGATTGAATTAAATCGAGCCCATTGTTCAGTGACTCGTCTCTCTGACTAGGAAACTTTTTGCATCGTTTTCTTCTACAATGGATTTCGACATCGAGATGGGAGACGCTGCGCCGGTCACGCAAGACCTGCCAGCAGAGGAACTGCCGCTGGCCGATGATATTTTGGTATTGTATACGTCCTTTTCCTTTTCTCCAGCCCACCCGCCACCTCTCTCCTGTGCCTGATCTTAACAACCTTTTAGGGAACGGCCGAACCGCAGGAGCCCGGAGAGCTGGTGGAGGACGAATCTGCCAACCCGGATGAGAACGAACGCAAAACTTTGATTCCCAATAAGCTGCATGTTCGAGGTGTCGATACCTTGCATACGGACGATATAAAAGCATACATCAAGAGTCATTTTGGGCCGGTGGACAAGATTGAGTGGATTGACGATGGTTCAGCAAACCTGGTGTTTGCTAACGAGCTCACAGCCCGAGATGCCATCATGGCGTTGAGCGCCATTGAGGTAGTCGACGTGACAGTTTTGCCGCCGGGAGAGACTCTGCCGGCTAAGCCGTTTGATGGGAAACCAGAAATTTCACTACACGTTCGCTTCGCTGTCAGTAGCGATAAGAAGCAGGCTGGAGCCGCACTGCGCAGCAGATACTATCTCCTACACCCGGAGCATGATCCCGAAGAACGGCGCCGGAGATACAAAGAAAACAGGCCAAGGTACAGAGAGAGAGACGACGATTATCGCAGAAATGCTGGCCGGCGAAGGCGCGACTCGGACGATGATGTCGAGACCTTCGAGGCCAGCATGTATGACGACATTCCTCGCTCGAGTCGCTCGCGACCAGACTCGGCCCCAGAGGCCAATTCGAGATCGTACGCCGAGGAGAACCGTGGAAAAGAGCTATTTATGAAAAAATCCACCAGACGCGATAGGTCGGCTTCCCCCCGACGAGACCGCGACGGGGATGCTCGGATGGCTGAGGGGGAAGGCTCCTCGCACAGAAATAGAAGCCAGGCCAGATCTATCAAAAATCGTATAGTGGCCGATAATAGTAGCAAAGAGCTATTCCCAACCAGAGCTAGTGGACGAGGTGGCCAACTGGATCAACTTGAAGATTCTATTGGCTCTGCAAGGCTAGAAGATCAGGACCTTCCCAAGATCGTCGACATCTCTGACGCCCAATCTGGCAACTCTATCAACATTCGAGGTCTGGCCAACCAGAGAGTCGATGATAGGGCTGGGTTTTCTATACGAGGAGCTGCCACCACGAGTGCCCGGGAGCTGTTTCCCGACAAGCTGGGCACAAGCAATGCAGGCAAGGAGCTGCTGGATCCAGCGCGTTCAAAGCGAAGACAAAGGGCCGAGGACCTTTTCACCTAACAAGCATTAGAAAAGGAACTTTGTGGCAGGGTCTGGGAACGAAACGGTGTGGTTGGAAAGAATATTTGACTCTCGGGAGAAGGAAAAGCCTGGCGTTCAAAGGCAATCACAGCATTGATGAGGCAGACAAATGGAGATAACTAACTAGAACTGGCTATGACCAATATGCCATGACGCAATATGATACCATGGTTGGAGTTGAATGATACTTTTGTTCCTTTGTCATCAGACACAGTCACCGCTTACCACCACCTCTCTATCATGATTTGTGCTGGCGATATGTTCAATCCTGAATCACCAGAAGTCAGAGACGTAAACAGGGAATCTGTCATGGTTGGAGGCCCGCAAATGTAAAACAGGCTCGAAGACTGGTCCCCATTCCTCGGATCTGGGCACAGCTCAGCAGCCGATAATCTGCCCTCTTGAACTTCAACGTTGTTGTCCATGACACAGTGAGCTTTGCGGCACCTTTTGAAGCGTTGAAGGCTTTCGGGGCTGCCCGTCAAGTACATCTTGAACGTTCCCTTGACCCTGCCATCTGCAAATAACGCCGCTATACGCTGCACAAATAGGATGCTCTCCAAGCCTCCCCGGTCCGGCAACTTGCTCGTATAGAAGACGGATACGTCAAGCTTGGAAAAGCCATCCGTCTCAGCAATGTAGCTTAACATGCTCATAAGGGGGTTGATGCCTACGCCACCCGCCACGAAAACAATCCTCTCGATGTTCTCCAACTGAGGATGAGAGGGGGGAGGCAAAACAAAACTGCCCCCGATGCGGACATGCAAATGCGACCCGATGATTTTCTCCGCTGGCTGCCATAGCCATGCCGCGACCGCATTCTCCGGAGACTGCTGAACGGCGAGCTCGAGATAGGGCGCAACCAGACCATCGCACGAGGCTGCTGATGACGGGGCGCAAGTAATAGTGAAGCCACCTGCCCTGGCGATTCCAGGGACATACGTATCTAGCCATTGGCCCGGCGAGAACTATTGCGCGCCGATGATAATCAAGTCAGTCATGATGACAACGAGAACTCCAAGGATTGCAAGTCAATATATATTGCTTCCCTGACCGTCCCGATCGAGGTCGCTTGACTGACTTACCTTTACAGGGCCATTATGAAGCCCCAGCCGTAAGAGCCGGACCCGTTCATTGACATTTTCAATTTGGCTTAGCTTCACAGAATGTAATTCCTGAACGCCGGGTGAGGTGCCGTCTGTTAGCCTCGATCAACAGGGCCAAGTGACATCGGCAATGGCTTGAAAGCCGTAAGAACCATGAATACGGAAGGAAGGATAAAACTGAGAAAAGCGAAACAGAGTCAATCTTCTGGAGGGGCCATCACAAACAGCTTCTCTTGGTTCCTCGGCGGTTCGGTCGAGGTGGCTTGATTTGCTCGTCATTGCTCTGCAGCAACTGCTGAAGCGTGGCAGATTACCGATATGCAATCTCGATCTTGCGAATGGATACGTCCTGTAGAAACCCTGCTTAAGAAAGTATAGGACGTTGCGGATTTTGTACATAATTTAAATGGTGTATTTCAGTGCAATGCCAACCCAGTCCTGGATCTGGACCAGACCAGACGTCACTTCTACGGAGTTTGGGGTGCCGAGGGATGAGAGTGGAGACTTAACCCAGGTAGGTACTCTAAGACTGGCCTACTTAAAAGCTAACGACTACATGCCCGACTCATTGAAAGCTATCCCAATCTGGTGCTGTGCATCAGCATGAATTTTGGTGTAAGTACAAGGATAACCAGATCCAGTCTTTGAAGATATTACAAATTTCATGATTTGAAGGGACGCCTGGCCGTTAGAAACATCCAGCAGGAACAGGTTACTTCAGAGGAATGTGACTGTGATACCGTGATAATGAATTTCTGGTTGATTCTATACTCTGAACTGAGAGTATCTAATAGCATCGTGTAATTTTGTCCGATTCATGTTGCCCCATGAGATCCCCCCTGCCACTGCCCTGCCCTCCCCCTTTTCACTCTAGTGACCTACGAAGGCTCAGTCCAATTCACTTGATCCAAGACTTTTCCGACAGAGGGATGATCGTAGCCAATTCTGAGGCGAAGGCGTAGGGGCTGCGTAAAACGTTAGCAATCAATCAAAGATATGAAATATATTGAGACACAGCGAGATCGGCCATAGAAGAACGAAAGAGGGGATTGCTACGAGATTGAGACACGGGAAACCATCTTACCCCTTTACACCCAGATATTCTCATCATCTGGGTGGCATCCGCGCCAGGATATAATTCCGAGGACGAAATGTTGAGAAGTTGGAGTTTCTGAGATTTGGGAACGGCAGCTTGCAACCCGACGTGAGAGAGTGATGTTGATGCGGAGAGGTTCTGGAAACGCGCCACAGCTTGAATGAGACCCTCTGCGTTCCTTTGGACTTGAATGGTTACACTCAGGTCGTTGGCGCTGTAACAGGGATGTCCCAGTTCAACCTGAGATGCCTGTGTCTGAGGGGAGCTATTGCCCATCAAGTCCAGGCCTACAGGAGTTTGTGCCGACGAAGTGGTTGACTGGTTTGGTCCGGTCCCGAATAAATCCATAATTGAGGGCACATTTGCTGGCTGGGGAGCATGTGGCGATGTAGACGTCGGGGGCGGTGTTGAAGCGCTGCCTCCCAGAATGTCTGCCAGAAGATCCGAGTTGGTAGTCTGAGCTGGCCCCGAGGTAGTCGGTGCAGGAGCATCCATAAGGTCGAGCAGGTCCTGCTCTGTTGGCTTTAGCACCCTGGATTTTCTATTCGTAGCCTTTGCTTTCTTGGTAGGCGCTGGGCCAAGAACTCTAGATGACTCTTTGATTTGTGGCGGAGGCATTTTCTCCAGGACACCACGACGAATCTGGTCAAATGAGAATAAATTGCCATACTCAACTGCTCGTTGCTGTACTTCGACATCGAGGCTCGTTTGGTGACTTTGTAGAAGCCGCCTGATTCTCTCAACTTGCAAAGCCTCTGAAAAGCGAGTGGTGAGCTTCATCAAGGCGGTAATAATGTATTCGGTAGAGACTTGTGTCGCATAGCTGCTGTTTAATATCAGCGCAAACAAGTCGACTACTTCGTGTTCTTTGACCTCCTGAACAAGTTCTTCCTCTTCATACTGCCCCCCCTTGAGCAGAGCATCGGCAAATTCGCCAACGCACCAAGCGCCCGCTTGGGTCAGGCTTTCCTGGGTGATATCCTTCTTAAGGTTGACATATAACTTCTGTACCGCATACGTTTGAAGCTCCGGGGTGGTTGCTATAAGCCGAACAAACGACGAGAGAATTTGTTCTTTAACATAGTTTCCCGCTAATGACAGCACCCGAAGCATGGTATCGAAATGCCACCTTTTGTTTGGGGCAAACTTGTCCGCCGCAATTCCAATTTGACTTGTCATGGTAGGCTTGAATTCGTTGTCTGCAACTTCTAAGAAGGCCAGAAGCTCTCTGATTAGGACTCGTACATTGCTCTCATTTATTAGAGTGAAGCTGAGATCAAGAGCACGTCTTCGTATGCTAATATCCGGATCCCTCAGACATTCCAGGATTGTGTTGCGGTGTCTTTGAACGGCATTGGGCTCGATGGCCACAACCTTTATAAGGGTATTCAGAGCCACGTAACGGATGTTGTTGTCACGGTTGGCAAGAAACTTGCCGAGGATATTGACTCCCAAAACCCTCAGTCCAGAATCTGCTTCGATATCTAGGATTGTACGAACCGCCTCATAAAGAATAGAATTTCCAACATTCTTCGATGAGTCTGTATTGGTTGCGACTTGCGCTAGAATATCGTTGATTTGTTCGCTTGTCTCTGGATCGCCAATGGCAAGAATCCTGAGCAGTCGAAGGAGCTTTACTTGAAGGAAAGGGTCCGTGATGCCAGTAACATCATGTTCTGGGGCATAGCCGGAGGTTGAAAGACCTTTCAGTGTCTTGACAAGACCCGGAACAAACGACCTAAACTTGTCAACAATGCCATCTTCACCTCCTTCTTCTTCGTCTGCTTCACACAGACTCGTGACCAGGGTCAGACCACAGAGAAGGACGCCATGGTTTCTGTCCGCTAACAAATGTGTGGCTTTATCCAAGAAGTGCTCTTGTAGGTCGGGGACCTTGCGGCAGATTCTCATGGCGCAGAGAGCAGCCTTCCTCCGAATATAAGGGTTTGACGTGGATATCAAGTTCTCAATCTCAGGAAATAGATCTCTTGACATTTCAATAGAGGCGATATTGCCTAGAGTGCATAGGGCAAGTCCGACGATGTATTGATTCGAGTGGCCAAGATCACTACAAGCTGGTTAGCTTTGGTCCCGATGTCAAAGGTGCAGAGAATCGAGATACTTTTTTAATGAGTTTGTAACCAGGGTTAAAACCTCTTGGTTCTCATCTAGGAGCAAACTCGTAGCAAGATGTCCGAGACGTTTATCCGCGAATCGAGGAGAGGCGAGTAGCTTCAGACACTCAATCTGGCCAAAATGGGTTCGTTCCCCGAGCGTGAAGAGATACAGCAATTTGGCAACGTTGTTGCGGCTGGTCCGATACCGTTAGCTCATCAAATGGAATAACAGACATTACTACGAAAGCTTACCGAACGCCATGGTCGTGACTCTCCTCCCGAAAGCTCGCGCGAATAGCTGCACTCTCTTTTTGAATCACCGCGCGCTCATCCGCGATGGTCTTTGCCGCACGAACATTGCGAATAAATTGCTTTACTGTGAATACAGTTAATCGTTAAATGGCAAACAAAACCTCTCAAAAGGGAAAACCTTACGCGAGCTCATCCTGAAGTGCAGGCGCCCAACATGCGCATTATCGGTCAAGGGGTCCAGGGAACTGGTCGGGGTCGAGGAGCCAAGTGTTTCGCGGAAGGAGGCGCTCTGGCCCTCGATGCCCCAACTTTCTGGATGTAGTACCAAGGTCTCTGTAGCTTTCAGTCAGTTTCGTCCAATGCCAATGCAAAGGACAGCGCGAGAAACCAGAAATTAAATGGCAGACGACGACCACTGTAGACTGTGTCCAGACGTCTTGGGATTGCAGGTTGTCGAAACGTGGGGCAGCTGATGCTTGCTCAGCCAGGAGACTCCTAATTGGGTATCCACATAGAGCCACTGGCTTCCTTGGGTGTAATACTGGGCTTGGACAGAGGAAAATCAACGGCCCGATGGACACACAAACATATTAACTATTAGTTCGTACCGGAGTACAACTGGAAGCTAATAACAGTCCTTACGCTCGTCCCAGTGTCTAACCCCCAATGCTAGCCCGGCTCTATCTTCACATGTGTCTTCGGACGTATTACGGCCCGCACAATCTGAGGACAATCTGCAATAACTTTGCAATACTACTGGGGCGGGTATGTCACAGTTTTGGCTCAGACAGTGGCCCGGCTCGGCAAATGCAATATTGGAGGTTGCGTCTGGTACTTTCGTGAAAATTCAAGGACACGTTGGATGTTGGATGCCTTGTTTTGCACAAGGCATAAATGAACTGCTTTCCTTACTAATCCCACCAACACACAATCATTCTACCTATCCCAGGTACATAGGCACCCAGGTATGAAGATAACCGCAACAGGCGGAGGTCGTCGCGAACAAAAACAGAGAACCGACAAAACACCCAGGATAGACCCTTCTTCCCTGTAAACATAACAGTGCCCTATCCATTGATATTCCCCGATGACTAGTAGAATCTCCAACACCATAGAAGGAGAGTTAAGACACCAAATCCTGTTCCAGCCCTCTAAAGCGCCATCGCGTTCATGGGTCAACAGCTGAGGCATGTAGGTGGCTGCCTGAGCGTTCTGATCGGGGTTCTAGCATAAGCCAGCAAGCAGACCATTGAGAACCACCCATCTTGACTTTTTTGTTCTAAAAAACGACTGCTTACTTCTGCATCATAAGCTGGACAAATTCGTTGTCTGCCAAACGGATTAGTAGAGGAACGTTTCGAAAGGCTCGGCTTGATGGTTCCATACAATCAATTCGGCCGTCGCCGTCCTGATCAGCCTCCCGAATCATCTCGTCAACCTCATCGTCGGTGAGTTTTTCGCCAATAGAAGTCATAACATGACGTAGCTCTGCTGCCGAGATAAACCCATTGTTGTCACGGTCAAACACCTGTGTTCAAGTTGAGTTTTGCAAGTCGCTTGTGACGAGAGCATAGATGGGGGCTATAATCACCTTGAATGCCTCTCTGATCTCCTCCTCGGAATCAGTGTCCTTCATTTTTCGGGCCATCATGGTCAGGAATTCTACAATTAGAGGGGGCACATCGTGTGTTAGTCGCTGTGAGTGTCACCATGGTTTGTAACAATCTCGGGGCGAGTCTTACCAGGAAAGTCGATGGTGCCGTTGTTGTCAGCATCCACCTCGTTAATCATGTCCTGCAACTCCGATTCGGACGGGTTTTGGCCCAGGGAACGCATGACGGTGCCCAGCTCCTTGGTGGTAATCTGACCTAAACACAGGTGTGATCAGCTATGAAGTCGTGAGATCGATATTCTCTCGGCACAAGACGTAGACAATTAAGCCAAGGGGATGGGGCAGTGAACAATGAGCCCTATATACTTTGATGCGACTCGTGCGACTCGTTCCGACTGTGCAAAAGCGGCGGTACTTACCATCTCCATCCTTGTCCTAAAGGCACAGGTAAGCATGTGAAGGCCTAACCCATAGCAGAGGCAGTAGATCTGTCTTTTAACTTACAAACAGAGAGAATGCCTCCTTGAACTCGGAGACCTGCTCCTCGGTAAGAGAGTCGGCCTGTGGTGCAACCGAATTAGCCAAGGCGACGATGGTGCAAGGCGGCCCCTCACCCAACCGCGAGGCAGGAGCGCAGGGAGAGCGCGGGGTTGCAGAGCACAGGGACGCAAAACTGATTACACTGATGGAAATCTGAGCTTAACTCACCATGGTAGGTACGTGGATAGAGCGAGCGGGATACGGCGGAGGAGACGCAGCAATTTGCGAAGAGTGGTTAATGGCGCGAGGTTAGATGCAAGTTCGTGGTCTTGGCTCAGACTCAGGGATGGGCAGCTTTGGTTCGGGGGGTTGTCGTAAGGAGGAAAGCAGAGTGGGGTGAGGCATAGATGCCTTGCCTTGATCTTGACGTTGCGATCAATGGCCCAAGACCGGCCCTACGGCGGCCCAAGACCCTAGTCGCCCCAAGAATCAACCAATTCGCCCGGTTTGTGTGCGTGTGGTTTTGCCAGTGGCCCAGTGGCTTCTGGTACAGATATCCAGTAGGATACCAATCAACATTGAATGTACGACGCCGACGGTGATTTTGTGGCCCTTATTATTACATGCAACATCTGAACATCTGAATATTCAGTCTTGACCATTGCAAGCTCGAGCAATCCACTGTCACTGAATATACTATGCACACATGCAACCAACCATATGACGGTTCCGCCTCCTACCATGTACGCAGAGCACTCACGTCGGACGGCGTCATAAGCCCAAAAGACCGTTAAATTTTAATGTCCAGAAGTCACCATTGTAATAGTCCTGGATGTTTCGGCTGTTACAGTGAAGCCACTAGAGGACCGCATGTGCGCGCTGGAATAACTTCCCAACCCGCCCATTTCTGGTCCATGCCATGCTGTAAATGCCCGTGCAGTGCCTCGAACAACATTTGAACCAACCAGACTTGACCAGACTTGACTGTACATACATGTAGCACCAGACCCGACCTGGAGCCGCTCAAGGCACTGGGCTTAGTGTCTGGTGACAGAGCTCCAATGCCAGTTGGCCCCTGTACTTCAGTCCTACTTACTTAAAGTAAGGTACTTAGACTTAGTACCATGTACTTACATTGTACCAGGCCCTCGTCACTGCCTTCAATGTTGTCCCACGTCTGCGACAAGCAGCTCACCTCCAACCCGCGCACACCATTACTTGCGACACGGTACAGCACGACACAGAAAAACGTCTTATCCTTGGATACTGTTACCGCTCTTCCATCCCCTGATTTTCTGTATTGTGAAGTTTCCAAAGGCTACTCCGTCTCGGAGGTCACAGCAACAAGCTCTCTGCGTCCGCCATGTGGCGAGACCGCACCAACCTGTATGTGCGCTCCCACTCCAGTATACCTCGACGAGCCGAGGCAGGAGCTTACGCGCATGGCTCTGCATTCTGCTAACTTGCATTGAATTCAGCTATATTTCCTACCGTCAATCGTACGCACATCATCCGACCCAGCGTAACAAGTATGTCGGCTCGAATATCTCAGGCTCCAATGCCTTCTCTGCTGCGTACTCAAGTAGCAGCTATGCTGCTGAAGATCGAAGGGGGCTCCTCTCGAGTGGCGGGTTCGACGACGATGGCGACGCGGTGATTGAGATGGATTTGCTGCCGCCTCGCTGGGCTGATGTCTCCGACGAGATTACTGAGTTGCTGGCCGACGTGGCGACCAACGGACACAACCTTGAGAAGCTACATCAGCAGCATGTCCTCCCGGGATTTAATGACGACGAGGCAAAAAAGACACAAGAAACACAAATTGAACGGCTGACCCAACAAATAACAAAAGCATTCCATGACTGTCAGCGGAAGATCCAGCGTGTGGAGCAAATGGTTCGCGAGTCCAAAGAGTCTGGAACTCTTACGAAAGCTGAAGAGACTATGGCAAGGAATATTCAGATATCTCTAGCAACAAGAGTTCAGGAAGCGAGCGCTGGTTTCAGAAAGAAGCAAAGCGCATATCTCAAGAGTAGGCCAGGCAGAACTCTGAGTAAAGACTCCATTGTCGGCTAACTATTTACATTTCAGAACTTCGAGACATGGGAGGACTAGGCACCCTCACTCCAGGAGACTCATCCTCCATGCCGCAGGCGGGCTCGGATATAGACTCGTCGCTACAAGAATCAGACGCCGACCGGTATTTTTCGCAATCTACACTCCAAGCCGCATCGCAACAGAAACTCCTGCATTCCAACGACGCTGCAATAGCTCAGCGAGAGCGCGAGATCGAGGAGATTGCGCAAGGTATTATTGAGCTATCTGATATATTTCGCGACCTTCAAACGATGGTTATAGACCAGGGCACAATGCTTGACCGTATCGACTACAACGTGGAGCGAATGAATGAGAACGTCAAAGGCGCTGACCGGGAACTGACGGTGGCCTCAGGCTACCAGAGAAGGACTACCAAGAGGAAAATAATCCTTCTCCTCATTCTAATTATTGCGGGATTATTTATTCTCCTTCTCGTAAAGCCAAAGAGACGTGATTGATATTGGCCGGCATTGTGTCGAAAGTTCTAGTTGGACTTGGTAACGGGTCGACTAGGCACTGATTTAACAATCAATGTATTAATAGATGTGTATACATAGGCGTGTGACTAACTTTTGTGTCTATGAGAGCGACCAGAGTGTGGTAGTTTAGTCTCTTGGAAAAGGCTATTATATATATTACAGGTACACAAAGTACGTTCATGTGTGCCATACAATATGTACTACAGTTTCGTCAAAGTTGACCCCTCTGGTCGGCTTCTCAAGCTTCCCTTTGGCCCTTGTCAAATGACTGACCGAATAGCTTGGAGTATCTGCTCCACAGTCTGGGCTTCTGATGCTCAATCTGTCGTGTTATTTCGGAAGGACTGGGAAGAATTTCGGATCCCCACGCCTCATCAAACAAGGCTTTCATGTGCTCTACTGACAGCTCATGCCTGTCTCGGGATCTATCCTTTTGACGACCTGGAACTTGTCCTAAAGCAATCCTCGCCACAATCGTTGTTCGGAGAACTTGCGAATCGATTAGGACGCCTTGATCTCGTAACAGCGCCAATAATCGTACACCACTAGCTACGTCGAATGCTGAGACTCCAGTCGAAGGTGAACCGACGAGTGCCATCGAATTTGGCTTCGACTTCAACGTTTGATCAAAGCCCCATCTAACGATGGATCGCTGGAGGTGTGTACTGAATAATTTCTGTATTGGATGTTTCCGATGGCTGAAAGGCAAGTCTGCGGGGATATACTCCTTCAGATCTCCCGTGGTCGATGTAGGGCCAAGTCCGCCCTCGATTCTAGGATCGCCCCGAGTGGTTCCAACATTCAAAATAGGAGTAGGAGCAAGTTTTCGATTAATATTCGACGAATCTTCGCTTCCTGACTGTCGCCCACCTCGTAGCTCAAAGCTGGTCAAGACACCACTCAGTGGCTGATCATCTTTTGATGAACGGCGGCTAATATTGCTCTTATCCCGCACTGGAGATATGAATTGGCATGGCACCATACCGACTTCTTTGCCTGTTTTGCTTTCGGTTTGTGGCATATCATCGGCATGAATTGGTATCAAGCCGCCTAATGGCGGTGTATAAAGCTGAACTACTTCCAGAAACAATTGTTCCAGTTCAGCGAAACGACCCAAACGACCAAGATTATAAAACAACAAGCTCCAGAACTGGATAGGTATAGCAACGTCATGTAAAGCAACACGACGGGTAATGTCGAGGGCTCTATTCAGAAGAGCCTCAAAATCCTTGGTTGAATCTTCTCTTGTTTGGCGTTTCCGTCCCTTGGGGTGTTTTCCCAGACCTCGAAAGGTTCTTTCCAGAAGCTGTAAAGCACTTTCTTGGCCCATGTTAACCTTTAATGCTTCCATACGCTCGAGAACATGTCTTGCTCTATCGAGTTTACGCTTTGACAGTTCGCAGTCAAGAAGTCTGCGAAGTCTGCGAGTTGCAGGATCATACTCGATTGCCCACTCGATGCCCTGAAGTAACCTTTCCATTTGCCAATTCTGTTCTCGCACAGAAGAAGCCATTAGCATTTGGCGTGTTTCAATGTCATCAAATTCATCTGGGTGGACATCACAAGCCAAAAGGCTCGCTAAGAGTTCATCTTCCCCGTGTTTAGCAAAGAAAACCAGTGCCTTGCAATAGACCTGATTTGAGATGGTAATATCAAGTTTTTCAATTTGCCCAATACGTGATGCCATTGCTTGTGAGTCGGATTCTCGCAGTGCAAGGGATTGCAGTGATCTTGGCCCTATGGCGCGGAGACCCAGTCTCTGCGCCAGATTAATGGCAAACTCAACTGAAGTCCATGTGCTAGCAAACCATCGAGCCACGATGGCATCGCCGTATTGTCCCCCGCTTAACTCTGAATCGTTATTTGCTGGAATCGAAGGGTTTGTGTCGAAAGTACTGGGCGCAAGTCCTCCAACCTCTCGTTCTTCCGTGGTCAAATTGATTGTCTGATAAAATTGGGCAAGAAATCGAAGAAACGGTTTGGATTTGCTTGTCCTTGGTAAGTCTTGAAATGCGAGTAGCTTTTTTCTCCATACTCGTGCAAGTTTTGAAATGCCGGCTGCATAGAGCACAGGAATTATATGATCATATAATTGTTTCTCTGTGCTAGAAACGTACAGTGCTGTTAAATTACTTTGCATCATCGGTGATTGGTCAACAACAAAATTTGAGAATAAGGCACCAAAGACCTCTGTCGATGGCGGAAATGTAGGCGCTAGTTGAAGGTGCCACCGAATACTTCTATCATATTGCTCGTGGTCGAGCATATGATAAACAATGTTCATGTATAAATCCGGCCATCGAAATTTGGTATCATTAAGGAGTTTGTGTGCGCTATTGACGAGGACCGTGAGTCGCGAGTCGAGATGCAGGGCAGCGGTAAGTATTTCGTCTCGAAGGCGCTGTGTGTCATGGTTGGCCAGCACCCGTAGAAGCCCATTGTTTTGAATATACCCAAAAAGCTCCCATACCCCATCGCAACCATGATTTCGACGAACCGACAAGGCACAAATTTCCCATGACCGTGAATCGTTTGCCTGAAAAGCCATCTCAAAATCTTGGAGAACGGTTCGTCCTAATGACCCCCCTTGGCTCGATTGTCCCTCCGTAGCCAGAATTGCCGCATGGCATATAGGAGCCTGCCCTATCCTGCGTTCTAACTTCCATCTTGACGAGGCTAACAGCCGACTGAACTGGCAGGCGAGTGAATAGCGCGGCGAGCTCGATATCGATATGAGAGTTCCTCTTCGAGTGATGGGAACTCTATTCGATGCAGAAATCGTTTTCGATCTATCTAAAGATCGCACTAAGGCAGTCAGGTCTTTCGTGAAGGATCGATTGGAGCAATGCTGAAAATGGGTTATCGCCGCTGGGGGCCATGGCACACCAACTGGCGAATGACGAAGAGCCAGCCTCGACCTTCGCATTCCCAATGCGCCTCATACAGTTGCAGCTATGACCCCAGGCAACTCATTGGACTTGGTCACAGTAGCTTTATAAAAGTCTGGTAGGCTTCGTTGATGAGCAGTGAATGTTGCAATATTGCTGCTGCCACCAACTTTGTCGGATGGTACCAACTACAGCTCTCCTTGCAGTTTAGCGCCAAGCAAGTAGCTTCCCAGATGCGGCACGTGTCTCGGCACGGGCCCGGGAAAAGCCAAGTGCTGAGTCATCAACGCCTGACCCCAATTCAATGGCCTCATTTCTACATGCGAGCCTTTCCACATCCTCGGTCACAGCACAACCACTCCTCTTCAACGATTGCCTTTCCCCCAAACCTCACGCGAACTTGAATACATTTCTTCAAGATGGGGTAAGCCGTCTTTTCACAGGGATACTTATTTGTCACGACCCTTTAGGATTCACCGATGTCAACTGCGACTTCGTTTTTGGGTTTTGATGACAGCAGTTCCGAAATCATTAGCTAACCAAGAGGCAGTCTGGTCGACGCCAAGAACAGGGTGCCTCAGCATCAGCGATTCTACCAGCAGGCATATAAGGCTCATACCCGTCTTTGGTTGATTGTATGTTTCGATTGAGGCTCGCCCGGTTCAACCGCGTCATCACTTGGCTGACTACGTACAGGGCACTCGTAGCCGTTGGTATATGACCCCCTACCTTATTGTCCTTTGGGGAGGATTCGGAGGTTCGTGCAAGCATCATACAGCAGCTTCGAATGCGCAGCTAATTCGTTCCTTCCAGCCACTCTGTACGCTGCTGGACGCAAGGTTACGGGCCACAACACCTGGTTCGGCAAAGATTAAACGTACGGCGCGCAACTGGACGTTCAATTCTGTGCTGGCCCAGAGATCATGTATCACCTTTTCTATTAGTACGCCGTTCGATAGACGAACGCAGATAAAATATTATGCGCACTTTACTTGCTTAACTTGAGAGCTTCCAAATATAGTAGGGAGACATGTTAACGCCCAGTTACTATGAATTGCACAGCAGGTGTTATTTTGAGTACTTGAGTCCGCCTACTTCATAGATCCTCCAAAATACACGGGGAGGGCTGCATCTGACAGTAAAATTAATGATAATACACCTCGTAGCCCACTGGTGCATTTAGGAGCAAAAGGATTTCACGCATGCTATCATATCGCGCTTTCTTGTTCAATATCCCGTAGCTGCTGGGGCCTTCTCATCTTTTCGTAGGCTTGTCAACATTTCGCGGAAGCGCTCCTTGCCGGATCCAGTTGCGCCCCCTTTGGTGCTTTTACCACTTATATCGACGAGCTTCGCAATGCGATCCCAACTTGTGCCGCCCGAAACTGTATCTTCGCGGTTGGCGAGAAATTGCTCGGCATCCTTCCTTGTCTGTGCAATTCCTTTTTCCTTCTTACTGTTGTAATTCTCGTAGAAATCGTCAATGTTCTGCTGTGCTTCTTTGATAGTCTCCTCACGCTGGGCAGCAAACTGTTCAGCTCGTTTGGCAATTTGTGCGTCACGCTGCTCTCTCCACTGCTTGATGACCTCGGGTTCCTCCTCATCGCCTACATGAGACTGGTAACCTGAATTGTAACTAATGGACGGTCCAGTGATAGAGGTACTTCCAGGTAGACCAGCAGTGCCCTGCTTAGCACATTAGCGCGGCACCTATTAAATCGAGCTGTTTTATTCATACTGCAGAGGGACCGGCAAGGTCGGGAAACTGGGATTCGAAGGTTGACTCGCCGACTTGATCCTGCCCCAGGAGGTCACCGCTTGGTTCTGCAAAGGCTACGGCATCCTCACTAGTTGTGAACTGCTCAGCGTCGTCTCCCAATAAGGCCCTTTCCCTGGCAAGAAAGTCGTCGGCCGATGGCTCAGCGGAAGGATTTTTGATTTCGGTTTGTGCTTTGTAACAGACAAGTCAGTGAAATTGTAGATGAGGGTGTTCGAAGTTGAGCTAATGGATCACAAACCTCCGGAATCGAAGTCGTCTAGAGAGGGGAATCGATCTGCCATTGTGTAGTTATTAGTAATGCCTATTTGATTGACACAAGCTCTTATTGTGTTGTTTTGTGAGAATAATTCTGCTTCGCGATCGCAGTATTGGAGTGACGGATGGGCTCTCCACAGCTCGCTATGATCACCCAAGTGCCCATTTACCTGGCATGAAGCGTCAAAGGGGCAGCATTCTGCCGGGCGGTGGGCCAAGGCAGCCCACTGCTCCGGATATTGCATATCATGGGGCTTTGCATTTGAGCACCATTGACCCCACGGCTGGTTTGCCCCTTGCATGTTTATGATTCTCGGTTGATGCAAAAGCTCAAACCTCTGGCCCACACCAGCTCTGAACACCAGAACTTAGGGGATCGTGCAAAGCTGGGCCATTAGCAAAAATACTATTTCATCGTCTAGGGCGACCAGTTGGGCTACACATTGAACATCTGCTTTCAGAACGCCATAGAACAAGAACACCTCCAAAAAATCATCGCCTCGAAGTCCATCCAGGGAGAACTTTCAAGCACGAGAGTACTTCACCGTAGTAACATTTACCTCGATCGCATTATAAAGCATTCCACAACGTTACCTGGGTCACTCTCCGTCGCACTACGCAGATCATACTTCGATTCCTTAGCAATTAGCTCGCTCGCGTTGTCGGCGATCGCAGCTCGAAAGCATGGCGTACAACGACGACTCGGTTCTGGCGCGGCTATCATCACTCAATGAGAGTCACGACAGCATCGCCACCGCTGCCCAATGGATCATGTTCCACAGGTAAGTGATCTTTGACGTATAGGCTTTTTGCGCAACATCGTACTGATGTTCGCTTCGATTCCTAGACGTCATGCGGATCGCACCGTACAACTTTGGATGCAACGCCTGAAAGATTCTTCCAGCACAAAGCGATTAAGTTTGGTATATCTCGCGAACGGTAAGCAACTCCTGATGATTATTCTGTATCGTATACATGCGTATATGATTGCGTAATCAAATGCGAACGCAGTGGCCCACTGACATAGTTCTGCCACAGAGGTTGTTCAACAATCAAGAATACGTCACAAGGAAGATTTCGTTATAGCATTCTCGCCCATCGTCGCCGAAGCCTCTTCTATAGCATACAAGGGTGCGCCTGCAGAAATTCAGGCGAAACTTCGGCGCGTGATCGATGTCTGGAAAGACAGATCTATCTTCGAAGCACCGATTCAGAGAGCTATCGAGTCTCGTCTTGACGGTACGTACGCATACTCACTCACCGTTGTTTCTTGCCTTCACTAACACTCAGAAAGAACTTGACAAAGCTCGCGGGGCTCCGAAATCTGGTTTCTCCGGTTCGCCGTTCGGAAGTTCTTCTGTACCCTCCGAATTCAGCCCTTTGATCGCGGCTCATCAGAAGACGGTTAAACTTAGCGGGCCGTTGCAGACTACGATCTCTTCTGCAAACCAGGAATATGATAAACAAATGGACCCAAATGTCGCAGTACCGTCCGCTCCCGTGTATGCAGCCCGTCTAAATGGTCTGCTCAAAACACTAGCAAACGCAGAGAGCGCCGTTGCAGAGTGTGTCAAAGCCCGCGAACATTTGGTATCGGGTTTGGAAAAGCTGTTGGATGAAAGTCGATCTGCTCTAGAAGCCGACAAAAGTGCAGCTGGTGAGTTACTCAAGAGGAAAGCGGAGATTGAAGACAAAAAGCAGCAGGTGGAGGTCGCGATTATGCGAGCTTTAGGACCTACCGAGAGCAATGGTCAGCCGGGAGAGGGCGACACTGGAAGCCCTCACAACGAACTAGACAGGCCAGAGATGGAGGCTCTCACTCCACCTCAGATGGAAGATGAGGACGCGGATGAACCGGTCGAGGCATCTGAGACGGCCAATGTTTCGTCATCTACAGAACAAGACTCAGCACATTCATTTCAGTCAATACCTGTTTCAACAAATGGTTCAAACAAGAGACGGCGGGTAGATGATTCCGAAGACTTCCCTGATCTCGGAGGCGATGATGGTATCGAACCTGAGGTAGCGGAAATGTTGAAGGATAGCGCCGAGACGTGAGCGTGGATGTTGGTCATGGCCTGAAGATTAGACAGTACCCAAGGTTACCTGGGATTTGTACAGTCAAGTTTGAACTATACCATGCTTTGGACATTGTCGATATCTCGCACTAAATCAGAAAATCTCTGCATACTTGATCAATCAAAGAAGAATTTCGTTTGTGCCACTCTCGACCAGTCGAAGGCCCCCCCTCCAGAATGTAATATAATTCGACGAAGACTTGTCTTGGCTTTGACAATCAAGATGGACGAGATGATGCCAATTTCAGCATGGAGCATTGAGTCGTGCCACAATCTGCTCATATAATAGCTATAAAATAAATCAGTTGATAGGCTCTTGCAACAATGATCAAATACCTACTAGGTAGGTATTGTATTCATCGCCAGGAACTTGACTTGACTCTCAGCGGCTTAATCCCGTTGGTCCGACCCGAGGCCGACCTCTTTACAATGAGCCACATGCTACTATGTGCAAGTGCGGCTGGGTTGCTAACTAGAATGTTTTGGGCCAGGAGGATCTCCATGACCCCCACTTTAATTTTCGGCGTTCAAGCTCATCTTCCAACCCCGGCCATCCCCAAATCCCGCGAAAATGACGGCATCCTGAGGTGCCAGTTTGCCCTTCTCGTCGTCTCTGTCAGAGTTATCACCACTCAATACAGCGAACGGCGGCTGGTACCTATAATGCTCCAGTACCAAGTTACTTGAGCTGCGCTTTTCGTCAACATGGTGTCGGGCGTGGTGCGGCGCGCACTGCCGCCACGACGCAACCTTGGAGAAATCTTCAACGCCACTGTTGGCCATTCTAGATTCAGTTCACACTCTCCTCAAGTCAGATTCATTCATTCAACGCCTTGCCATAGACATGTACTTCCACGATTCTCACCGGCGATATTTGGCCCACGAACCGAACAAACGCACGCAGCCTCAAGCCCCAAGCCGCATGCTCAGCAGACGGCATTCCGCCACTTCCAGGCCCTATCTTCTCATCTGCGGCCCTTTTCCTCCACGCGACTCACCCTTCAGCAAAATCAGCGCAAGAAAAGCAGTGACTCTGGCGTTTCAAACATGGGCGAAATTCAAGAGGAACCTCGCGACGAGGACGAGGACGGTTTCAAAAAAAGTGACAAGGCGGCCAAGGCTGCTGAGGTCGATTTATCAGCGAGACTGTCCAAAGAAGGGAAGTCTCAAAGCAAAGCTGGGTTTGGGGAGATATGGAGGCTCATAAAAGTTGCCCGACCGGAGATCCGATGGCTTGGGCTAGCCTTCTGTTTCCTCGTGATATCTTCTAGTGTCACAATGTCCATTCCCTTCTCTGTGGGCCGCATCTTGGATCTTGCCACAAAGGGTGATGTTGATGATATACGCCTGTTTGGCCTTACTCTGAATCAGTTCTTTATCGGCCTTGGTGCCATCCTTACCTTAGGCGCGATGGCGAATTTTGGCAGGGTTATTCTGCTCCGAATCGTTGGTGAGCGGGTCGTTGCCAGATTGCGATCGCAGCTGTACAGGCGGACATACGTGCAGGATGCGGAATTCTTTGATGCGAACCGAGTCGGAGATCTCATATCACGGCTCAGCTCGGACACTGTCATTGTCGGCAAGTCGGTAACGCAAAATCTGAGCGACGGCCTCCGAGCATTGTTTAGCGGTGGCGCTGGCTTCGCCATCATGGTCTGGACAAGCCCCAAGCTGACTGGGTTACTTCTTCTAATGTTTCCGCCCATAGCAGTAGGCGCCGTCATTTACGGTCGTGCAATTCGGAATATTAGCAGGACAATCCAAAAGAACTTGGGTACTCTCACCAAAATCGCTGAAGAGCGTCTTGGAAATGTTAAAACAAGCCAAGCCTTTGTCGGCGAAGTTCAAGAGGTTGGCCGTTACAACAAACAAATCAGAAGAATATTCGCCCTTGGGAAAAGAGAGTCTCTCATCGCAGCCACTTTTTTCGCTTCAACCGGTTGGGCTGGCAACATGACCATCCTGGCCATGTTGATTGTTGGAGGCAGCTTTGTTCGTTCGGGCGCCATGTCTCTAGGCGACCTTACCTCGTTCATGATGTACACTGCTTTCGCTGGCTCAAGTCTATTTGGACTTTCAGGATTCTATTCAGAACTCATGAAGGGAGTTGGAGCGGCGAGCAGGCTTTTCGAGCTCCAGGATCGTCGTCCCGGTATTCATCAAACGGTTGGTGTTCGAGTCAAGTCTGCACAAGGCCCCATCAAGTTCAGTGATGTTAGCTTCGCCTACCCAACGCGACCAGCAGTCAAGATCTTCAACGGATTGAACTTTGAGATTCCATCAGGGAGCAACGTCTGTGTGGTAGGGCCTTCAGGCGGTGGTAAATCTACGGTTGCTTCGCTACTGCTCAGATTTTATAATCCAACGTCTGGGTCAATCACCATCAACGGAGTCGACGTATCAACCATGAATGTCAAATCTTTAAGACGGCGGATTGGGATGGTGTCACAGGAACCGGTACTGTTTTCTGGCACGATTGCTGAGAATATTGCATATGGCAAGCCGAATGCAAGCCGAATGGAGATTATTGCAGCCGCACGAAGAGCCAATTGCAACTTTATCAGCGACCTTCCCGATGGCTTGGAAACCCAAGTGGGGGCTAGAGGATCACAATTGTCTGGTGGACAAAAGCAGCGTATTGCAATTGCTCGAGCATTGCTCAAGGACCCGGATATCCTTATTCTTGATGAAGCTACTTCGGCTTTAGACGCAGAGTCAGAGACGCTCGTTAATGAAGCTCTAGCCGGACTGTTGCGTGGTCACAGCACAACTATATCCATTGCACATCGACTGTCGACAATTAAGAGATCTGACCAAATCATTGTTCTCAATAACGAAGGCAAGGTGGCAGAGATTGGAAGCTACACCCAACTTGCCGCAGATAAGCATAGCGCATTTAGCAAATTGATGGAATGGCAAATGAGCGGCGGCGAGATTCCAGAGAAGCGATCATCTAATTCTGGCCCAGGGATCACTGAGGCAGAGGAAATAGAGGAAGACCTAGCACGCGAAGAAGACTTTCATGAAGATCCGGAAAAGGAGCACAAAGACCAAGAACGAGAAGAGAAAGAGGAGCGCCAACGTCAGTAAGCAATGACTCGGTTCGGGATGTCGCAACCGAAGCCCGGATACGCAAACTACGCATCCCGGTGTATGGTTTGCTTGGCGATATTTGCAGTAAGCTGGGTGGATTGCCGCGTACATTTGTGCGGTGTTGAGTTGGCCCATTTCGGGCACATTGTATTTTATTTCAAGTATGGTTTGTTGGTCGGGGTTGGAAGGCGCATACAGACAGACGTGGCGATAAACTCCACTCGCACTTTGGAGGGGTTGCAAACCGGTGAACAAAGAAGAGGGATGAAGAATCAGTACTTTTTTTTGTATATAGCGATATAAGGGGACAACTACTTAGGTACAGAAGAGCTATTCATAATGTGTAGCAAAATACAAAAAATCAACACGGATAATTTCGTCACTAGCCTTATTTAAACACAGTGTTACTCAGCAGTTAATGTCATTGGCCTGCGACGTCTGTTACAGCTGGTATTAATTTGCCCATGTGCACTGTGACGAAGGAAAAACAATTCAGCGGACTGAAGGGCCTGTTTGTGAGAGGAATTCGATCAATTGATACGCTCAACCCCCGACATGATGTTAATGTCGACTTGTCACAGGCACGCCAACTCCACTGTCCACTAGCGTCTCTGCGCGCTACTCCCCACGTGCATGCGCTACTGGCCGAGTTCATTGCTCCAGCGCCTTCGATGTTGCCCCAGCCATCAATCTGCAATCAGGCTAACCGGCATTCCCCCCTTAAACTGTCAGTGAACGTCGCTTGTCAAATCGTCAATACCACCATTTATGGTGTCTGTACCTCTAATTTTGGTATTCCTTCTTGCAAGAAACTTCATCATCGCCCTGTATTCCAGCGTCTCCTGAGGGGTCGACAAGTCTTGAGCGCATCTCTCGAGTAGCTAGCCCTGTCCCGGACCCATACAGTTATCAATTGATAGCCATTCAACACGAAGAACTCTAGATGGCAAGTCAAAATATGTTCACGGTGTCTGAGGGCCAATTCAAGCATGGTGATTCCAGCTTCTACTCTAAAACTTGGACGGTACGCAGGATTCACTTGTGCCGTTGATTCTTCCCTCAGGATGCTGACCAAGCTCATCAATTCTCAGCCGGCCGGTCCCACAAAGGCCAAGTTGATCTTCGTCCATGGCTTCAGCGAGCATATTAACCGCTACAACGAATTTTTCCCAAAGCTTGCCGAGAAGGGCATTCAGGTATTTGGCTGGGACCAGCGCGGTTGGGGGCGCAGTGTCGCCAAGCCTGCTCAGAAGGGACTTACTGGACCGACCTCGCAGGTCATCGCCGATGTTGCTGCCTTTGTGAGGGACAAGCTTCCTGCCAAGGATAATGCTGACGCATCGCCGGTTTTCGTCATGGGCCATTCTATGGGTGGCGGTGAGGTGCTGACCCTTGCCGCGGATTCACAATATGCTAAACTGGTTGGCCAAGTCCGAGGATGGATTCTCGAATGTCCTTTTGTCGGATTCCCGGTAGGGGAGGAGCCCAGTAGCATTAAGATATTCGTCGGCCGCCTCATAGGTCGTCTTCTACCCAAGCAGCAGCTGAAACACGTCGTGCCGCCAGAGTACCTTAGTAGGGACGAAGCCGTTGTTCAGGCAGTGCGAGATGACCCTCTTTGCCATGATACTGGGACTCTCGAAGGTCTAGCTTCGCTCCTTGATCGGACAGCTCTGCTATCATCTGGTCGAGTTCAGCTTGGCAAGCACGTCAAGGGCGTGCTCTTAACTCATGGGACAGAAGATCGGGCATGCAGCTACGATGCTGCGCTTAGATTCATGGAACAGCAACACAGCGTCGAAGACAAGACGACAAAGTCATATCGTGGAGCCTATCACCAGCTTCATACAGACCACTGCAAAGATGAGTTTACAAATGATGTTATCGAATGGATCTTAGAGCGATGTCCCCCATCCACGGGGATGGCTGAACCTCGCGAAGCAAAGCTCTAGTGGGGCAGCGGCAACGCGAGAGCAAACCTGTCTGGTGTAATAACAGATGCTATGAAGTGGAAATACATACTCGCCGAACAAGGCTTGCCAATCATCGCTTGTCTGCAATTCGTTGGCCAAAGTTGATTAGTTACCAGAGGGAATCCGTAACAAGACTTTTGAATTGTATCAAACCATTTTGTACCTGAGTACTCGCTATAATATTTCGGTGTTTACTTCATCGACCCGTCCCTTACCTGACTTGGCACCGATAGGCTATACAATTAGGTGAGATTCACATTACCTGGGTATGTATGCATATTGCAGTGTTGGGGAAACTCCACCTCAATCACACCCAACAGTACCAAGACAGGTAAACACAGTAGATGGTTAAGCTTTTTCGGGGGCAATCTGTTGTCATGTTCAGATGAGAGGCCTCCCCGGTCACGCCTCGACAAACTGCTGCCAACTAGACTCTTTAGGGAGGGGAATTGTGGGCGGTGTGGGACATGGGAGACCGAACATTGAAGATCTCAACTAGCTTGACAGCACTAGTTACTGCCTGGTCAACGACAAGAGTTGATCAATCAAAGATGTGAAATAAGTGGACTTCAACGGCGGGCACATCTAGTTAGGTACATGTACTTGGGCAGGGATGTGATTTCTAAACCCTCAAAAAAGGTTGGCAGTTGGCTTCTGCCTATTACCAACCTTCTCCGGCATCCTGTCGTGATGCAAGTGAATAACAGCGTCGCATGAAAAATAGATGACTCTAGCATTTATTAGCGCAGCCATCCGAGCACCAAGACCAATTGGCTTGCTGGAAAAAACCAGCACCCAGACGGTTGATGGTTTATTACGCCCATGGATCCTGAGTCCTGACAACGAGATTCGTCCAGGATTCATGCGTGTTATAGAGGAGGCGTGTCTGAGTCGGCTCGCATTGAGATCTTCGCTGTCATTCGTCATCTGCCCAGGTAGGTGGTGATTGCCACTTAAGCATCCTTGATAGTCTACCAGATCTTTTGCTGGCACTGAACTAGTCAATCTGTGTGCCACAATACAAAAATTAGTGCTCCCCTTCTTGATTTGTTGATTAATGCTGGAGAAGAGAAATGCGTGCATTTGCCGCGACGCTCAGACAAAAAGTCGACTGGTTGCTTTCCAAGGTTTCCATGCCTACTTAATATCTACCCACCCAACACCACACGCTCCTTCCGAGACACATCAGCAGCCTTTTTCGCACCTCTATACATGTAACCTGTCTTCGCCACTCCCAGAGGACGCACTCACTCCCCTCTTTCCCAGTTCCCTACTCTTCGGTGCCATATATCATATTTCCACCTTATGACCAGGGGCTGAGGACGACCCTCGAGGCTCTCAATATGACGCCAGACGGCAGCAATACCATCACTCACCATCCATCCATCTTTCACCTCCAACAGCTTTCGTCCCCCAGCAGCGGGAGCGGCTCTCGCGCGCCCGCGCGCCAAAACCAGCATCATTACCACCACCATCATGAACAACATCGTGCCGCTAGTACATCCATAGAGCCCGTTGCCCCTCCTGGACAAGAGCAAGATGCCGTTGAGAGGCACCCATCTCACGCCACGGACGTGGAGAGTCAGATGACCGCCGGTCCAAATTCAAGGCTGCCGCGTCTTAGCATCGAGAGCGATCCATATGGGCTTTCATCGTCCTACAAGACAGAATCAGATTTGGATCAAATCAAGGCTAATTCTTCTCGCAAGAGAGGTGGGTCGCGAATTTGCAGGCCATCCGCCAAGAGATCCTCCATCAATAGTGCACAGCCTGGCCCAAAACGTAATGCTCGAAAAGTCTGTAGCTTTTACGAGAATCAGAACGCAGCCATCGAACGTATGCTCAAGTCCGTGGAGGAACACCGCGCCGAAGCCCGTCAAGAGCAAGGCGACGACCAGGTCAAATTCCGCATCGCAATATATGGATCTCTTGCCGCAAACGTCATTCTCGCCGGGCTGCAACTATACGCAGCCATCTCCTCTGGGTCTTTGTCTTTGTTCACAACCATGGCGGATGCCATATTCGATCCGCTCAGCACGCTCACTCTTATTTTCTCCAACCGCGCAATCAAACGAGTTGACCCTCGCCGTTTCCCAGCCGGCAAGGCCAGACTTGAAACGGTTGGCAACATCATTTTCTGTTTCCTCATGACGTCGGTGTCTCTCATTATCATTGCGTTTGCCGCTCAAGAGCTCAGTCGATCGAGAACGAGCAAGGAATTCCATTTGCCATCTGTCATTTCTGTCTGTGCTGCCTTCCTTACCAAGTTTTCTCTCTTTTTGTACTGCTGGTCTCTTAAAAACAAGTATAGTCAGGTCAACATCTTGTGGCAAGACCATCGTAATGATCTCTTGGTCAACGGATTTGGTATTCTGACATCAGTCGGTGGTGCCAAACTTCAATGGTGGATTGACCCAATGGGCGCCATCTTGCTATCAGTTTTGATCTCGGGGATCTGGCTCCGCACTGCATTTAATGAATTTATGTTGTTGGTAGGCGTCGTCGCATCAGTTGACATGCAACAACTCATCACCTACGTGTGCCTCACGCATTCGCCTGCTGTGCAAGGCATCGACACCGTACGTGTCTACCACTCTGGTCCACGACTGATTGCCGAGGTAGACATTGTCATGAACCCTGCCGGTACACTGCTGGAAACTCATGACACCGCTGAGGAGCTTCAGTTCAAGTTGGAGAGTCTTCCGGACGTTGAGCGGGCGTATGTTCATATCGACTACGAGACAACACATAAACCTGAACATGCATATAAGAAAGATATTTAAGCGGTGCTGGGTCTCGTCAGACGACGTACAGGGCAAGAGCAGAAACCGAGGGAGACACGCCACGTGTCGAGGTCGATCCCCCAGGGTCGAGGTTTTGATCCGTACTTGGAATTCATGGTTTATTATGAACCTCTTGTCGTTGATGAAACCACAGACGTTTGAACATTTGTATGTACTGACCGATGTGTCTAATCCTTGGTCAAACCTGGGTCGGAGATATTTCCCTACTCTTTCCGTAATCGCCAATGCCGCCGGTGAACACTAAAGGCACAGAAGAATCACGATGAAAGCCAAGATCATTCAAGATAGTTCGGTTGCCTAGCAAAAGGGTGTTATGTTGTTTGCTTTTGGTTACACGACTTATTAAGCAGAACCACTAAAGGATGCGGTTACACGGCGGGTCACGAAACTTGGCACGTCGGCCCACGGAACATGCCGTACCTAAGCTGGCAGGTAATAGAGTAGTATCAAATGCGGGGTGTGCGAAACGCGTCTTTTTTATTTGGCTAGTTGCATCCTGCATTGGTGAAGAGAAGCACGACTGCAAACCTCTAAGTAGGTAGTTAAAGAAGAATCAGGCATAGCATGTCCAAGCACCTCACGCCATAGTTCTTGACATGTCGAGCCATAGGCAGGGCTGCGACGCAAGGGCTGTTTCATGACACCTGCCATTGGCTCAACGTCGACTTGAGCAAAGCTCTCAAATCCCCCGCATAGAGCTCTTGCGATTGCATGTGGGGGCGACCAAGCTTCATTGTGCAGCTCCCAGTGCTCACGTTATCTAGTACCTACCTAAGGTAGGGAGGTCATAAGCTTTGTGCAGATTTGTGCGGCCCTCATTGTCCAATGCCACGCGGCACAAAGCTTTCAAGTCGATCGGCTTGCATCAATTGAGCACATGCAAGCTTGGGGTACTCCATAGAATGCATGCATGTGTGCTTGTTTGGGGCCAAGGGCTGTGGACCTTTGGTAGGTACATGTACTGACGCTAAACAAGAAACGGCGCCGTCAACGTCATGGCCAGCTGGGTGTCGCCTGGGGGACCCAAGTGCCATCTCTGCTGTTGCTCTCCAGATGCCCACCATCAATATTGACTGTTTGAATGACCCCTTCCTCCCCTCCCCTCCCCTCGCCCCAGAGGAGTTGAATGGCCGGCCAGTGGTCAATCTGGTGGACGTCAAGTCAACCTCGATAGACTCGCCGCACTGAGCAGTGAGCAGCATCGCGCCCCGCTCGGTCAAGTTGCGTCTGAGGCTTCCACTGATTTCTCGTCGCGCTGTCTTTTAGAGGGGGGGAGAAGGAAGGAACAGAAAAGAGACGGAAGAGAGGAAGGGAGATCTGACCTAGGTGGTCGCAAACCAGCATCAGCATCGCCTTTCCGGTCACAATGTCCGCAGCAGACCCGGCCACAGGAGAACAGCTTTATGCAACGGTGCGTTGTTTCGCTCTTGTCTTGGCTTTTGCCTTTCTGGCCGCTGCTTTCTCTATCCTTCCAGAAGCCAATATACGGCATTGCCACCTGGAAACTTTGGCGAATTGTTTTACTGACCACCCCTCAGCTTCTCTTGAGCGATTCCTATCTGCCTGGCGCTCTGGTCCTCGCCCACTCGTTGCGCGATGCCGGCACTTCCAAGCGGCTCGCGGTTCTGGTAACATTGGATTCTGTCTCAGCAGAGGCCATCACCCAGCTTAAGGTGCGTTTGTCTCACGTCTCAAACGAAACAGACGCCACCTTCCGTTTCCTAAAACAGCTGTTGATGAAACTGCACTTTCACAGACCGTCTACGATTATGTCCTGCCTGTCCCAAGAATTCGCAATGAGCAGCCTGCCAATCTACGCCTCATGAACAGGTCCGACTTGCACTCGGCTTTTACCAAGATCAACCTGTGGAAGCAAACTCAGTTCTCCAGAATAGTCTACATCGACGCCGACATAGTGGCTTATCGAGCTCCAGACGAGCTCTTTGAGCTGCCTCATGCCTTCTCCGCTGCTCCGGACATTGGATGGCCGGATCTTGTCAACACCGGTGTCATGGTTCTCGTTCCGAATATGGGTGACTACTACGCCATGCTCGCCATGGCCGACAGAGGAATTTCATTTGATGGTGCAGATCAAGGTCTCATAAACATGCATTTTAAACACAGTCTGAATCGCTTATCGTTTACTTACAATGTCACGCCATCCGCTCACTACCAGTACGTGCCTGCATATCGTCATTTCCAATCTAGCATCAGCATGGTCCATTTCATCGGCGCCAATAAGCCTTGGTTTTCTGGCCGCAACGCTTCCCATGGTGACACTCCGTTTGACGAGATGGTCGGTCGCTGGTGGGCTGTCTATGATCGCCATTATAGAGCACAGGTACGCCTTTCAACCCCGAGACTCAGTCGTAGAACAAATCGCCATCTTCCTGTTCCAAGTCATTGATGGAAGTTCTTGTTAATAATTTTGTACAGGAGTCTGCTGTCCAACCCAGTTACAGGCAAACTTCAGGTCAACGCCCAAGCCAAGGAATTGTAGACTCAACTCTCGCGTCGGCGTATCCCTCTACAAAGCTGCCTTCAGGAAGTGATGAGGCCAAGAACACTAGCCAGGCATACATTGAACAGAGAGCAGGTGAATACTCGCCAAGGCAAACATCACATGACAGGTCCAATATCGATGCGTCATATTCACCCCAGCCGATCCGTCCTGCGCATGACGAAGGTGGTACAGCTACTGAAATGTCCACAGATAGTCACGGCCTGGTCCATGTCGAGACCCCACGAGATTCTGCTGCCCAGAATCAGAGACAGCTTCCACCACTAGCCATGGCTAGTTGGGACGCCCAAAGGTGAGACACGACTACTTTGCATAGTCTGTTTTAACTGCATTGCTGACCCTTCTCCAAATTCAGGCATCCCCCGCCACCTGGCTCAAAGCCGGAGGCGATAGATTTCCCATCGACCCATTACGAGATGTCACGAGATCCTGCACCCTTTATTCCACCTGTACGCTATCCCAGCCCACCCAAAAATATGTGGTACGAGATTCCAAAAGAACCGCCATCCCCATCAACCAAGATTCCAAGACAAATATTTCCATGGGAAGCCCGCCAATCCGCCCCATCACGCTCATTCACTACCCCAGCAGCGGACGAGCCCTTTGGGAAACCAAAAGCCGGCGAGTCGGATGAACAATATCAAGAGCCAACTCCTGCAGAGGCATTTGATACGCTCCCTGGACAATTTGCAACGGGACTCTCAGGAAGTGATGTGGCAGACAGGAACACCACAGCATCTAAAGTTGGTGCTGTTTCGCCAGCGCCAGCCCCTGGTGATCCTTGGAGTTCTTATTCGCGAGTCAACGCTTGGGACGATGTGCCTGAAATCAGCCGATATGTTGACGGCTTGCAGAGACATCGTCGAACGGGGAGCCAAACAAGGGGTGGAACCATGGCGACTGTTCTAAGGCCTGCAGTATCAGGTGAAGCGTTGCAAATACCAAAGGCCTTTAAAGTAACAGACTTTCCAACGGAATTGGAACGACCGAGCTTACCAGTGACGCCAGCACCGATCAGGCGTCCCTCACGGTGGGAGAGTCATAACGAACCCTTCAACTCAGCAGAAAACGCCCAGTTCCTTCCAACGGCTGAGGGTGTTCCGTCACAGTCAGAATGGGTATGTGTGCATGGGAGGCGCTGGGGGCCTGCCGATTGCCGGTGCGATTTGGCTGACGTAGGACTTCCTTACAAGGATCCGGCTGCCCAACTTCAACTGCTAGCCCAGCAACAATCTGAAGCATTGCTCCGGAAACTCAGTGGTGATGATGGCGTGCCAGGGAAAATGGCAAGTCACGAAATTCCATCAAGACCATTGCCTTTTGGATCAGAACCCGGTCAGTCACCGACGTATGTGACACGATCCGCTCCTACAAGCGTCTTAAGCCCGCAGCCTATACGAGGGAAGTCCCCAACGGCTGTTCTCGTCGCGGATTTGACCGGTCGTAACGATGCATCGCCAGAAAGCACAACTAAAGAAGGCAACTCAGCCAGCTTCCTTGGTCAAAAAATTGACAAAACAGGCAGCGCCTGAGTAGGCCGTGCTCCTGCGGTTGACATGAACATATCATGCATCATCCATATTGTACCTCTCATACCAGTCCAACATTCATTGCCCTTTATCTTGGATATCTCGGTTCTGTTTGGTCTCTAGCGAAATTGGCTGTATAATGTCATGTGAACGCGTGTTGTCGAGTCAATCTCGAGGTTTTTTTCATCTCTTCTCTTATTATTTTTGTGCATATAATGAACCATGGCCAGAGTATTTGCATGATCTTTTCCGTTTCAATTTGCAACGAACTAGTCATTCAGTTGCATTCTCAATATCCTGCATATCAGCCTTGTCTATCTTTTACCTGGAGTTCAATATTCTGTTATTTACAAGAACAATCTATCTCTACATTTTGAAATGATGTACTACGTTTCTATTGCAATCACTCGGGGGCTATTTGTAGTTCGTGGCACCTCTGCACGTGCTGGTGACTTTCAGTGATCCCAAAGAAAGATTAGACAAGATGCAGCCGTGCGGAGATCAACGAGCTATATATAGCTGAAAGTTCATGGGACATGCTAACATAGTGGGCCCTGCCGTAACGTTTGATTCCCTTGTATTGGCACCGTCTTGGTCTCGTCGCCACGAATACTGTATACTGGGCTAAATATTTTATTACATCCGATTTTGCTGGAAAGACCAACGTAGTGGTATTGGCCATGACATGTTTAATCTTCGCCTTCCTCAGCTTCCTCAACCGTGGCGGCTTTGGCCTTCCCTTTATCAACCTCAACAGGGTCTACGACGTCCTCAGTGCTAGGCCCCACAGCTCCATGATGGTGCAATTCGTCGCTAGCTAAATCTCTTTGTGCCGAGTGTTTTGGAGGCTCGTCGCGACCTTGGTCCCTCGGCGGTTCCGCATCGACAGGAGGGCTTGCTGTTCGAACAGCATTATCGACGACATCAGAGCGTGATCTGTTATTGAATAATTGTGCAGGGCCGCCCCAATTTGGTATGAGAGGACTTGGGGAAACCACTGGAGTTGATCTCACTGTTTGGGAGCCAGCACTAGTACCGTCCCTAACACTGTCCCCTGATGTGGTCAACCGGGAGGAAGACATATTGGGGTCCATGGACGAAGAATTTTCATCGCCGACAGCCTCGGCAGTAGACGATGCTGCCGCAGGGCGGCTGGTTGACTGACTAGGATTTGGAGTTTCAGCATTGAGAGACGTTGCTGTGGTCTGAGATTGGTGGTGAGTCGGCTGCGTTCCATCCAGTCTCTGAAGTGGTATCAATGACCAGCCAGGAGGTAGCGTAATGCCTTCTGGGAGATCCGGACTACCCGCAGGTATCGTTACACCATTTGCTGGAACTACATGGCGGGCCATAAATGGGCTGCCTATCCGCGGGGGAATGGTAGGAACCGCGTTACCCAGAGGAACTTGGGCGTGATTGCCTTGTGCCGCACCATGAAAGTTCTGACTTTGAGCCATGGGTATAGTAACCGACGGGTTGCCACGTCCTCTTAATGGCTGGTCTTGGGACTGTTGCTGTCGGCGCTGGCGGAGTCGCTGGAGTTCGGCCATGAGAAGATGGGCTACTTGTAACTCTTGCTGGGCTGCCTGCAGATTTTGCAATTCCCTCTGCACAATCTGCTCGGTTTGACCAAGTAGATCTCCAATTTGCTGCATGCTGTCTCCGGACTGTTGTTGGGTCTGGGTTGGGGTTGGTGTAGGAAGACCATGATCGGCACGGTTCCCTTGGGCCTGAGGGATGCCAAATTGTTGGGCAAGTTCACGGGCCTGTTGGTCATTTGCTCCAAATCCAAGTCGGAATGGTCCCAAGTTGAAAACTCTAGGGCCGCCGTCCCTGCCGGGAGGAGCTTGGTCGCCATTATGTCCTTGCTGACCGGCTGGCGCATTGTTACCACCGTCGGCCGGTGGTGGTTGTCCAGCCAGTACTTGCGGGCCACCACCTATCTGAATCTGCAGACCTGCTGCCCTATTATGGCCCCCTCGTACACGATCCATGGTAACAGGGCTCCTACACGTCGGGCAGACCTGCTGACGCTCAAGCCAGCTCTTTAAGCATCCAAGATGTAGAACGTGGCCACATGGCAGCTTTTTTGGACGGACACGGTCAATTGCCCCAGGATGATTGACAGGATCCCAAGGTCGCATCTCCTCTCGGCATATGATGCAAGTATTCTCCTGAGACAGTTCTTCTAGGGTGGCATCGGGGTATCTATTCATTTCTTGAATAGCGCGGCGATATCGCAGAAGTGCGTTTAGTCGCTTGATGAAATCTCTCGACGTGATGAAGAGATCTCTCATAATGTGAATAGGGAGCCCGTAAAACCTCAGCAACATGAAGAAGAAGGCAATGTAAATACCAAGTTTTATCATATCTGTGCATAATTAGTTATCAATCGACTAACGGTCGGCTGTGTCCATGACTACTCTGTAACTTACCGGTAGCTAAATCAAGCCAAAGTACCCATTCACCTTTGCTTGTCCAACCAGGAACCTCAATATCCATCTCATCTATGTCCTCCTCGCGAGGAAGGGGCTCTTGGTCTTGAGGTGGCTCTTGCCCAGTCGCGGCAGCCTGCTCTCGTTCACGAATCAAAGCCTCTCGCTGTCGTCGAATCTCTTGTCTCCGTTCAATCAGACGTTTTTTGGTTTGAGCTTTCACAATATTCTGTTCTGCGATTGAGAGAATATAACGAACTGCAGTTCGCCAGGAACACGTGGCCAGCACAGCGAACTCGAACAAAAACATGACCATCATATTCGGTCTTGCTTGTTGGATCACAGTATCAACGGTGTATTTGAGGATCCAGATGTCGTATATGAAGCTGATGGCCAGGGAAACACTGAGTCTCACGTGGAATAGTCGGGGGTTTGCTGGCGGCTGTTGTTCTAGAAATTCCACTCTTCCGTCGCCGATCCAACCCCATACCTTCCCGGTAACCAAGGAAGTAAACATGACCAGGAACCAGGCGCCAATCTCCTCGCGAAATATCGTCATTGCCAGGCATGTTTCCGTGATGGCAAACCACGCTCTTTCGGTAAGTTGTTCGACTTCGACGGCTCGAAGAGTGCCAAAGCAAAGTTTGGTGAGGCCATATATAAAGCTGCTATATAGTAAGAGACTGAAGTTTACCAGCGCCTTTGGGGCAGTATTAGTTAGCGCTTGCTTGGAGTCGTGTATGATACAGCATATGTGAGGGTAGGCAGGCTATTACCAGAAGACAGAAATTGCTTTGGGCCAGATAAACCATGGCTGAATAGAAGTTCGCACGTTGCTGAAAGGCTGAAATTACAACAGCGCCAGCAAGGGCCGTGGAAACCTAGGAGATGAGTTAATTCCGATCCAGATATCTAGGGTCTCGAGCTTTGCAACAGTTGATGATGGCGTTGTCAAACATACCCCTGCGTACCATCCCAAGCGCATCTTGGGCATCGGGACTGTCTCTGTGAAAAGGCGGGAAAATCTCGTAATAAAATATCTGATTTGGTCTTATGGCTCCATCTTTGTTTCCGAGCAGCCGCAGCTTAGATGTTCGCCAGGAACGAAGCTAGATGCTCACGGATATTTGATGCCACGTTATGCTAAGCTCCCTGACCGTAATCCACCCATGACGCAGGAGCAACCGAGTGCCAGTATCAGCACGTGACAGTTTGGGAAGACAAAATCCGATAAGATCCGGTAATTAGCCGGACACGCCATGCTTACCCAACGTACTTGCGATTGTGTATATCCCACTGACTAGAAACGAGATTCTAGTTCTGGGAAATGATATATTGCCTGCGACTTTGCAAATAAACGGCGGTCCATGAGTTAGGTACCCGTTTCTGTCGTAGTTTACATTCGAGAAAAAGGGCAATACCTTGCACGCCGCCGTTGTTGCAACAGATGTCTGGGGTACGAGTGAGTATGATGCATCCATAAGGAAACGGCGGACAGGTAATTCATGCGGCATTGCCAACCCCGAGATGTTCCGAAGGTGAGGAACCGAACAAAAACACGAGACAAATTCGCTCCGATGTTCATACTTGATAACAGTTATTCAACCTACCCTACCCTATGCTGAGTTTGTCACGTCCAGACTGGAGCAATAGTAGTCGACGTTGAACCGTGTCTTGGCCAGCTACCCTAGACAAGCTTGGAACAGCCAAACCAAGTGATCGTTCTCATGGCCGGGAACCGAAAAAACTCCGTTCCGCAACCAAACAATAGCCCGGGCTTTCTTCCTCCTCTTCTCCTTCTTCTTCTTTGGTGTGTGATTCAAGACAGGACGCGCTGCCTGGCCGGTTTAGAACCTCGTCCCGAACAGCCCGCAACAGTGGAATTCACGAAGTGTCCTGGTCCCTGCAACCATCGACGATAAAAAAGCGCAATTAGTTAGCTGCCGGACTTGGTTGGCCAAGCAAATTGCCGTGCGGGGCGAATAGGGCATAATTTTGATCCTGTCTGCCTTATCACACTCCTGATGGAGCACGTTGGGCAGGGGAAGAGACGGTGAGGGCTTCCAGTGAGGGCTTCCAGGCAGAACGACAAACCTTGTCCCTGGAGTAGGCCGCAACACCAAGCGAATTGCCATTTGCAATGAGCAATACGGCGGCCACAGAGCCGCACCAAGCGGGGACACAGCGTCTACGGGAGCCGGAACTCGAATAAGCAGAGCCTGAGGGGACAGAGGGACCTCGGTCCTGACGACTGCCGGGGAGGAGTCTAACGCAATAACAACCATGACGCCTGAGAGTCTGCCTGGCGGAATCGGGTTCCGCGATTAAGCGACTCTGCATTATTAAACGCAACCGCTCGACCAAGCAAGACGGTGGCGGCGGGCACCGTTAGACGGCCGGCTTGGGTTGCCTATAAGACTATTTTCCAACTTTGGAACACTTCGCAACCAGCGCTTGTGATCACCCGACCGCCTGGGTCACGAATTGTACATTACGCGTACTTGGCGAGATATCACTCCAACCCTGGTTGTCTATATCCCAATAATGGGTTGGCCGTCGCAATCCCAGTTATCCGCTCATGACGCCCGCGTCCCATCAGCAGAGACAAAAATAGTAGTATTGCAGTACTCGGAACAGATATTTGTTTTCTAGAAGCCCTCGGGGTTATTGTTGTTGCTGAACAGGACATACATACCTACCTGTGAGGATATGGCGAAACTACGTCGAAACCTGGCTCCTGATGGACGAACAGAAGTCCAAGATTGGCTCCTCGTGAAGATTTGCAATACAACAATGGGCTTGTCAAGCTTTGATTCCCCCCCAAGAACAGACTGTACATGATTGATCGGCAGCAGGGTGCCGAAAATGCCGTTTTGCACGGCCATGGCCAACCTCTCAGTAGGCCGGAAAATGATGGGGGGAGCAAAACCAGTCGGTTGGATATGGGTGCCTTGCATAGAAAGTATGTACGTGCCCTGCACAATGCCTTCAAATTGGCTAATTGGTAGTGTTCAGTGATGAGACTCATGAGACCCAGATCTCATCACACAGAGACCTATGTATGTACCTCTCCCGGAGCTTGAAAAGGAGGGGATCAATTATGGCTCATTGGCATTGGCTCTGCCCAGCAATACGGGAGCAAAGTCTTAATTTACCCTTGTAATGTGCTCCGTAATGTAATATTGTAATTGCCCCTGACCTGGCTAGTTCTGGGGCGCTGTTAGTGACAGACATTTCGGGGTTCTGATCCCTGCTAAATCCCGATCATGCCAGGTTGGGGTGCTATTATATGCAGATAATAGTACAATTACGGCGTACTACATGTGTGACGAGACTTGGTACAACCCCCAGGGATCAGTGACCACGTGAGATTATGCCTGTCACCGACCTGGATCTCGTCCAGGGCGACACTGCTGGACGCGGCATCGCTGGTAGTCAAGCGAGGACCTAGAAGACCACCCCCTGACCAAAAGGAGAGAGAGAGAGGGAGAGATTACGACATGCCTGCTTGGTATCGCGACCACGCATTGACATGACGAACCGAAAGTGGACATGAATGGGAGAAGGAGGGGAAAAAAGTAATATGTACATATGTAGTAATATCAGAAGCATAGGAGGGGACCCTTAGCACTTGTCGCCGACAGGGACAGGAGTTGTCGAGTTGGCTAGCAACTCTGCTCCATGTAGATGCTCGGCAGCAAATAACCATCTTGGCCGTGCCCACTCGTGTTCAAGACTCGGAAACCCTTGTATTCATCGTGTAGTATAGTACTATAATGGCCTACGGATAGTTTTAATAGATGGGCGGAGCCAAAGACGTCCCCACGGGTCTAGATCGCAAAGGACCGCGACGCGGCGACTACTATGTACATGATCCGATGAGATGTCTCATCTTGACAGATGTGCTTGGTTCATGTGTCTGTAATATGTAGTAGTAGTATTGTGTATTGCAGACTCTGGCGCCAGCCAGCCTTGAAGCAGCCCATGCAATCCTTCCATTGCGATACTTTCCTTGCCGCCCGCAGTCTTCGTTTAAGCTGATGACCCAATATATTCGAACCAGCACACCCAACAAGACAACATCTGGAACCTCTGGCTCTCTGGCGGAGTGCGCGGCGTGACTGAGCGGAAAAGTGACTTTCCAGGGATGGCACATGCTCCGCGATGACACATGGCCACACCATCGACACCCATGGGCTGATGGCCAGGACCAAGTTGCCAAGGCAGATATGAGGGTCGCATTTTCCCGCGTGTTTGAAGAGGTGGACATGCACCCAATGTGTCGGGTCGAGCTTGGACACTTGGACACTTGGCATGTGGCTGAGCTTGCCGCCACTCCGGAATGATGGCACCCTTGTTCCGGCATCGCCGCGACATGCAAAACGTGGTTGCGGTTGCGGTTGCGGTTGCGTGAAGACGTACCTAAGTACTTAAAGTAAGTACTTAAGTAGGTAGGTACTTTACCTAAGTAAAGTAGGTAGGTACATAATTACTATAGTACATACTTGTGCAAAAACACACATACAACACCAAACTACGTAGTATTTGTCCCCTCGGAGACTTGGTCGATCCAAAAGCAAACATGGCTGCGATCAAAGGGGTAAAACGAGCGCCATTGTCGCTGATGAGAGTCTGCCACATTCCAGCCATCACACCCCCATCTCTCCTCATCAGGCGAGCTTATCCACGAAAGCACGTTTCTGCGATCCAGGCCGCCCTTACAGGCCAAATGCACTAAAAACCCAACCCCAAATCGAGAGCCGGCGCTGCGCCTCCCACCTCCAAGATGCCCAGATATCGTGGGTCTCTGGTCACAGCGACAACCGATCCGCAACAATGAATGACGGCTATCGACCATCTTGGCATCTCGCTGCGGGCGGTGTCAATCCCAGGCAACAGCCACACCCAGAGTCTGCCCAACAGCCCAGGAATACCAGAGACACGCATTTGGGGATAATTATATCGACACGACAACACCAAGCACGCCTTCAATGGCTGAAGCCGCCTCGTACCCCGTCTTCCGCACTCAAATACGAACGAATGCTTATGTACATACTCCGTACATGGCCTTGTTTCTTGCCAGATGAATTATGCAAATGCAGCCGCGCGTCAAAATCAAACGTTTTGAGCTTTGAATATTACTAGCGGTACTAATATACAACAGCGACCTCGCTTGCCAGTGCGTCGTGATGCACCCAGCGTCGGAACGCATGACAAAGGACGTACGGAGTATGTACATACATACGTATACAACCTGGTAAAACAGTTCAAGCCCACTATGCAAGCATCCAGCGCCATCTCAGGAGTACCGAGTCCCCGGCTCTCGCTCCAGCCTTGACACGTCCGCTTCTGGGCATGATGCCCGGTACGAAGCAGCCACCGGTAGGAACATGGTGTCGCACAGGATCAAACGGAGAGAGCCATCAGAGACACCATGCGACGCTTCCCACCGCCTCTCATGCGGTAGACGCCGACACGGGCCATAGCGCCTCGAGATGTCGGTTTTTGTTTGTGAGCTTTCTTTTGCATCCAGACCATCAAGCCACCAAAGCGACTCCT